GAGGAGAGAGAATGCAGCTTATCGTAATTCATAAGACACATAAAAATAAATTTGCAACTATAACGTTGCATTGTAATTGCCCAACCTATTAAAAAAATTGTATTAGTTCCGTGATTGGCATCATTCGAGTGCCACTCTTAAATAATTTTTTTCATACTCCGACCCTTAATATAAAAAAAAAATAAAAAAATAAAAAAACATTGGAAATGTTCAGATTCTAGCCGAAATCAGTAATTTTTTTTTCATTTTCCATTGCACGCATCTGTTGGAACAAACTTTTGCGCCTGCCTCCTTTTCATCTTATCATCATTGCAAGTAAATTTATTTCTGTTTTTTTTTCGTTTTTTTTTCTTTAACAATATAGAATAGTTTATATTCAATCAATCACCATTTGCCATCTCTAATGAATATTTATCCTCTAAATTACTCACGAAGCAAATTTTTGCTTCAAATTTTGAATATAAATAATTCAAACCTATAGTTTTAAACTAATTTATAATTTGAATAAAAATCATTTGATTACTCTAAGTGACAGAATATTCATTTTCCTCCGGCCCTAAATGCAAATCCACACGTTTTAAATACAAGAAATAATGAGACCCCGAACAATTCTAATTATGCAAATGGCCCACTTGAGCTGGCACCCCTTCAGCGAGGCAATTACACGGCGCTGGTTGAAAAGTTGGCCGCGCCACTCGCCGAGATTAGAATTTCATGTAGCCCCTTGTGCATAATAACAGGCAAAACCAGTGGTCACACCACTGCCTGTGATCAACTTAATTAAACTTTACAATTATTGCTCTAATCCGGCTTAGCGAGGACACTCTTTTCGTGTGAGCGAGAATCTTTGGAAATCGCAGACGGTGGTCTGCAGAGTGGAGGGCCGGGTGCAGAGACAAAGGGCTTGTAATGTAATGGCCACGCGCGCGCTTGCTTACCTGACAAAAGATAAGGGCCGCTGCCTTCTTGAGCACGCCCTCAATGCAGCCGCTTTATCGCCAGGCTCACCCGGCCAGACACACAGAGAGAGCAGGTCTCTGTCAAAAGTGCCACGGATATATTGCAATTTCTACCTGCTCATGTATTTATGAAAGACCCACTCTCAAAAAGCTCATCTCCGCTCAAAATTATTTGCCCGTGTGTGCTGCGCAGTTACTTTACTTGCGATACTTGAAAGTGAAGGGTTTTCAACTATTTGCCATGTTTGATGAATTTGTCTGATGTTTTAATAATTTAAATTTATTTATGGTTGCAAATTATTAATTTGAAATTAATTACTAAATCAATCTCAATTATAATTTAATCATAAATAATGTTAATTATTTTCAAAAAAATCTGAATTTTAATATTAGAAATTTAAGTAAGGTTAAAAATAATAAGCTGACAAGATAATTTTTTTTTTATTTTGTTAATTTTATCATCAGTTCATGTTGGGCACCCATAAAGCATTTTTTAAATAAAAATTAAATGTTTTCAACAATTTTTAACAAAAAAATGATTTGAAAAGTGATTAAATTTAAATTAAGTTATAATTTTAGAATCCAAAACAGAAAGAAAATACTATATAGATCGGCTCCTAATAGTGTTAACCAATGAGCATTTAATTACTTTATTATGAATCAGTATCACTTTCATAAAATAAGAAAAATTGCAATCGACTTTTGCGCAATAAATCCTCCCCTTTGCCCTTTACTCATATTGCATGTGTCCCCCAATCAACCAAAATTGGATTGAACGATTAATAACACCAATACGCTCATGAATTATTATTGCCGCTAAATTATTCCCAGTTGGACACGCGAACTGATGAAAATAGAAGCAAAGTGTGTCTGGAGGTGAACAATTTATTCTGTGAACTAACAAAAATCCAGTCGGCATAAATACGAATGAAAGGCGAGAACCGGCTAATTCCGAATGGGAAAATACAGAGTTGATGAAGAGGTGGTTTGTTTTCATGGTTGTGGCGAGAGCTTTTGTTCTGTTGCATGTCGGAATGATAGATTATCAACGCGTGGGAATTATTTTCGACAGTTCTGGGCTATTCCAGCCTTTGATTACACCCCTCTGTGCTCATTATTCCCACTCGCTTTGAAATAAAAGTGGCGCCGCTTTGTTTGCCAATAAAGCTCATATTGTTGCTTCAAAAGAGAAATTCTCCACACAAAAAGCTTTGATCCAATATAAAACTCTTTCATTTATACAACAAAATGATCGTTTGCTATTGGAAGACTATCTTGAATAAAAATCACAATTCGTCATATTTTTCGAGGTACCAAAATGTTCTGGAATAAAAAGAAAGTGCCATTAAAATAAATTAGAACATTATTCACAAGGACGTGGGAACAAAGATAATTTAGGCGACTCTGGTGTTGAATACGAAAAAGTTGTCCTCTTGCCGCCCGGCTACCGAATAAAAATGTATATAAATAAATTAATGACGGAACACACCGGGGTGTAATTTACTAATGGCATCGCCGGACGCGATCTGCGGACGTACCGAGTCTCCAAAGTTTGCTCGCAGTCATGCATCATAAAAATAATAATGCCGTGTGAGGCGCTCCCTTGATAAAAAAAAATAAAAAATAAAGACCGTTTGCTAAAGTGGTGATAATGCACACGTTCCTTTGTCGGCGGCGAGTTCACAGCTCAGAGAGAAAGAAAAGGCTTTTCACCTGCACTCTTTGCCAATTGCATTAGGTCGCCATTTTGGCAGTGACGTTCTCCAGTCAGAGAATTATTTATTCTCAACTTTGAACGCAAGTAACAGCAATCAATAATAAAAATTTATTAAAAATAAAATATATCATTTTTTTATAGAGACAATAATTTTCTAAAGACAAACTAATTTAAAATAATGTAATTTATCAAACAAATAAATAAACTAAAAATGCTAAAATATGTTTTTGCAGTAAGATCTGTCAGGTATATTGTTTTATTAAAAAAAAAAATAAAGATTAAAAATATTAAAATTAAATTTTAAAAATGATGCAAGTCAAATACATTGATTAAAGATAAATTGTTCCACCTTATATTTCAGATGTAAATAGTTTATGTTGTTATTAAATAATATTTAATTAAAAAACAGAAGGACAAAGAGAGCTACGTTTTGCAAATGCACAAAGCCTCACACTGGCAATTTTATTTCGAGCCCTCTGAAACAATGGAGGCTCTCTGGTGCCATTTCCCGTTTATAATTCTCCAGACGAGTGGTTGGAAGCTTAGCGAGGAAACCCATTTTGAAGTCCATTCTTTGCGCTGCACGCAGTCCCTGGAGGCCGTAAGAAGAGCACCACCACCATTCCACACAATTAGAAGGCCAGCCGGCGTCAAAACTTGACGGCGCCAACATTTGCAAGAAGTGTCTCTCTTGTTATGTTTAATAATAGCAATTTTAAGTTGGATTATACGCGCACGTTTTCACACTGTGCAGAGTGAATTTTGTTCCTCTGGATGGAAATTTTATTTCAAAAATGGGTATTTTTGCTCTTTCCTGGCAAATATAGCGGACATTATTTTGCTCCGTTGAATTGATTAATTATTAATTGCTTCGAAATAAAATTATTAAAAATGTAATAGATATCCTTATCTCGTGTCTTGGGTTTTTGATTTTATTTAAAACTTGACTTAAGTCAAGTCGCTTCATTTCCTCTCCCAAAATTTTGCGGTTTGTCTGTCTGGGCTCTAAAGACAGCAAAGAGGAAAGAGACCGTCTCTGTTCAACGGTGAAAATTTAATGAGAATCATCTTTTTGGCCTGGCAGAGACTTGACAGAAGTGAACGCCCGTTTTAATAAATCTCTCTCCGAATGAGGGAAACGTGAATTTTCAGCTCGGTTTTGCATTTCGCCAAGTTAATTAACTTATTCAACAAGTATACGCCCTAAAAACTTTTTGCTTTGGTCCCAATTCTCGTAGGACTTTGTTTGTTCAGGCGTATGGTTTTCGACAAACTTTTCGTTTGAACAGTGGACTAGCTTCATCAGAAAATTGTCCTCTAGAGTGAAACTGAGCCACTTTAGAAAATTCAATTAACGCCAAATAAGAGCATTCTCGCAAATAAATTAGCAATGGCGTCCCAATATAAAATTAAAATCATTAATTTTATTGTTATAGTAATATAAAAAACTATATTAAAATTTTGTTATAATTTTGATGATTCTTATTCTTTTTCGTAAAAAAACACGGTCACATACCGTGACGTCAACTAGTTAAGCGATTCATTTTTTTTTCAGGTTGTTTTTTCATTTTTCCCTTTGAATAATTAATTGGCAGCGAGGAAAGGGTTGTATCTTTTTGTTCCTTTTCTTTTCATACCGTTAAAAGGCTTTTGCTTGCGACTGTTCAGACTGTTGATCGCTGCTCCTGACGCCCAAATGTGCTCCGCGAGCAAATAATAATTCAAACAGCGTGTGCCTGTCAAATTCAACTTGAGCCCCTTTATACTGCGTGGCAATACACCGGCCGGAGGGGCCCCCATCCTCCCACACCATATATAGGGGCCTTCAGGGCTCTTTTTTTAGGAGACCTTTCTTGAATGACCGCGGCGTGCAATGTAGAGATTCAATTTTTGATAAGGGGTGTGCTCTTTGAGGCTCTTCTCAAGCGTCACTCAACTGAATATTATGCGCTCGGATGTCAAGGTTAAAATTCATTCATTCCAAATGTACGTCGCATAAAAAATAAATTTAAGGTCACGTTAATTTTTTTAAATAATATAATATTTTCCACTGAAATTTGAATAATTTAGTATTGTTTGATATATTATTTGAAACTTTTTTTACTTAAACATCAGCTAATATTTACAAAATGATGACAAACATTTAAAATAAAAAATTTAATATTTATTTATCAATTGGCAATTAAAATAATTAATAAAAACATTTAACCTGTCATTGAAAATTGTAGAAATAAATAATTTGCGAGTCAAGAAAAATTCAGAGTTTTCGGATAAAGAACTACGTGGATGGAATTATGAGCTGCGTTTGCAGTTTGGGTACTTACCTAGAGTCGGTGCGAGCGGAGGCTACCTTGGAGCCCCATGCCTTGATCATCGACACTAACTAACAGAGAGTTGCGCCGCCCGCGCCTCGCATCCGAGCAGGAGGCGGCAGGGGCACCGCGACCCTCGCACACCCTGGCGGTGCCCTCGGCAAGTGTTCACGCACTCGCTGACCTCCCACGGGTCAATAAAATGCACCGACTCGATGCTATGCCTCCTACTTGTGGCTCTGCTCGGCGTTTTCTCTGCAAAATTATTGCGATTCGTTCCACTTGATGCACCGCAATTGCTAATTAATCCAATTTCATCTGATGTAATTATTTTGTTCATTCAATGAAGCAGAATTTTATGAATAATATACAAAATAAAAAAAATAAAGTATGAAATACTTTGAATTTAATTAATTATTTAAAAAAATATAGGATTTTGCTACCTATAAATTTTTTATAATATATTTTCAAAATTTTTTAACTCGTAATGAATTCATGCACGAAATCTATTGATCTGTGAGGCAAGCATCAGGTGCAAGTTCTCACTGAACGCTTACAAGGGTGCTCAATTAGCATTCACGTGAGGCCAAATTAATCCACCTTTACGCTCAGAGCGATGAAAGGGTTTAACTGCATCTTGCTCTGCTCTTTGTCAGGCCGGGGGGAATTTTTTGCTCACCTCCATAATTTGCAGTGCATGTTTTCGTTCTAGACTAATTGTGAGGCAGAGTCATGCGCGCAACCTGTATCAACTTTGCTCCACCAAAAGCTGTCCAAACTCCTCGCCGGGGTTGTAAATAAGGGTCTCATTAGCGCCGGGCGTTGATTATTGATTGCCTCATTAGTTGCTCCGCCACTCTTCTTTGTGGATGTTTCCGCTTCACTCTCCGGGAATTTGTGTTCTTGCTTGTTGATTGCCTCATCGCGGATTAACAGAATTAAAACATGGATTGATCTTGCAAGTAGCACGGAAAGTTAAAAAGGCTGGAGATATTTCCAACATCATTGCTTTAACTTACGTTTAACAAGTAAATTTAAAATAAAATTCATACATTTCTGTAAGACAAATTGCAAACAAATAATTGCAGGAACACTGATATCAGAAGTAGGAGAACTTTGATAACATATTATTTCAATATCAAAAACTTGTATGAAATACTTAAGTTAAATATTTTTTTTTTTTAAATATAAATCTAAATAATAAAAATAAAATATAATATATTTTTAAATTTTAAAATATTTATAAAGCTTTATTTAAAATAATTTTTATTCACTTATAATGTTAAAAGCGGATTATTCCTGAACTTCATTTTCGATTATTTTTTCTATCCAGAAAAGTAAACAATAATAAAGTTATTTTTATGATCTTCTAGAAGAGCTTGTTCTAGATATTGCCGACTATTTATTTTATTGGACAGGAGAAAGCTATTTTTCTTCTGCCATACTTGCCACTGTGTTTGAACAGTCTCTCTTCTTTCCGCCGTTATGAAATAGATTCTCTGGCGGAGAAGCCGCCAGGGAGCAAACTTAATTACTTCGACCAGAGAAGACGGCGGAGAGTAAAAAAATGAAGGAACGAAAGCGAGAGGAAATCATCAGGCCTCTTGTCCAATTCCATAAAGCGCAAACGTTCCTTACCTTGCGCGTGGGGAAAAAATATAACTAATTTGTTCTGACTTTCTCATTGCAGACGGTGACTGCGTGGATTTATTGCCAGCCTCTTTTGGTTTTGACATTCTCACGTCGTGTAAACTCAAACTGCAGCTACCGGAAATCAGCAACTGCACCCTTCTAAGGTAGGAAACTTGCACCCTAATTTTTCTTTCCACAAAGATCTTTTATATAAATTATTGAGTACATTAAAGTCCATCTGCTATGACTTAATTTTAAACAAATTTATTCAATTTTTGAGAACATGGGAGAAACCTTTTTTGAAATAATTTTTAGCGTACGTGTTTTTTTTTTTATAATTTTTGGTGTATGTTGATAAAAATGCACAATAGATTTACGAGTTAGGCAACCTGTAGAGCGTGGAACAAACGCCGGTTGCATTTCTCGCCTGCCGCACCACAATTTCTTCCTCCTTATTTTGAGATTTTATTCATTCGCAAATGTCCGCAGCGAAACTCTGGCCGACTTTTTTGACTCCCTTTACTACGGCGAGCACGCAGCGAAAAAGGGCGACCGGAATTTCGAGTCACTCACAGACGTGGTGCCCATACTTTGGTAAATATTATCAGCCTACGCCGCAGCTTTTGTACATGCCTTGGTGCAGGTCCGCAGTGAACAATAATTCAAGCGAAAAGGACGCCTGCTTAGTAATGACGGGCGTTTCCATTAAAGCGCTTTTCTCGGAGCATTTCATGGCCGCAGGTGTGAAATTGAGCAGGATGGTCGGTCTCCGCATCGAGTGAGTGTATTAAAAACGCCTGACCCCGACGAAGTCAAGCTACTTTTTTGCTAAAGGACTTTTTCTTTTAGTCCCCTGCTTCAGAATTTGTCCCTGCCAGCGCCGTCTGAATTGCTCGTCTCCACTTCTCTTCACTTTCTCCGCGTCGATTCAATTACGGAGACTTCAAAGTAGGTTCATGAGCTAAAAAAAAACCGTGGACTAATTATCGTCTTAATTTCTAAAAAAAGATTCTGGCTGCAAATGACGGAGCATTCTGAGAACTCGTGGCTTGAGATTTTCGACCCTTTGATACAAATTTTCAAGAATCAAGACAACATGGAGGAGTTGATTATTTTTTGGACATTTTTCGTTGCGACTGCTTTTCTCTTAATTGGCAACAGTAAACTCGGGCGTTTCAATTAAGAAAGGAACAGTTTTGTGACAAGAATTTATTTATTTTTCTTAATTTGCAATAATTATCAATTTAAATAGCACATAAATTGTAAATATACATCAACAACCCTATTATTAAAACGCAATTTTTACATTGTAAAATTCAATTGTAAGTGTAGATTAAATTTGAGATTCAAGTAATTTTTACATAAGTGGTGGGTTTCCTTGTGGACGGCTACAGTTTGATGAGAAAATAAGCTCCCTTAATTCTAGAGTTAATTTATCAGATAAAAAAAAGTCACTTGACCCTGACTGATGACCCCGTCTTCTGCTTGTTCATGTTGGCAAGCATCAGGGAAATGTAAGAGGTTAAAAGGTCGTCCATTTTGTACCCCAGCGCTGTCTCGCAGAGTAATTTGGAGCCCCTGACCAGGTTGCCAATGGTCATGTGGAAGTAAGTGTTGCCCGAAGACCAGTTTGAAATGCGAGTGAATGGATGTGTGACCAAAATTTCCTAGAAATTAAATTTTCGTATTGACACTTAATTTGTTTCTATTGAATTTTTACCTTTGTTTGCGGGTGGATGAGGCCGACGCCGTGCTTGTTGATAGCTATTAGCAAGTTCTCAGGGTAGTTGGGCTCGGTGGTTTGCTTGACTTCAAAAAAGGCAGAGCCAAAGGTAGGCCAGCGGTAGATGATTTTAAGGAAAGCCACTTTGGCATCCTCAGGACTCAAGCCTTCAAAGTTAAAAGTATATTGACAGATTAAATTATAAATTTTGAATTATAATTTAATTTTTAAAAATTCCAAGTTTAACCACACATCAGCCCATATTTTAGTCATTGTTTGATTTAAATACTCATTTCAAATTATAACCTATTGGAATATAATATATAATATTTATCTGAAGTTATTATTTATAAATAATAAATAAAATTTTGTTATTAATTATTATATAATTTATTATATAAAAATATAACTTTCTATAAAAATTATTTATGAAAATACAAATAAAATTTATAATAATAAAAATAAGTTTTGTAAAATAAAATCAAGCAATATAATAAATTAAAAAAAAAAAATAAATAAAATTTGCTTGCCTGCATCTTGATTGTAAGCAGCAACTATACTTCTCTTCCAGTCGGCAGCATTTTGAACCTTGAGCAAGTCCGCAGGGACAAGTTCCCTCATCATTTGCCTAAAAAGAAATCATATAGAGTTGATGAAATTGAAAATTTTGAAAAATTACGGTATGGCCTGCAGCTCTTGCTTGCTCTCCCCAAATCTGACCCTGTAAACCAGCGCCGCTAGTCTGGCGGCCTCTTCCTTGGTGCATTTATGGTAGCCCCTGAGCAGTTTGGGCAGCTCTTGGTGAAAGTGGAAAATCAGATCTGCGTTTCGGTCTTTGCCAGGGACAGTGTTGGTCCACAATTTTTTCATAAAGAACACTTGATATGTGAACTGAGGAACTCCACCTGCTGTTTCAGTAATTTAATTACAATCATTATCGATTAAAATTTTTAAAAATGGGCTGAAATTCAAATTAAATAAAAATAATTCAAATAAATCAACAGGATTAATCACCATTATTTTTATTTTTAAATTTTTAATTGAAAATTTACCATCTCTGGCTGGCCGCGCCTTTTTGATCCAGTCTGTTAGGTGGCGCACAAAGTCAAAGAAAAAGTCTGCTTCAGGCACGCTGATGACTTTGTCAGCGATTTTCACAAACAGGCTGAAACCCTCTGCGGAGAGGAGGTTTAGTCTGTTGGCAATGTTGGTGCAAAAGTCTTTCGCCCTCGTCGAGGAATCAACCTCAAACGCCTATTTAATAAATTTAAGTTTTTGCTTGAAAATAATTTTAATAAAAATTACCTCATCCGTGTCATCAGGGAAGTAGACCTTGTGGAAGATTTGTGTGGTTTTATGTTGGATGGCTTCGACCTCGACCTGATGTGGAGGGTATTTTCGCTGACCATTCCTCAGCGTCTTCTGCAACCTTTGGAGTGAATCCTGCGCAATAGGGTGTCGCCTTGTTCGCAGGAAAAGGGTCAGTTCCTATTAAAATAAAAATTCATAGAATTTTCTTAAAATTAAAATCAATTTACTTTGAGAAGTCGCTGACTGCAGGCGAAGAGACCTGTTGCTAACCACATGAGTTCCCAACCCCTCTCCTCACTCAATCTGTGCCTGTTGTCCGTCAACTGGCGCATCAACTGGCAATAAATCTCATCCCTCAGAATCTCCTAAAAATTTTAAACATTAAATTTAAAAAATTTGAATTTTTTAGATAATTTTACATGTTTGAGGGGTCCATCGTACATGTTGTCAGTCAGCTCTGAACTGTTTCTCGCCCTTCTGGAGGGCCAGTCGCCCATGTATTTGAGGATTGATGAGAAGGCAAAGCACGCCTCCTCAGCCAGTTCCTCTTTTCCGACTAATTTGCGCAACAGGGGCTGTTTGATTGGGTCCCTGGTGTGCCTCCAAAGGTCATCTCCGAGGCCTAAAGAGCCACCTCTAGCAGCCGTCAGCGCCAGGGCTGCTTTTGATATGCTTCTTTTTGCAGGTGCTCTAAAATATCCACAATTTAGTTTCCATTAAATTGTTTAAAAATAATAGTTATACCTGAAATGCTCTACAGCATATTGTGCTAAAGTGTGAGGTTTCTCGATGGTTTCTCCATTGAATGAAGTCTGCTGAGCTGGGAAAGTCCGAGGTTCTACCCCTTCCACGCTGAACAGGGACTAATAAATAACAATGATGATTAATTATTAAAATCAGATAATGCTCGTCAATCTTCATTATGAACAAATGATTCACACATTTCTCGAAACACGTTAAAAATTTTATCATCTAAATATTTACTAGCCACAACAAACAATCAATAAAATTTAATTACCTTAGCTTTTAAACATAAATTTTCAAATTGATTTAATATAACCCAAAATAAAAAAATCAGCCAAATATGCCCAAATTAACAATAAATTTAAATTTAAGTTTTAAAACTCAATTCTTTAAATTTAGTATTATTAAAATTTACACTAAATATAATTGATTGATAGCAATAAAATAAAAATAAACCTTTAACTTCAAATTTTGAAATTATTTTTTAAGTCGGCGTTTAAATTAATTTTAGATGTGTGTCAAATTGAATTAAAATTAGTGGAAATAATAAAATTTGCAAATACCAGAATGTGCTGAGGTGGTCTGCTCAAACAGGGCAGGACGTATACACTTTGTGCAGGGAAGTCTCCCTTCATTCCGGAATTCTCACTCCTTCCGACGCACCAGCCAGAGTTAAGCACTGTCTCGCCGGTGGAGCCGTCTTCCAACAAAATTAAGTCTCCCTTTGCAAAACTTAAGAATGACGAGCCCTCGCCTGAACAAAAATTAGACTAATCAGCACCACTGAACTAAGCAAAGGTGTCAATCAGTACCTGGCGCCTTGTAGTCTTGCAAGGCCAACACGTATTTTGATCTTTTCTTCAGTCCCTCTAAAAAGAACACAACCAAATCTCTGATGTCCTCGGCATTCGGACTCTGGAAAGTGAATTCCTCTCCCCGCACTGTCGATAAGGAGAACGTTTGCGTGAAAACTTGAGCAGATCTGAAATTAAAACATTAATCAAAATACTTTTTTAGGCAATGGGAAATGATATTTTTACTTTTGACTTGCAGTGCTTGTGATTTCTGGGAAGGAGAGTTCAAGCAGAACTTGCTCCTGGTCGTCCACAACGTATACACCAGTCCAATTTACAGCGATAATTACATCATTTTTCGGCAAATTTGGTCCTTGACAATTTGAGCAATTTTATAGTAAACAAAATAATTTGGATAAAAACCAAATACCTGAATTTCTATAGGCCTCGTAGAACCTTGAAAAGAGCAAAGGCCATTTGAACTTTGCATAGCTGACTATGTCTTCTTTCACTCTCATTATGGGCACCTTCTCTTTCAAGTAATAACTCTGGAAATAAACTTTCATTAATTATTCCGCAATTGAAGATTCCCGAATATAAACCTTTTTGTAGGCTTGTGAGACCAAAGTGGCCCATCTGGACAGCGCCTTGTCCGACGCAGTCAGACAATAATCAGGAATGTAACCTGGCAGCAGTTGGAACAACTGGTCCTGCTGCAAAGTTTCATTGGGGCCGAATTGCACTAAAATTTGCTGGGCAGCTATCATTGCCAAGTCCTCCTCCTGATAATTCAAATTTTAAATTTACAGTTTCCACTTTATATATTATTTTTACCTTATCACACCGGTACTCTCCGAACTTGACCCCACGAACAACCTGCTGGTAAATTAGGTCAGTGGCGACGGCGTCCGCCGCAGGATCATGCCAGGGGGCGAAAATTTCCTTCCTGAAAAACAGGCGCCAGGGCGCATTTCTCTCCTGGGCGCCTTGTTCCTTTGCGTACTGCTCACATTGCGAAACAGCGTCCATAACATGATCGCCACCGCTTCCGAGGGATGAAACCTTTAAAGAATAAATTTTTTTTACTAATTTTGACAAATTCAAAGTAAATAATTTCATTTCGCTATAAGATGAAACCTTGTAATCATTAAAAAATAAAATATTTTTTTTGCAAATTAGAGGTAAATTAAAGTATTAAAAAATTAATGTGTTATTTTACATGAAAATTCTTTTAAAATAAGCGATTCTAACAATAATAGTAAATATTGACTGTTGGTAAAAATTTATCAGCTTGAGTTTGGGAGAAATAGGAGGTTGGATTTTCTCTACAAAATTTAGTCAATGCAACTTTTGTCAGAAAGTAGAATTTGATATTTTGTAAATACAATTTTACCTTGTCGAAAAGCGCAATGTAGAGTGAAAATCCAAACTGGTCCTTGAGGGAGATTTTGTCCGCAAGCTGATTGCACAGTTCCCGAGCGGTTGTTGCCGAATCCGCCAGAAGCGTCTTGGTATTTCCATCCATGAATGTAATTGGCAACATTATGGGTTTCTTGGATTTAGTTGCCTAACATTTAATTTGAATTAGAATCAAGTTTTATAATTGATTTTGAAAACTCACTTGCAGCTCGAGCCAACTCGGCGGCTGATTTCGAGTGCCGTTGTGGAAGGTGCGTTGCAACCTTGCCTCACAGTAGGGCGCGTACCCTGGTGGCCCCTCCCTGATAAAAGCTCTCAGGTAGTTGACGAACTTATCAGAGGGAGCAAAGCACCCCACACACAGTGAGAGCAAAATCCAACCTCTGGCGTGTGAGGATTTTGAAGGGTTTGTGGTCAACTGTTTGCAGATCTGGCAGTAAATTTCATCCCTGAAATTTTATATAATGTAGAGTCTTCAAAAATTTCCACTTTTTTAGAAAAGATTGTAAATTTTAAACAATTTAAAAAAAAAACTTGGAACCTGTATTTAAGTTAAAATTAAATAGTAAATCATTATAAATAATAATTTTAAATAATGTGATCTTTAAAAATAAATTTTTTGAAATATGAAACAAATGTGATTTTCTAATTTTACCTGAGCTCAGCTCTCAAGATGCCGTGACCAATGATGAAGTGCAACTTTTCTAAGTTAGAGGTTGGTCTGGACTCAAGCCAGGACTGATAACTGTCCGCCGCTTGTTCGTCGTCCTGCTGCAGCCTTCGACGCACATCCTCCCCCAGTTTGTTTTTCCTCTTCAGGGTGAGGGACACCAGCTTGTGGCGGATGGACCTAGCAGTGGGACTTTCAGGCTTACCCTGGATAAAATTCAAATTAATATTCTCAAAATATCCTAAATAGATAAAAACTCACATTTTCCACGCCATTGGTTTGGTTGTGCATTTGCTGCGCCTCCTGGTACTCTTTGCTCCTGATGAAGTTCCTGCCCAGGGTTGCCGTCACTTTGGACATAACTGAAGCAGTGTCCCTGACCATTGTGTGATACCTGGGCTCAGGGTAATCGCAGCAAAAGCGCAAGATTGTGATCCAAAGCGCTTGTGCAGCCTGAATTTTTTTAAAATAACATTAAAATAATGCTAATAGCTGATTGTTAATTTACCAGTTGGTCTCCTTGAGTTTCGAGGGGCAGGAGAGACTGCTTGAGTGGCTTCCTTGAGTAGAGGTGCGTCGAGTTTCCTTGGAAGTAGGTGGCTGCGAATTTTTGGAACTTGAATTCTGAAAGGTCAATGTCATTGGCAGGCTGGATGGGGGGCATGACCTCGTCGTCGGTGGGTAGTGAATCATCAGTATTGGCAGTCGGCAAGTCCTGATAAATAACAATTAGATTTTAACAAATTGAATTTTTTCTGGAAAATACCATGAAAACTGCATTGGCCGCTCCTCTGCCTGTGCTCTGCTGATCCGAGCTTTGGTCCGGGAGAAAATCAAACATTGCCTCCACAAGTTTTCCATCGTCCACCGGCTCCTCTTGCTTCCGAGCTGCACTTTCAATTCTCGACCTTTGATTTTCTGCCTTCTTCCTTTTCTCCTCGTCAATTATCATCTCTCGCCTCTCCAATTCGACCAGTCTTTCCTGTTGAATGGGAAAATATTGTATTTTTTGTTCATCAAAAGTCATACTTGAATAAATTACCCTGTAGTGCATCTCGGCGATTTCCTTAGCCCTTTTGTTACCCTGTTGCGCCAACTCCCTCTCCTCCTGCCGTTTTTTCTGCAAAGCTTCTATTTGATTCCTTCTCTCGTGCCTAGTTCTGTGGAACTGACGCTGCGCAATCATTTTTCTGACATGAGACTGCAGTTTCACAGCAGCCCATATTCTTCTCTTTGCCTCTCTTCGAACCAAATAGCCACGACATCTGGCCTGTTTATTTAAAAAAAAAAAAAATATTTTGTTATTTATCATTTATCATGTATGAACATTTGCATACTTATCACTGCAATCAATGGATGCCGAATTGTATTTCTACAATATAATTCTTACGCATTAGCTCTATCATAATATATATATTATATATATGTTGTGTATGCTATTTTTAATATCAAAATAGTGTGGCAAAATTCTCACTTTTAAACTATCTAACCAAAATTTTCATCTTTATTTAAATTAAAATAAAAAATTTAATATTATTATAAAAGACTTATTTTAAAATAAATTTATAAAACAAATTAAAATGAAACTATAATAAAATATTCATTGCATAAATTATTTTAGACTTAAATAAAGTTAATTTAATATATAATGAGACTTATTCGCTAGAGATAATCTCCTTGGCTAGCTATACTTAAAACATGGTTAGCCCGGGAGGATATCTCTAATGAATGTCCCCCAATATTTTTTTTTATTATTTATTATAAATTTAATACTTTCTTGTATAAATTATAAAGAGCCTCTATAATATTTTAAGATAATTTACCTGAAGGGAGACAATGTGGCCTCTCAAGTGTCTGAACCTGTGGGCCAACACTCTGGACCGAATTAGCGCCTGCAACCTCATGTAACCAACTCTCATTTCCAGGTAGCGCCTTCTTTGAGCGTGCGCTCTCCAGTATTGTTGAATCTAAAATTCATTATTTTAATAACCTGAAAAAACCTAGATGAAATTTTTCACTCACCACTCTGGTGGCTGCTTTGAGCCTGAGGAATCTCCTTCGATGGACCCAGGATTTGATGTTCTTTTGCAGCACAACTATGTACCTTGTCAGCACCCTGTCTCGTTCCTGCTCGAGGAAAAGGTCGTGGGCGTCCTTAAGGAAAACCTTAGTCTTGCCCAGTTGGTAGTCTGACCTTCCCAGGACGGCTTGACATATTCTGGCCGTCGCTGCTTTGCAGTCTGCTTTGTGGGCAGGCGGCACTCCCGGAATTAAAAAGCGATATCTGTTGAAAAAAATTTGACAAATTGAAAAAAATATAAATATAAAAAAACCTGGTTAAAATTCTACAAATGGACAAATCTCTACTTCATATTTATTTAATTTGTCTCTCATTTAACCTTCACTTAAATCTGATTTAATTCTGAGTATTTCAAATAGCTAATTATTATTATTTGATTTTTTTCTCATTTACCTCTCAATAAACTCGTGGAAGGAATGCCTGATGGGGTAGCCTGCCCTTCTGATGCGAATGGTCTCCATCATGCCCGAGTACCTCAGCTGTCTGCAGCACAGGGCTCGATCGAACAGCATTGGTTTCTTGAACTCGTTGGGCTTGATGCACCTGATGAAGAAGGGCTGGCAGTTGGACAGAGTCTTCATCAGCAAGTCCAAGCTCTTTTTGAACTGCGTTGACAAAGTCGGGGTCCTTTTTCTGGTCTCGGCGCCCATTCCAATGTCGTCGGCAAAGAGCAGCTGGAGGAAGGGGTTGGACGAAATGTGGATCAGCTGCAGCAGGTCGGCGCTGAGGGTGTCCCTGTTTTTCTCCAAAAAGCCTCTGGTGTCGTAGAAGACGACTCCGGCAAAGTGGCTTAGGCCAAAGGAGGTGTTGATGTCACTCTTGGGCTTCAGGTAGTGCCTGTGAGACCCGTGCTGCTTGTGTAGTTTCGCCAGCATGGTCTGATCTGTGCCTTTCGGAAATCTTTAAACACAAGATTTGTTTGTTTGAAGAAGTTGACACTCGAGGAGATTTGTTATTATTATTATTGTACAGGGGAAATTAAATATTTACAAATTATTGCATTTTACATCAAATTTACTTTAAATACAGTGGAAATGCAGCAATTTCTTTATATTTAAATTGTTTATTTTAATTTTAGGTCATTTTACAATTTTCATTTATTGAGAAAGTATAATTTGAATTGTAAAATTAGTTGATCCAATTGTAGGGGAGGTTTAATTATTCTTCACATAAATATCAGTAGAAATAAAACTTCATAAAAAAATTTATCACTTAAAAACTTAAACACAAGTGTGGTGCGCGCCCCTCACAAGCAAAAGTGAATAAAACAGTAATAATAAAATAATAATAAATATTAAAAATAATATGTTATATTTTAATATTTTAAATAAAAAAGTAAATTTTTATCAGAAAATTAAGATTATTTAGATTAAAATTGGCGCATTTTAGTGGCAATTTCAGGAATTTCTTGGCAAGCAATAAGATTTTAGAGACTTTTGTTCAGAGTCCTAATAGAAACTGTTCAAAAAGACCCCAGATCGGAAAAAGAATTTTGATTTTTAATTGAAATTTTTGATATATTTCTTTTAATGGATTTATCTACCTTGATTCCTCATCGATCAGAGCCATGATGTTGAGTTGTTTGACCGCAATCAGGTCTAGCGCATCTTGGTTGTCCACAAATTCAATGTGCCTCCAGTTGATGGCTTCCAGATTGTACTCCTCCTGCTCCAGTTTGAAAATGTGCTGCACGAAGAACTGTTGGAGATTCTCGTTGGCGAAATTGATGCAGAACTGCTCGAAACTGTTGGTCTTAAAATTCTCAAAACCGAAAATGTCCAGCACTCCGATGGCGTTGCAGGACGTCGACTTGGGCTTGTAGATGGCCTTGTTGATCTTGTTGACAATGTAGACAAAGAGTCTGCCGTAGATGCCCTTGGAAAGGGCGTCCCTGACGTCGACCGCCTGCTCCCTTGAAAGGGTGGACACGACCGACTCGCCCGACGCGAAAATCGTCCTTCTGGTCAGGGCGTCTATCAGCGGCTGTTTCCCCACGCCTAAAATGTTCGCCACCCGCTGGACGTCCGAGTGCTCCGGAATTTCAGTCGCGTCCAAATTATCTTTACAAAAAAAAAACGGTTCTTTTAGATAAATCAGTGAAATCAGTGCCAAAACTTTACCAATGACCGACGCCTTGTAGCGAATGTTTCCTGTGTGCAGCAAAGCGGCCAGCAATTTCAAAATGTCCCAGATTTCTTGGTCCGAAAACAACAGGACCTTCATCGCAGATCGAATGTCTGCAAACTCGGCCGCGTCATCTCGCCCCTCGCAAATAATGCTTCCACCCTTTTATTAAGAAAAAAAAAATTAAATTAAAAACTTAAATGTGGATAAAAAATTTGTTCAGAAGTCTTTTTCTCATATAAAGAGGAAAATTTTAATTTAAAATTTTCCAGTTAAATTCATGTTGAGCAAAATAGTATTTTTGCAATAAAGTAAATAATTCGCAAAAAAAAAAAGCAAAAATAAAGACTATCGGCGGAGAAAGAATGACCTTAAAACATACCCCAGTCAAATATTTGTAGTGTGAGGCATCTTCCAGCTCCAGTTTCCTTTTATCTTCCGAGCTTAATCCGGCAAGCATACAATAGAAAACGTGATAATTCCGCTCGTCTGTGCTTTGAGCAACAATGCGCGACTTCTCCAGCAGGTATTGCTCAATCTTGGCACCCTCTATGACGCCGCTGTGCGAAAAATGGATATCGACGTACTTTCCGAAACGCGAGGAATTGTCATTTCGGATTGTTTTCGCATTTCCAAAAGCTGCAAAAGTTTTCCATTAAAAAAAACTCATGAAACAAATTGTTTTTAAGTACCTTCTAAAATTGGATTTGCCTCAAGAATCTGTTGCTCGATCCAAGAATGCTTTCCACTTATGGCGGCTAAATACTGCAAAATCAGTTTTGTGCTTTCTGTCTTTCCTGCACCGCTCTCTCCACTGAAAAGTTATGAAAAAACACATTAAACATTGATTAAATTTACTAAAATGTAAAAATTATACAGTATCAAATATGTATTTAGACCTTTTGGACTTTTGGACAAATTTTAGTTTTCAAGAATTATGACCAGGTCAAAATAAAAATTTATTTGAAAAAATTAAAAATGTTTTCATATTATAGTTTTATTAAATAATTCTAAAATATTCTAAAGATAACATTAAAAGAAAATTTATTATTTTAATAAAGAAAAACTATAATCAAATAAAATTTAACTTGCAGTTCATAAAGTTACCTATTTATTAAATGAAATTTAAATGTTTCTTTTTAACATAATTTTCAGCTAGCAAAAGTAAACACTATATTAATGAAGAATTGCACATATTTTTATTTCTTTTTTATCTTAAAAAACTTCAACTTTTGAAATTTAAAGCCTTTGAAGAGTGGCGTGAGACGATAAAAAAATATTGCTTTAACCCCTTCCAAATGGAATGAGCGCCGGACTAACAGGATCAATCTACGGCGCATTTTTTCACGACTGAACACAAAATCCAATTAACCTGATGACAATGCACTGGTCTTGGCCAAAGCGCCGCATGTGCGTGTAACTGTTGTCACCGATGGCGAAAATGTGAGGCGGCAGCTCGCCAATTTTCCTGTCCTTGTACAGCTTGATCTGCTGCGCCGTGTAAATGGGCAGCACTTGGTACGGATTCACAGCCACCAAGATCGAGCCCGTGTACGTCTGCGGATTATCGTTTACTTTAATTCAAAATAAAATTTTAAAGAAAAAGTACTGACGTAGATGAGGTTGTCGTTGTAGCGGATGAGCAGATTTCTGAGGATGCCCGCTTCGTGGAGGTCGCCGAGCGAGATCATGTCCTCCACGCCCTGCACAGAAGTCGCGTGCATCGCTTTGATGCGAATCTTCTCCGGACTCAGCCATTGTTCCTAATTTTTAATTAATTATTTAAAAATGTGAGTTGTGCAAAACGCAAGTGGCTAAATCGGGCTAAATTAAGATTTTTTGTAGAATAATAAATAATTTAAAAATTTTTACACATTCATAAATAAAATTAATCAATATATTTCAATTTTTTGAGCTCAATAATTTAGTTTAAATAAATTAAATTAAATGCATGGCATTTAATAAAATTCATTGATTTAATAAAGTTTAGTTGAATTTTTTTTAATAAAAATAATGCCACAATTATGCTCAAATTCATTTAAAATCAAATTTTTTTCCAAATGAAAATTTCAAACCTTGCCGTCGTCGTCCTTTATTTGTATTTTTCTTCCTTCTGTGTTTGTAACTTTGGCGCCGATAGCGACGTCAAATTCATAACTGGAAACGGGCTCGACCCATATGTAATCGCCCTAAAGTACAGAAACCCAATTAAATTTCACAACGAGTTGTTGTGCAACAAAACGCAGCTCCGGTTATTCCGTCCCACACCCTTTGGATCTACCTTTCTGGGCGAGTTGAACGCGTTAATATTCCGTCTCATAATAACAATAATGGACCGAAAACTGAGCTGCGTTTTATTTACCAACAACTGAACGAAAACTGAGCATGTAAATAGCGGGCAAAAGGGACTGTTACGCATGGCTTTGTCGGGGGTGGTCGGAAAACAATGCTCGGTGCGCACCGGGCAAAGAGACACAGGAAGCACTTCCGCTTCTACTTCCCCTCTGACTACTTCTAATCAAATGACGAAAAATGGCAACACGGAGTGAAATGAGCGCAATAAACTGTAATAAAATTCACGCCCTCTAAAGCGAAACTAGTAAAATAGCTCTACCTATTAAGACTGAGGAAAAAAGTTTTTTATTTTTTAGAAAGAAAAAAAAATGATAAAAAGTCACATTTTATAAATGGAGGAAAAAAAAGGATTTTTTTTAAACGAATCAATTTTTATAGAATAAGTTTACATTACAATGATTATGACGAAAGGTTGATAAAAAAATCTCTATTTTTCTTCAAAAAACTATGCTTTTTTTGTCCTGAAATTTTCCAATGGTCAAAATTTAAATTCAGCCAGCTAAAATAATGTTAAAAAAAATAATAATAATAATGGGACAGCTCAAAAAACTCTTTTTCCACTCAAAAATTAAATTTTGATCAGCTTGACACAATTTTCAAAGATGTATTATGTGATAAAAATTCATTTCGAAACAATTAAAAAAAAAATAATAATACTAAATAAGTTAAAACCACTTTTTTCATCAGTCAAAAAAAATCATCTTGGGTACCTTCATGTCAAAGCATTGCATCTTGAAAAACTATAGTTGCTCTTCCTCTTGCTGCGTAGTAAAAATAAAATTTTACTTTAATTTTAAATAAATTAAGATAATTAAAGGTTTCAAAAGGGCTAAGGAGCAGGTGTTCTATTTGTAGCCTGTCAGAGGTTCAGACATGTGTCTAGTTCGGTGTTTTGTTAATTTTATTAAAAGCGCAGGTCGCTGAGGTCAGACGCCTCCGTTTGTCACTTACCCTGGTCACGATCACCATGGCGAACCGCTAAGGAGCAGCACCTGAAACACCGTGAGACGAATTTCTTTGAATTAATTATGTTGGTAGAGGCGTAAATCAATTTTTCGTAGTGCGAATTTCAAACAATATTTTAATACGCCTTGTCCGAACGCGAACTTTAATGTTCGTCCCGCCTTATTTGACCTCGTTGGTGATTCACGTGTGTGTGTCTGAATATTTTATACAATCCTACGCGAGTTGTAGTAAAAATATATTGCTGTTTAGGCTGATTGTGATGGTGCCATGAATTTTGTTAGACAGTTTTTGCCAAATAAAGGTTTTTATAATTTTAAAAATAAATAATCACTTTAAGAATCGCAAAGTTGTTAAATATAAATTAAAAATATTTTATAATATATGTATATATATATATTTAAAATTATTTTAGCATTTTTTTTAAATTAAATTTTTATTTAAGATTAAAACTTTAAATCTGCTTGAAACTTTTTAAAACTTTGTTGCAATTTTTAATTATAAATTCGGCTTTGGAAACAATGCAATGAAATTATTTAACTTGAAAAATAATGATTAATTTTTTCAGTGAGTTATGTAATCTATCTGTAGGGTTAAAATTTTTAATTAAAAACAATAATAACTTTGTAAATTTTGAGTCTTAACAATAGTTGGTAAATTAATTTCAAAACAATGAAGAGTTATATACAAAATTGCATTTTATTTTTTTCCCTTTTCTTATATTTTAAATTTACAAATTTTATACCATAAGTAGAATTTTTAACCTGTAGCTAGCCATAATTTCCCTTTTCTTGAAAAGGTCAATATGAAATGCGGTGAGTTGAATTTAAAGTCGGCTTTTCTTTGGTTTTTAGATTCTTAATTGTTTAAAAAAAATAAAAATATCTTGATTTTTTTTTCTTAGACAATAAATGACTGAATAAACAAATTGATCATAAAATTCTACCGCACAAAATGAAATATGGTTATTTTATTAGAATTTTAATCTATATATTGGTTGCTATTGAACGGTACAAGTTTTACACGGCGTGGAATCCTACCCGCATACTCGTTGATGATTTTTCAAGTGTCAGTCGTGGGTCATTAATGCCCTCACATGACACAAATGGGTCCTCTATTTTCGGCTCATTAGCATTTCGGTCGTTTTGTTTACAACGCCGGTAACAAACCATATAATTCAGACGTCTCTCCACAGAGACACAATTTAGATCAGCGCGCATAGTGAGAGAAAGAGAATCCCGAGTTCGGTGCTGTGCGATACTTCCCACGGAATGTTGTGTTTAAATAATTATGTCGGCGGGCGTAAAGAAAAAAACTGAAACACTCACTTCAACCGGGGACAACTATAAATGAGGCCCTGAACTTGACTCAATTTTTAATGCAGATTGATTTATTCTCTGATTCAATCTTACAAACTTTTAAGAAAAAAATAAATAATTTGAGTAAAAATTAATTTCTATAGCAAGTTCAATGTGATGCTTTTTGCGTGATTATTTTCTATAAATTTTTTAATGCTTTTGTTTCTCTTGTGTGAAGTTAAAGTTTCTGAGTAGGGGTTAAAACAAATTGAAAAATTGTGCCAGGGATCAAAATTTAATTGAGCTTTTATCCCAAGTTTTAATCATTGCCTGCAAAAAATTGTTTTTACTTTCAGAAAAATTGAAAATTAAATTAAAACTTCTTTAGAAATCAACGTAAAATCCAATATACGATTCATTTTATTTCAGTTTTTAAAAACTGCGTTGATTTTTGTGTGCTCAAAAGAGTGTTTTTTGTTTTGTCTTGTACTTAAAAATAAAAAGGTTGGTAAAAGCTCATGACTAATGGGAGCTCAAATAAAAAAGGCTTGAAGCTGTTTAGCATGTGTGTTACTGGCGACCAGCAGAAAGCGAAGCCACGCTGGTCAGACGCGCGGCTAACTGTTTTTTTCCCTCTTTAACTTTTTAGAGCCTTCAGCGATCGACAAGGCTGAGATTCCTGCTGCTCGTCCACCGGCCCGGAAAGATGCCGATAAACTTGCGCCAACAAACTCATCGTCGTTTTCGTTTGGGGAGTCAATATTTGAAATCGGACGCCTTGATGAAAGCAAAATAAGAAAAGAAAAAAAAACAAGCTGCTGCCGCCATGGCGAACCGTTATTAGCATTTTTCTTGTCTTTGTTCCCATTGATTATTATTTCCCGCTGCGGTTTAGTGCGATTCCGCCAATCAGCCAGGAATCCATAGATCAGTGTCTTGAATTTACTTTCTTTCCTCCTTACTCAATCCGTTCGTTGCTAGGCAGCTGAGGAAACCACCGCATAATTTTTTGCGGTCAATTAACTCGGTTTTGTAACTTGATATATATTTTTCACTCGCAAAACAATTTAATTAGTTCCGAGCTCTCCGCACAAAATAGAAAATAAAACGAATTGAATGATGAATATGGAGCGGCGCGAGTGACCAAATGATGCTCTACTTGCTTGTCTCTCTTTTTGTGGCCGATCAGGCGGTGCGCGACTCTAATTCGATTTCCTGCTGCCGATCTATTGTTACAGCGCGTCGTTTTCCATGCACGTGATGCACGGCCCTTCCATGGCTTCTCTATTCATGCCACTTTTAAGTTTGCAGCGCAAACTTTGCACCTCTAATGAGAATGCTGACTGCAATTTTTTTGCAGAAGAATCTGGACTCTTTTCCAATAAGTGCAAAGGAAATGAACAAAGAATTTCTGCTGACATTGGCGGATTATATAACGACATCATAGATTTGATTAAATTTGCTAAAATAGTACCAGAATATCACAAATAACAACCGATGAAAAAGACTATGATCTTTTGAAGAAAGAATAATAGATTTGTATAAGATATTACATTGTTTATAGATATAAAAGTTGATGAGATACATTTCTGGTGAAACTTGCCCGAAAAACGGTCAGTAACTTTTAAATCAGCAATAACTGTTTACTCAAAACATCTGAATATTATAATTGTAAATAATATGTGGATACCAATTTTGACTGGTGGGACTAGAACTTGTTTTTGCCATTATCCATTTCTTAAAATAAAAAAGTCAGCTCTATACAATTTGAATTACAAAAAATAAATTAAAAAAACAAAAAACAATTGCAGATTTAAATCCAGGCATGGATTCTAGTAAAAATGGAATTACACAAAAGATGAATAAATAAATAAACAATAATTGTTTAATTTTGCATTAATGCAAAATTAAAAATAATTATCACAGGAAAATCCAATGTAGTTTCATTTTAAAAATGTGCAATTAACATATCTTTTTTAGTACAGAACGCATTTTATAACGTATCAAATTATTTAAAATTGTGATTCTTTGTAAAAATTCATAATTATTGTTGATATTTCACATATCATTTCAAACAAGATTGAAAACCAGCAATTCAATTATGGTTTATTAAATAATCAAATTTTTTACATGGCTTGGTTACGTTGGAAATTATCTAATAATCTTCAACAAACATCTCTCCTTTGTGTGAAATTTAATTCTTACGTTGATCTCTCGCTAGTTGTCATTTGATAGGAAAAGCAAACAAACTACTCCTTTATCTCTCTCGCGTTTTCTTTCCTCTTAATCACCACAAAGCCTCTGCAATATTTCCAAGTAACAACGCGAATCAAGGCCACTTACAGAAAGTTAAGTAACAGGGAGATTGTGCCTTTGGAATAAAACAAAATTTGCGACAAGTCAAGCGGAGTATAACACTTCACGGAAGCGTATACTTTGCTTGGATGGCAAAACTTTTAGCCTCTTAGGTGCTGTTTCATGCCTCGTTTCTCGACTCTGCCGAACAGAACAGCACGAAACAAATCAGTGGACTAATCAAACTCTCGTTTCACTCATTATGCTCCAGTTGAGAGAGCCCACTCGTTTTTTTTCGCCGACCTCATCCCGCGCGCAGGCCAAATTTGCATAGAGAGATTTATCTCGGCATCATTTTGCCGTGAAACGCACACAAGCCAAGCGGATGCACGCAATATTCGTAAACGATTGTTTTGGTTTCAGTTGCTGAATAATTTAGGTTGCGACCCACAAAAACATATTTTAATTTAGGGTTTCATCAAGAAAAAATTATATAAGATTTTGAAATTAAGTTAAACTGATCGCAACTTTATTTGTTTTTAATAATTAAAACTCACCTTTTTTAAATTTGTATTTTATATATTTCAATCTACAATTTGAACATTAAAAATAATTTTTTTTAATCTTTTTATATGGTGAACTATTTTTGTTGGTTTTGAATATAATTTTTATAAATTTTTTATTTTACTTTGCTTCATACAATTTTAATTTATGGAAGTTAAAATATTTATTTTAAGCTTAAATATTTTACTAGAATTTTTATAATTTTATTCCAAGAAGTAAAAGTGAAGAGATTGCCAGAAATTGGAGATTGACATATGGTGCTGGAGCTAGTTATCGCACAGCAAAAAATTTCCCTAGTTACCGCACAGCGGCTGCGCAGTGCATTGATCAGTTTTTGTAAATGGCCGCGCAGCCGCTGTGCGGTAACTAAGGAAAATTCTTATGCTGTGCGAAAACTAGCGCCAGCACCAGTGTGCTTTTCTTTTATTTCTTGCATTCAAAGTAACATTGTTTTCATGGCTGAAAAAGGCAATGTAGGAAAAACTGGGATGAATAAAAGATAAATAAAGCAGATTGAACAATTTTGTAGGACGTCAAATTTAATTTTAATTAGAGCACTAAAATCAATCTTGTTCTCAATTATTGTAAAAGAAAATATAAATTATTTTATTTTATTAAATGAATCCTAAGAGTTTCAAAAATCCTATACAGTATACATCTCAATACAAAATATTTGTATCCATCGCCTTTAAGATTGATTATAATTAGCTTTTATTTCTATAAAACAATATCTTCGAATGCTTCTTTAATGTAATTTAATAATAGATTTTTTATATTCTCATCAATTACATAATGCATCTGATTTTTCTTTAAAAGTCAAAAGAAACAAAAACCACGAGGTACTGTGCAATAAAATTGTGGGGATAGCGTGAAAAAACGCGCCCCCGGGTCGGGAGGAATTGGACCCGCGACGAGGAAACCACAAGGGATGCTCGTCTCCAATCTTCCAGCTCGCGGTGCTTTGAAAGCGAGGCAGGTATAAGAAAAGTTACGGTTCATAGCAGAACAGGTGCATCCATCGCCGCCGCTTTTGCTTACGTCACCGCGCGTTTGGAAAACAATTGCGTGCATTACAAACAAAGCTTTTGTGTTGCGTATTTTGCATCGATTGTTTTACAAAAGAGAGATAATGCACGCGGGAGGGTAATGATAGGCATAATTGGAACTGGCCGCGGCTATTTTCACGCTCCAGTAAGTCGATTTGAATTTAATTCCGCGTGGTATGTGGAGCATTTGAAGAAGAAGAAGAGAGGCCTGCCTGGAGAAGGACCGCTCCGTCAGTGAGAAAAGCTGCTGTGCCGCTTCTTCTTTCGCGTCTTCAGGTCAAACTGGCTCCCTCAGGTTTCATTCATTTGCCATTGTTTTTGCGTCTCTCCAACGCTTTCTTTCGTCTCTTTCTCTCCGTAGCTTTTTATACTACGTTTTTACCTCAGGACCGTCAAGAAAAGGACTCTTAGCAATACAGTTTTAAACTCTCTTATATAAATTTTAGAAAAATTGAAGAGTTTCAATCAATTTTTTGTTTATAATTATTCAATTGATTATATTCATTTCAGATTTTTATTTATTTAGAAAATCAAATAAATTCCATGCCAAATTTTTATACAATTTTTCAAATGCAAAAAAAAAATTAAAATCGACTAAAACATGGACTATATTGTATCATATAGGGTTTCCAAAAATAGCATGAATTTCTCGAATTCATGACTGATTTACTGAATAAATACGGGTTTGTTTTCAATATTCAATCAAAGAATAGATTGAATAGATTTTAATTGAACAGATAACAAATTTTTGTGGCCGACTACAAAAATTTACTCATGGGTTTATAACAAAATATTATTTATTACCCGTTTGAATATCCAAATTCTTTTATGTTCTTTTTGCTGTTAGAAATATTTTAAAAGCCAAAAAATGGTAATTTTAAGCTCAAAAATATCTGCGTAAAGAAATTTTAAAGAAAATAAATTAAAAATGCAATTTTTCAAAACATTTATCATTTCAAACAATATTCAACAAAATGAATTCAAAATTTGAGCAACTCTAATATTAAATTTGACGCACAATTTTAATTTGTTCGAGGGTGGAAAATACATAATTTACAAACAATTATATAGACGCAGAGATAACTTAAAAAGCACTAAATCGTTAATTTAAAGAGATAAAAGTTCTAAATTGATCACAATCTGTATCACTAAAGGCTCTAAAATTCCAACGCACTTTTGTTAGTGTATTATCGCATCATTGATATCTCAAGAAATCTAAAGTTTAAAAAGTTTATTTAAAAGCACTCTAAACTCTAATCCCCCATTGATTTGTGAGTCCTGATTGAATTTTGAGAATAAGTACGTCAGGTGTGCACCGTTGGGAGAGGAAGCTTGTTTCCGAAACTATAAAATAGTCATGCTCACCATCATGTTAATTATTATCCTAGCTATTTTTATGGCACCCTGGCGTAACTGTACTTTCTGCTGTCAGTCAGAAATATAAATATAATGAGAAATCACGCGTTCGAAAGAAAGCTGCATGCTGAGTAAAGAAGAAAAATAAAAGCGCGCCTGCAACTCAAGCATGATTCGCCGACTTGTGATTTTCTATTCACGCACACACTACTGTAAAATTTAAATTAGTCAGCATGTTTTGCATGCGCCGAGTATGTCACGCCGCGACAAATCGGAAGACTGTGAGTTGCAAAGCTGTCTTCCATTCATTTCGTTTTATGTCGGTTCCCCCCAAATTATGGAGTTTGCCAGCTCATTATCTTTCTTTATAAAAAAGAAAACACACAATCTTCATTTTTTCAAGGATGAAATGTACACAAATCGGCAAGAAAAGAAATAAACAGTATTTTTGAGAGATTAATCAAGCGTTTTGGAGAGATGTCATTCTATATTTGACACCTCTTGAGAACCACTTTAGAGATCTTATCTTTCTCGAATCTCATTTTCTGTTCTTTCACCAGCATTTGTTTAAAGTTGAAAAAGAGAGAGAAAGACCGTCTGGAGATAGATGAGCTGCCTCTTATATCCGCCGACCTATGCATCTTGTTTGTGCCTCACACACTGCTTGAATACATGCTTATTCTTGTATAGCTGTTTCTTATTTCACTCACGTAACCGCGTTAATGGGTGACGTGAATATTAATTATTGTATGTGTTGGTTTAAAGGCACAAAATTGATGCTACTTCATAGACCATGAGTTCTAAAATTAAATCATAAATCTAAATACCAAAAATATAATTTTATTTTACATTTTATATTTTACATTTATTTTCGTAAAATAATTTAGGGTTGCAAATTTTCAAAGTTCTATGTAAAAATATTGCAAATTTATGTTAATTATTCATCTAGGATTTTACTGCGCACTTTTTAGCTTGTAGCAATTATTGTTATTTCATTATAAATAAAGGATACTACTTTGATTTCTAAGTCTATAAATATATAATAATATTATTAAAAATATAATTAAAACTTTGGTAAGTACATATCCATAAGTATTATTAAATCAATGTGGCAGTGGCAGATTGTAAATATCCACGAAAATAGAGCAAAAAATAAGCATAATATTTTCAATAAAATACAATAAATGTTCTGTTATATCAATTATTTACAATTTTTTATCTTATATAAAGGTTACATGATCTTGCATTCTCCTCTATTTTAAATTTGATCAAAGTTTCAACTGAAAAATGCGTGGTGATTTTGGGTTGGGCCATCGGGCCATCCAACAGCCAACACACACTTTTTTTTCTTAATTTATTGCCTTGTCGAGCGAAATAGCAGCAACTCGGAGTGCTGGCCGCGCATCTTGATAAAAGAAGAGAGCCGGTTGTGGAATAATTACTCAGCTAGCCATTCATTTTGACCCATATTCCGAAAAAACGAAGAGGCGCTGCAAAAGTCGCGAAAACTTTTGCTGGGTTCCAAAGCACGCGGCGGCAGACGCTGGAATTAATCATCGCCCCGTGAACTTGACGCCAATTTGCGTCGCCATAATTGCATTTAAAGCCCAACAAACAGACGCCGACCTTCATGCACACGCTGTAAAAAACGCTCGACTGACTATAGCAGAGGCGCAACCCTCTTATTTTTTTTTCTACTTCAAGTGCCTCCGCACGAAAGTAGGAGGAAATCGCTCTCTGCGCGGAAGCGTAATAATTCCAACCTCTGATCTTGGCAGCGTGATAATGGGCCAATTTCACTTCTCCTAGCTGTTTTCCGAAATTGGATGCGCTTTTAATTTCGGTCCCCAATTATTCCTCTCGCAACTAACAACGATTTGCGGGTTTTAACTGGCCACAAATACGTGATGATTTCATTCCCACCTCAAAAACCAACAAGTGTGAAGGAAACTGTAAAAGACTTGATTTTAAAAACCAATTATTGAATTTAAAATTAAAATTGAATCAAATGTAAATTGAATCTATTCCAGTATTACTTCATATTAGATTCAATCATTTTAAGTTTTAAATTCAGACAATGTAGTTGAGATGTTTTCATGGGGGAAATTACTTTTAAGCTCTCCCCCTATTTCAAACGAGCAAACCCGGAGTTAAAATCACGCCTCGGAGCGATGGCAGGATTTTTAAAATTGGTGAATCCAGTTTCGCGAGTCGAGACGCTTCTTAATTAGGCTAATCTGGAAAAACTGCTTGATATGACAGACGTGGTCGCGGCACCGGCAAGGTCAGTGACCGGTTCGGAAAGAGCGTACCTGGCGCTGCACCGCTGAATTGGTGCCTTTTTGACTCACCTGCTGTTCAGCCTGGTGGTGCGGGGGTGGTGGAGTTCACCACGGGCTCATCGGCATCCGGCCGGCGCTCCCCAATCCGGGAAAATCCTAGCGAAATCCGGCAAGGGCACTGAGGATGCACTGTGACACCTGTCAAACACCTGATTGGCTTGCTGCGCCCCGAGAACTCGGCGAGCAGGTGAGAAAACGAGCGAGGCGCGCCCTGGCGCACAGGTGAGACGACCGACTCGCTGCGGCCCTCCAGGTGAGACATCTGGCGAACAATGAGCCGACCATGCAACCAACATACACTCTCAAGTGGACGAATTCTGTCATATTTAAATTGCCTCTCTTTATGTGTTATTTGTTACACTTCCAGTTGCATTAAATTGATCGATTTTTTTTTAATCACTTCACTTACACGCATAAATGACAGTTCCCAGTATTTATTGTCAACAATTATAATTAATAATTTTATATTCAAATCATTTTGCTAATTATTTAGCACATTCTTGTATAAAGTTTAACCTGACAAAAAAAAAATATTTTTTTTATTCACCAATGATGATTTTATTTTATACAGTATAATATATAAATTAAATTAATAAAAGCTTTTAATTTAAAAATTATTAAATATTTACTATAAAAAAATAAAACATGATTTAAATTTATTTTAAAAATTTTTTTGAAACTGTACACGTAATTATAACTTATCAGAAAAAGATGATTGATTGATTATTGATGTTTATAACTTAAAACTATCATTTTTTAGGGCTGACTGGGCCAGACCTAAACAAAGTCTTGTCGGTCTGTGCCCTTTATGAGTGATGCAGAAGGCACGGAAGGCACCACTTGATATTATTTTATATTTATATATATATATATATATATATTTTTTTTTGCGGGGCAGAGTGTTGGAGGTTCAACCAGATTCAACTTTATTAAATATCATCATTTTTTTTGCTAGAAGTTGAAAAGTAGAAAAAAGAGTTAATCTAGTTGTAACTATTGCCCCATAAGGCACTTTAGGAATTCAAGAGCCTTTATGGATAACGAGAAATCCTAGGTTTTTCTTATTAGGAGCGACCCGGATAATTTGGTAGGCTTTACCAGCCGATAAGCGCCGAATGGAGCTTGGCAGGATTTTAGACCATCCAGATTCCAGATGAGTAACAGAAAGAAAAAAAATCAGCTAGCCTTGTTTTACATTAATGGAATTAATGAATCACAATTTCAACTTATAACAAATGAATAAACTATTATGTTTATGTATTTCAAAGTAAGTACAAACCATTTCTTTGATATAAATTAATAACTGGATTATTCTTTAATTTTATTTGTTCATTTCAAAATTAGAAATGATTCATTTAATATATTTAAAAAAATTAGATTCAAGTCCTTTTTATGTAGTTCAATTTTTTAACTTTATAATCTGTACTTACGATTCAGATTAAATAACATAATATAATTTAAGGCAATTATGATAAAAAAATTTAGTACACAGTCATAATATTTGTATTATAGCTTGCGATTAGTTAAAACTTTCAACCATATTTGATAAAGCGCGCAAACAAGAATAATGAAGGTATAATTTTTTTAATTTAAAGTCTTATACATTCTATCAATTTTCGCTCATGCTGTTTATTAATATTATTTTTTCTGAGAATGATTTTCTAGAACAATTGACAATATTATAGATTATAAATAAATAAATAACAAATAAAATTCAAACAGTCCTCTCTCTTTATCTGGCGCACACAATTAAGGTTTACTTGTCGCGACACTCATCACTCAGTCTGCACTCGCCGTCTGCGAAGAGGAAACCTTTGGCGCACGATCCGGTCGCCGCCCTTTTTCCGCCGAGACACGCGACAAACCGCGTGCAGTTGGAGCCGATGACCGCGTGCCGACCGTCCGCCTTGTCCGAACACTCGCTGCCCGCCCCCTGACCTTTGGCCGGACAGCTGCCCTTGGGCGTGCACTTGTTGCCGTCAAAAATGCGGCCGTTGCTGCACGTCAGGGTGCGCACCCTGTTCTCGTCAAGGCAGAAAAAGTACTGTCGGCACCCTGAGGAGGCGTCCGCGTGGTAGCCGTCGCCCTTGTTGACGCAGTCGGACGACCAGTATGGACACTCGAACGACGTGTCCACCAGACACGTGGTGCCGTTGTACGCGTACCCTTCCGGGCACAGGTACGTGATGGAGCGACCCTGGAAGCAGTACAGGTAGCTGCGGCACCCTGACGACAACGCGTCCTGGTAGTAACCGTCCGACTTGTTGAAACACGAACTGGGCAGCGGAGGCGCGCACGAAGACCCCGGGCTGCACATTTGCAGGGTCGTATTGAACACCTGGATCAACAAATAATGATTTTTTAATTATTTGAAAAAAAAAATAAATTAAATTTACATTACTAGTTTTAACCAGAATAGCATTTTTATGAGATTTTTTATTCAAGACAAATTATGATTAAAGCTATTTAACCATATCACCTATTCTCCCAAACCAATGACTATTCCAGTTAAAATAAAATATTATCATAACAATTTGAAAACATTAAAAACTAAAACCCAAGAAAACTTAAAACTAACAGTTGGTATAAAACCAATTAATTGATATTAAAAATAAAAATAATGACGGCACAATGCCCACAATGGCCAAAATGCGATTTCTTTTCAGAAATTTCAATTAATTACAGTACTGGCAAAAATGCTAGAATTTTGCTCTTGTTATAAATTAACTTGTTATCATTAAAATATTTGGCCATTCTCACAAATAAGATAAGGTCAGAAATGAGATTTCATAATGTAATTTGTAGATAATGAAATTTCATTTGTTCAAATTGCCAATAAAAATTAAAATTTTATGATCTAGAATGAATTTTATAAAAAACGTATTTATCCATAAAATAAAATAATATTATACCTGTCCAGTTGGACACTCGTAAATCTGGCTGCGAGTGCCGGAAGAAGAGCAGTAGAAATATCCCCTGCAGGAAGGGGTGCTGAACACTCCTGGTGTGGATGGGCACGCGGGAATGTCCTCGATGCTGTTGTGACCGCAAGTGGTGTCTTCGCCGCTCTGGCTGACGCAAGTAAGGCCGTTGAAGGTCATGGAGGACGGGCATTCACCTCTCTGGGTGACTTTGTGGTTTTCACACATTAGGTAGCTCGAGCAGCCACCCTGCATGTAATCCCTGAAACAATAAATTATTTAAGATCCATTGAAAACGAAATCCTCAATCTACAGAAAATTATATGATTTTTCATGTATTTCATCAGATTATATTAGTTGCAGATTTAATTTTTAGTAATGAATTCACTTTTTGAACGTTTTTTTATTCAAACTGGGAAAAATTTTGTTTAATATAATAGTGTTCCATTACTGGGACACGATTCGACTGCGCTACGATCATTGACAGTAACGTCGTCTGTATGAAAATGGCAGCAATAAAAAATAGGTTTTCACCTATAGAAAATTATTAACAAAGAACCAGCTCGCTACCTATTTTAAACAAACGTGTCTTAAAGATTCAGTTTCTTTTGTCTAAATTTACTTAGATGAAAATTTAAAATGAAGACAATTCATGCTGATGAATAGAATCACAGAATCATAAAAGCAAAATTGTCATGTCCAAAATGTTTAGTTGCAATCATTGTTCGTGTGCAAGATGTGTTTAAATAGCTTCTTGGTTGTTTCAAGTACATTTGACAACAACAGTATGTTATTCATCAGTTTTTTTAACACAAAGACTTTATTGTTTGAAGGATTTTATTTATAATGTAGTTTTAACTGTATATAGTTTAGTTTAGTGGAAGTTTATCAATATTAAAAAAAAAAAATTGGTATGTAAATATATTAAAATGCACAAGGGCACAAATAAATGTAATATTATTATAATGAATAATAATATTTTAAATGAAAAGATAATAAGATTTTAAATTAATTGTAATGGAGTTAAGTTATTTTATTTTTATTAAGCGATAAAAGTAAAAATTTTATTTAAACAGTTTTATTTATTGACATTTATTTCTGAAAAACGCCAATTTTTTTTCTGTATCCATCTAAAATCTCTGATACTCTTTATTAAAACTTGACCAAATGGATTTTTTTTTTTAATTGATCAAAATCAAGTTACAAACCTATGAATGCCGTCATTAAGTCCGAGGCAGGCGTGTGGCGACAAGAGATTATTTCTTTGTGCAGCGGTGGCGTTGTGCGGGCTGCAGTGGACCAGGGCGCTGGGCACGCACATGAGTCCGTTGAAGAGGGTGCCGTCGGCGCAGGACCTGCTGAGCACCAGGTCGCCGCCCTTGCAGAGCCAGTAGGTTGCGCAGGCCGCGTCCCAGTGGTAGCCGTCGGAGGCGCAGTCTTGCGAGGAGGCGGCGGCGGCGGCGGCTGCGGAAAGGCAAAGAAAGCGCCGAGCGCTCGTTAAAGTCTCTCAAGATTTATTCTCGCGCGGCGGCTAATTATGTAAGCACGTCAGTGAGCATTTTAGCAGAGCAGCGCGGGAGTGACGTCATGCACTGTGGCGCGCAGGTTCCGTCTGGAAATCCGGGAGCGCGCAAAGTGGAAGGTCTGACTGACCGCCTGTGTATAAATATTACACACGCAAAACACAACAACGCGCCACTACTTAATTATTCGCGCCCAGGCATCCCAAGAACGCCGCAATTAAAAAATTAAGCTCTCTCGCCGGCGCAGATGAGACGTGCTAATTGACTTATTGCCAGTGACCCGGCCGGGCGGCTTTTTTTATTAGGGCCACCTCTAGCTGCAGGTGCATCCTTGTGTTAATGAGTGGAGGTTTTACGAGCTGTCTGTGATCATTTTATGACTGCGCCTGCGACCAGCAAGGAAAAGTCATTTGGCGACAAAAAGCAAACATTTCTACTCACGTCATTATCTTTTTCTCTTGATTGCAATTCTATGATTTTTTTTTTTTTTAATATGCCTTTCATTTCAAAATAATTTCGTTCATCGTTCAAGTGAGATGTTTCTTAATTGAAAAATTAATGAAAAAATGTACAATTAAATGAAATTAATGATGTTATTGAAGAGGAATAACGTGATTTTAGCTGGATTTTAGTATAAAATTGAGCAGTTCGAAACTTATCCTTAGATGCATATAAACTTGAAAAGTTGTTTTCAAAGCCAATTGATAACGTTCAAAGACCCGGTCCAATAAGATGCTTACAATTATAGTTGGATTGTAAGATTTAACAGAATTGTGGGTTTTGCGACAAAACGAAAATTAGGATCACAATGTATGTAAACTTTGATAAATTCTTACAACGGAACTGTACTAATAAATTTCTTCATGTCAGACTTTATATATTTCAATTTACATTGAACATTTTATATAGAATTAACTGGAATTAACAAGAAACAAGATTTATATTTTATATGGTGGTGTTAATAATTAAAACTGTATAAATTGTACAAACTTGAATTTTGATTTAATCTCATCAAAAATGTTTTTATGTCCATTTATTCAAACGTATTTTATTTAATTAACATTCCGTGTTACTTTAATCATTTCAGTACATTTCATTTCTCTCCAACAATAATTAAGGCAAAAGAATCTATTCGGGAAATGACTTGAGGGGAAAAAGGTACGCATTTCATTATTAAATGGAAACGACAATCTACCTAATTACATGTACTTACATTTTATAAATATACAGCTAGAGTTGAAATGTGCATTTTGAGCAATTTAAAGAATAATCAATTTATGAAAAGCACAATGACTGAGAAATTTGATAGATTCTCGATAAATCAACTAATCAGTTTATGTTAATTGAATTGGTTTTTATTTGCTATATAAGCAGTTCTTTATTTATAAACAAATTTGAATATTTTATGTAAGAGAGAATAAAATAGCAAATTAAAATTTTCTGAATAAATTAAATTTTTGAAATAATTTTTGAATAATTTTAATTTGAAAATATTGAGATCCTTAGAACAAAACCTATTACAACTTTGAATTTTCACACTCTTTACATTAAAAACAATCCCATTCCCTGTTTATAATATTTATATTCTTCATTGAATATTTGTATGGTTTACATAACGTTCTCATTGAATTATTGAAGCGTTGGAGTTAAACATTAATTTATTCTTATTCTCATGTTGCCACAAGTCTGCCAATAAAATGTACGCGATTAATCATCTCACGCGGGTGAAGTGTGATAAAAATGTATGATTGAGTGTCAGTCGATCCGTTCTCTGTGCAGTTTAATCAAACCAAACATGCGCGCGGAGAACACGTTGCTTGAGGCGGCTCTCGAGAGTGTCAGACGGATGTTTTTATGTTTGCTAGTGTTAGGAAAGAGACTCTTCAAACACTGTGTTTTTGGTCTCAAGGCTTTGGCTTGCATGGGAATATAATAATATATGAATATACGGTATCAAAGAGAGGTTTTTTCCTAATTAAACGCATCCTGCAATTCTCCAAGCGGCAGAGAAAAGCAGGGAAGCCCCAGAGGAATATCACAAGAAGTGTCTATTTAAAATAATTATATTTCGAGCATAGCAATTGCACATAATAAGATTACAGTGTGAGATCAGCTAAAGTTGAATTACAAGGAAGGAAAGAGGATTAATTAAAATTAGAAGACATTCACTTAAAGAAATGAAACATTTTAAAATAAGTGATTTTGCAAAGCAAGATTTCTTTTGTTTTATTTTGAAGAGAGATCAAACAGAAATTTTAAGCATCATCATCTGTTAATTTCTTAGCAAATATTTTGGGGGGAAATATGGAATTAATTAAAAAAAAAATTATTTTAAGAGTTTTATTTCTATGGCAACAAAACTCGCAACCTTAGTTGGCTTGTTAAAGTGCAAAAATGTTCCCTTCAAAAAATCGTAAATTATCAAATCGAATGCGGAATAACAATTACTCATTTGATTGTTGTTGATCACGTGTGTGACAATTAATAGTCTAGAAGTATAGGTAAGACTTTGATAGACTTTTAACGAGCAGCGTAAACAAGACCTTGTTATAGAACGTTCAGGCGGTATCGGGTCGCGGTATCTGTAACGTAAATATTGCACAACGCCCTTATTGCCGTGTATGTTTGGAGGCAATGCACTTGTAGATGCAAAAGTAATTTCAATTTGCTCTGCTCTTGAGCAAACCAACATACACATCTGCGAGCGAGAGTGATGCCGAAAAGTGCCTGTCATATTTAGACTTTTTGCAAGCTTAATTGGCTGCCGCCTCTCAATATTTTGACATCTCACGTTCTGCACATTTGCGAGAGAAGAGGCATCTATTCAGCATTTTTCACATAGCTTTGAAGGCTGAACAAGAAGTGGATGAGAGCAAAATTGCTTCCAAACAGGATTTAGCACTCTGCCTGATTTTGGCACACTTTCAAGTGTGCAGGGAGTGATTTGTATTCCAAGCGTTTCTAATGATATTCTAAATCTTTAAAATATAAGTTTCGCAATGCGAAATGAATAATGTCTATAGTTACGTAAGAATTACAATTTAATGTAATAAAAATTTGAAAAATGATAGATTCAACGGTTAGAAAAATAAGCTCCGAAACAAAACAAAAAATTAAAAAAGTTGTTGAATTTTTAATTTCGGTTTGGAATGTCGCGCTTAAGTAACAAAATTAATAGGAAATTATTTCAAAACTCACCTGCAACCAAAAGCAAAACAATTTGTTCTGGGTTCATGCTGCATGTGTTGCTGTTTTCGCTGCTCGGTGAACGTGACTTGTGGCGCGGGCCAGGCGCTCCTCAACCTCTTATACCCTGGACAGTAGTCCCCCGCCTAGCCAGCACTTTGATCCCCCTGGATGTATCTGCATCGCAAAAGCAGGCCACAAAATGCAAAATCACGATTGGCCGACAATCTCGTCTAGGAGGCTGCAAATTAATTTGCTTCTAAATTTATGCAAATTCCGCTTTACTGACGTGCGAACGCATTATAGCATACGTGAGGGAAGCCCACAAAAAAGAAAACTGGATGCTTCAAGTCTGCGGGCCCAATTTTGAAAATGTTTCCGTGTCGTTTCTGCGTACTGCCGGCAATTAGCGTCTCCGATTATACGTCAATCTTTTAACTGCTACCCCCTACAAACATATTTTTATATCAACCTTTCCTTGTTAATTTTATGCGTAATCAGTGAAAATAATAGATAAAAGAATTCCACAATGATCAAGCAAACCAATGTCAGTCAAAAGATGGTTTCCAATTGCAATTATATATTGCTAATTTCTTTCCCTTTAAATAATTCTTTCTTATTTTTTTTAAAAGATTGTTTTGTTTCTTGCATAATAAAGTTAATAACTTTTGAATATATGAATGATGAATTCAGACAGAAATGGCCTGATAATACATCAATTAAGAAACTTTGCGTAAATAGTGAAAATAGTTAGGATATTGTGCACTTGAAAAATATAAATAACTTTAAAAATTGACCAAAAAAGAATTAAAAAAATATAAATTACGATTTTTTGTTACTTTAATTTTACTTTTCAATTAAATATATCAACGTCAACAATAACTATTCATATTATGTCAAAAAAATCTAAAAACGAAATACATGAACAAACTTTTCTCTCTTTATTTTACGGTAAAATTTTGAGTGCCAGGGAAAGAACAGAGTGCACAATGAATAAAAAATGTTTTTGAACGTGCAGTCGCAAGTGAATGTGTTGGCAAACTCGTGCGGTCAGATAAAACTTATTTTTCGCCAGCATCACTCACTGCCTCATTATATGGGCGCCTCACAGCACTCATTAACGCGAGGTGCTGAATTTTTTGCGGTCCTGCGCTCGTGCTCACGAGTGATAAATATGCGAGAAGTACCCCGCGGATTTCCCTGAAAAGAGAGAGATGAGATTCGCGAGGACCGATGCTGTGATTGATGAGGGAGCCCGCGCGCTGCTGCTTGGGGGTCACATCCGTATCGTGCGCTGAAGAGAGTTCTCCTCGCGCAGCAGAGATGCATCGCTACTATAGCATCTTCGAGAGACACAACAAACACAGCATCGCAGTGGCGAATCTTCGCTGCTCGTCGCGGACGCCGGCCATTTGTTACTTGAAACATATTTAGACGTATATCCTGTTGGCAAAAAATGAGCTGCCGTGTAAATAAAGTTTAAAAATATGATTTAACGCCGCGGATTCCTGAAATAATGTGCAAGAAAAAACTTTAAACATCTGAAAATCTTTTCAATTGGGGTTTTAAAATACCAAAATATTAGGATACATTACAAAAGCTTATCTATTTTGGAATCCTTCGTAGAAACTTTTTTAGTTTTAATCATATTCAGATTTTAGTGTTCCAACGTAAAATTTTCGCGATTCTGGAAGTTTACAATACAAGCATGAGACTTGCTGCTCTAAAAATTTATTTTTACCAAAATAATGTACTAACTTGTTTGTTTTTTAAAATACTGTTAAAATAAAGACGCTTTTTTTATTGAAAAGTAGTTTCCTGTTATACTTGTTCAAAATGAAATGAATTCTATTTGTAAAAAAAGCCTAAAACGCTAAAGAATTGTTTAATGCTGCATTATTTAAACATTTGAAACGCAATTTGTTTCTGTTGGATTTGACACCTTTTTCTGACTATTATATAAATTCAACAACCCTTTTTGAATTGTCACGACGCGCCACATCTGCAAATAGAATGACCAAATACGGCGACAGCAGAGGCACGATTGTAAAATATTGCGAATCCCCAAAAAGGAGAAATAAGTGCAGACTTGTGAATTTAGATCAGGGCAGGTCACGAACCAAGTTAATCTTTTTGTGGTTCCTTTCTTTTTTGTTTATATCCAGAGCGGGCTTGCGAGCAAAGCTCCGGCCGATATTCTGAAGGAGAGAGAATATTTATTTGTTCAAAATCACGACTTTTCCCGCATTATACCTGCACATTATATAAAAGAGCGGCAACGCTTGCTTTTTATAGAATGCGGATACGCGGCGACCAGAGAGCTGTTTTGCTTTCAGCTTCTCTCTCTCCTTTAGCTAAACGACCTGCAACAAAAACAAGCTCAAATAAGCCGAGATTTTTGCATGTTTTCCGTTTTTTGTCCACTTCTCAAATCCGAGGGTCGCGAGACATAAACAAGAGATATTTTTCGACACAGAAAACATTATGAAAAATTAATGTCGCAAACAGAATTTGCAGAGAGAGAAAAAGGTCTCTGGCGGCAAAGAAAATAGGAGCTCATGCGTCACAAATAGGAAATCGTGACGAGACCCTCAGAAACATGTATTGTATACAGTTTTAATCAACTTTTATTATATTTGGTTGGATAAGCGCGCAATAAGTACAAGTGGATAGTGGATACTTGTAATTGCAGATCCTGGTCATAGCAAGTGAGATAAGCGCTAAAAAATTTTAGAGAACTTTTGGTTCTTATATATTTCAGGAGAATAAAAAATTAAAATTAAATAAATGTACAAAATACAGAGACGATATAATAATATGGCACTATTTTTATTGCAATGAAATTAATATTATAATGGAAACCAAGGGAGACAAATATTTCCATAAAAAATGATGTTAAAATATTATAAAATATCACAAATATGATATATTTGTATACAAATAAATAAATAAGTTATTGGAAATAAATAATTTTACCTTTAGTAATGATGATGATGTCTAATTTAAACTAATTAAAGGTTGAATTTATTTACCTACACTTAGAACAGGATTTGCTCATTGAATTTCTCAAAAATGGCGAGTATAAGTTTTTAAATGAATTAAAATTGGCACATTAAAATTATTGAATTTTTTATACGTTAAAAATTTGCAAAAAAAATTTAAACTTATAATCTCTCCCATTGCCTGAATAATTATTTTGTTTGACTATCTGACGATCAAGTTCAGCGTAAAACCTCATTAGCCATACATAATTACATACAGAAATTCCACAAACAAATTCATAATGCTGTACAATTTTCTCAAAATTTTCATGCTTAATTTGCTCGCACCCACGTGTCTTTGGCGCCAATTTGACTGCTCGAATGTTTCTCCTTTCGCTCATTGGCTCAGATGAATGCCAAACTCGTATTCTGATTGGACGTTTTTGGCCATGCCACTGGTCGTAAACGACGTAAACAAACACCAAATTCGCCGGCTGCACTCTCGTTTTCCAAACAACTTTGGCATATTTAAGCTACCGAAGGCACTTTTATCTAATTAAATTGGTTCCTGGCGATCCGAGAATTCCAGAATTATGGTTGTGTTGAGTAGTTTTCGCGAACCGAGCGGAGAAATTCGCCACAAGGAAGCAAACACGTGCGCCTTTGTGAACGAAAAAGACATGGGCCCGGGCACACTTTACGTTGCTGAATCGTAAGTTTTTGCCCAAAATTTTTTTAATTCGAGTCCATAATTCAATCTTGCCCGTTTCTCAGAATACTGTCGTGGCAAAACGACGCGACCGGAGAGGGATTCACCCTCGAGTATCCGCACATTTCTCTGCACGCCGTCTCGAGAGACGTAACCAATTTTCCTCACGAGTGTCTCTACCTCATGCTGGACGCTGACATTGAAAATCCAGGTATTATTATTAGTTCTACATAAAATGAATTGAGGATTCAAGTTTTAAATAATGTTGGCAATTTAGAACAAAATGAGGATGACGACGACGAGGGTGGTGTGACCGAAGTCAGATTTGTTCCTGCTGACAAAGGAGTTTTGCAGCAGCTTTTTGAAGCTCTCAAAGAATGCCAAACTCTGCATCCAGATCCTAACGACAGTTTTAGTGAAGGTAGTACTATTCAAATTAATTGAAGCTCAAAATTTAAAATAAACCGTCTTTTAGATGAAGAATTTGAAGGTGACGGAGACAGAGGGCTCGAAATCATCAATAACCTGGCCAACCAAATGAATTGTAATTACCAACTTAATTATATTTGTGCAGATTGAATTATCCAAACCATATCCTAGCTCTATCTTTAAATTTGAAGTAGTTCTATTTTTTTCAAGACTAGTATTATATAAATTGACTAAGCTTAACATTTTTTTACTCATATCGCAAGTTTTTATATAATATACATAATATACTATATTAAGCGATTTTAATTCCAGCAATGAATAATGGAAACAATCACGGAGATGAAATGGACACCGAGCCAGGTCAGTTTGACGATGCAGATTGAGACATTCGGGAGGCAAATAATAAACAAAATTCAAGCATTTTCATCATCATTCTCTAATTTAGGAAAAAAATTTAAACCAAATTCTCATTGTCTTAAATAAAATTAACTTTAATTTCATAAATCAAAACACATTTCACTACTTCCCACCATTATTTTCTCAACAATTCCTCAATTTTGCCGAGTTGAGCCACAGTCTCGGGTTTGACACGCAGACCCTCTATTCTCTCGGCCCGCTTTTCCAGGTCGTCCACAATCTCTTTGGTCGCAGGAAACATGTTTTGGTGGCACTGTATTTCATCGTTGGCAGCTTCAGTGAGGAATCGGACGGTTTCATACCGAGCAAGCAGTTGGTCGAACTCCTGGTCCACTTTGTTTATGGTCATGTCTGCGTAGAGAACTTGGCACTTGTCTTCGGGAAGGACGACGTCGTCAGGAATTTGGAAAATTTTGTTCTCCATCATGTCCTGCAGGTTTCCGAGCTTCCTCTTGGTCCGCTCAGCCATTTCTTTGCAGACACTGTCCAGGTTTTTGTCGATGTGCGCTACTTTGTCTTTCCTTTCCTCTCCCAGCTGCCTTTTGACCAACTTTGCCATGTTCTTCATGGACTCGGTTGCATTATCAAGGTAGAAATCGTCGACTGGAATAATGAAACAAAGAAATTAATTTAATATGCATAAAATTCAGTTTTATCATAAATAGCAGAAAGATTATTTCCTTACGTTCTTTGTACATCTCTCGCACGGCGCGTTCGTAAAACTGAATCTCGTACTCATCCTTTTCAAGAGGAGGCCTGCCCTCCATGGTTTCTGATTTGCGTTTTCAATAATTCAGAATAATTATCGTACTTTTTCCTAGATCCAAAGTGTAAACTGTAAACATTAGAAAAAAGGCACGAATCTGACGAATCATCTGCGAGTGTGAGGTCGGTTGGCGCCAAAACAGTTAACCATTCCACGCAACACAACTTTCAATACTGGTTTTTGTGTTAAAATTTACATAAACATTCAAATTACTTAATTTAATATAATACAGATTATCTTAAATTTAATAAGAGCAGATCACTTAGCGTTCAATATCAAATGCAAATTAAGGATCTTTAAAATAAAATCCAGAAAATTGATCGACGCTAGGTGTCAGGTCGGTCGCTGCCATTAGCTGGAATGGTGTGCAATTTAGTTCGGCAAACGTGGAGAAGATGGCTTTCGAATGTGCTCCAGGCGCAACAAATGATTTTTTTGTTCATCAGCAAAGGATCCGAGATCCAAGCAAGACGAAAACAACATTTCGATTCGAGCGAGTCGGTGCGTGATCGAGTGAGTGCGAGTTTGTTTACCAAATTTCGGGGCAGCTGGACTATGAAAGATGCAAAGTGAGATCGGAAACGGTGAGTTACAATAGTTCGCAAGCTCTGCTTTTTTGATTAGGTGGCATAATTTTTGCCAAAAGCCGCGTTTCGGAGGCCAAAATGCAGCTCGGCAGGTTTTGCGAGAGGCGATGGCGGCAAAAGCAGCAACGCCGAAGCCGGCTGCATGTTGCTGTCCTAAAATTAAATTGCCAAACTTCATGAAATTACTGCAGATATCATTCTTTTGTCGCAGAATAATTTGAATTAATTTTTATCATTATAACAAAATTTACTTTCACTTTAAAAATGATCACAACAGACAACAATAATAAATGATAATTATTTTTATTTTTAATTTCCTAATTTATTTCTTTAAACTTTTAAACGAAAAAAATACTGCTCAAATTATTTTGACAGCAATTATTTAGCATTTTCAAATTTAAGATTTTATGGCACAAAATATTTCAACATAATTATTGATCAAAGGTTCGTTTGTGTTGGCCTGTTTTTGTGCACCACAAAAAGCCTGGGAGGCGAAAATTGGCCACCCTGCCGGGGTTGGTCGGGGTGCGCGAGGGGCGAGTGCGCCGCCGTGGTGCCGAGGGTTGGGCGTGCTGTTGATAGTACTCCATCGGCCTCGAAGCAGATCGCACCCTCCGAATTCGGCGCACCGGTGAGCCTCATCAATATTTTCCAATCGCCATTTGCAAACTTGCACCGATTTCCCCGACAAAATCGAAATTATTCGACTGAAAATTGAAAATTTAGAGTTTTCAAAGCTCAATGTTTGCTTCTCCAGAGACACAAAAATATTATTTTAATTTTGCAAAAATTAATTTTTCGAAGGAATTTCATCCCTGGCGGCTTCCGCTTTATTAGTTTGCATATTTAGAATTCCACGAATTATTATTTTGTTTTTTGTGACTTGGCGTTTTGGTGCGCAGTTAGCTTTTGGAGCCTTTTGAACGGCATTCCTGCTCGTCGGCGCACTTGCTTTTTATTTCCAAAGTGCTTCTTGGCATAAAAAGCTATTCCTTTGAAGACGAGACGAAAAACTGAAGGGCGAAAAAATTCGGTCAAATCCTAACGGATCACTTGTTCAAGAGACACACCCATGCCCTCCACCGCGCCTTATCAGATTATTGTACATACTAAAAATAGTAAATACAAACAGTTCCAAGCAAATATTGGGCCAAAAGATAGAAATTTTATCTTATAATGTTTCAAACTCCATTTAAATCTGAGCCCATTACTTACAAAAGAGACAGGTGAACTGAAATCTTTGCCTTTTTTGAAGAAATTCTATTGAAATAAAATAATAAATAATTAATTTGGAAATAAAATTTTGAACATAAAAAAATCTGTTATCTTTTAATCAACAATTTAATTGGGGAGTAAAACTAAATGGAAAAGTTTAGATAAATAATCCATTTATGACTAAACACTATTGGGATAAAGCTCTTTTTTTTAGAACGGTCTTCTTTTGAATTGAAATTTCCACCACTTTCTCATAAAAATCTTTCAGGTTAACAAACTATCTTTAATTTTTAAATTTCCCCAATTTGATGTTTAAAAATCTAACTTACTTAACACAAAATTATAAAGTTACTCTAAAATTCCATTTGGAAAAAAAAATTTGTGGTTTTTGCTTGACTCTATAACTGGATTCGGCAACTGCAAATCCGCCCTCATTCTCATACTGCCATTATCTCATTCAGCCAGGTGCATATAAGGCAAGAAGTGCGTAATAATTTGAGCGCAATTACGAATGTATATTCTGTGGCTGCTTTCACTGGCTGCAGAAAACCATATGGCCGCGTCTTGCACAAAACTCATATTTTCCTTCTCCGTCGCATTACTTGCTGATCGATATGAATTATTGCATTAATCTGGTGCGTTTTTCTATCGACCGAGATTGCAGCAGCCGCCGCGAATTATTATCTGCTCGGCGCAAGCTGGCTCGGTCGGGCAATTTGCATAAATTTCAAAGCACCACCCGGCAGCAGCTTCTTATGCAACGTGTTCGCCTTTGAAAGTCTTCTAACGGCGAAAATTGAATTGACCGCTCTCCGTGTTGTGGCAAATATGTACTTAAATGTATACAAGGAAGGTTCTGCGCTGCATTAATTGCCGCTAATTACCATTATGACTGCGCAAGCCAAGTCAAGGTTGCTCAGCTTTGCTTCTCCGAGCATTTAGTAACGTGGAAGGAAGATGGAAATTTTTATAAATTTTTTCACGTCCAAATATTTTGTCAAAAAATAATATATTTAATCAACTTCTTCATTTTTTTAATAATGAATAATTTATAATCATTGAATTATTTTTAAATACTCTTGTCGGTAAAAAGAGTTTGGATTATGAAGTCTTGATCAACATCAACAACCACTTTTAAATATATATCTTTGGATTCTTTAATTTTAGACTTATTTAAACACCATTCCGTTCTTTTCTTTTAATAAATTTAAATTATTTTAAACGATAGGATTCATTTTGTAAGACAAACTAATCGTGAGCGTCTTTCACAGCGTGTTTTGTTAAGTAAAATTCTCGCACATTCGCGCGCAGTGATTCCCTTTTTAATGTAGAGGGTGAGCAAATAAGAGTCCTGTTGTCCGCCGCGAAATCCAAGTTTGCAAACAACAGGGTCGAATTTCCTTTGGCGACCGCAGAGGCAGTCAGAAGTTGTTTGGTGCCAGTTTCAGCAGCGGGCGCGCGACTGGCGCCAGTTTTGCGCTTTTTTAGCACCTGCCTAGCGAGCAGAAAATCTTCCTTTGCCCTCCAGCGACTAGGATGCCTCATCACATCTCTCTCTCTGCAGCTTTGTCTCAACTTGATACTGCCGGAGAGATGGAACGAGAGCATCCCATCCACCCACTCGCGGCGGAGGATGAGGAGTGAAATGGAAATGAGAGAGACACGCCCTGAATGATCACGTCCCATTCGAGTTTATCTCCCTCTAGGGAGCTGATCTAATCGAATTCTTGCCTTTTGATTGATGGCAAAGCATTCCTAATTCACCTCGGAATCAAAAATATTCCATTCTGATAATGATTGGAATTTTCATCTAAATTAACAATAAATATTTCAACTTGATTAAATGAAGAACTACAAATTAAATATTAGAAAATGGATCAAATATCTTATTTTCGTTTATTTACAGTTTGTTATTTTTATTTTAATTCAATATTATATCATGTTATAAACCCTGAATCGTTACAATTTTTAATTTACAATACTTCCTTTCTTATTTGTTTGGTTTTTAAAGGGCTCCTGAAGTCTCATTGAAATTAATGATTTTCATAATAATACTGTACTGCAAGTGTGCTGTAGTCTGCAAACTAATTTGAATTTTTATTTTAAATTGTTATTATTATTTTTTTTTTAAATAACTTTTGGCAGTTGCTCAAATTATAAATTTTATTTTAAAAGAATGCTGCTATATTTTTCCCAATTTTAACATAAATCACTTTCTTGCAAAGGACGCTTTGAGATTTCCAGGCGCTTTCCAAGCACTTTTGGATCTTGTGAAAGTTTTTGGCCCAAGAAAGCATTATAAAATGGAAAGAGAATCGTGCTAGTGATAATGCGCCTGCTGCACTGATGGGCGGTCCATTTGTGCACTTTCCCGGCAGCGCGTTTACCGTTTTCCAAAGCGGCTGATAAAGTGCTCAGGTAAATAAGGCGCGATGCCTCTTATCAAGGCACCATTCTACGCGGACGTGTGCTCGGAATAATCAATACTCGCGTCACTCAACGAAAACCAAAAAGGGAGATCCGGAATTCCATCCAAATTTTCACAATTATAAAGTTAAACGTGCGAGAATTTATTGATACGTTTCGGAAGTTTAATTTAATTACTGACGAAATATGACACGGCCATATCAACACGCGGTTTTTTACTGGCAGAAAGTTTGACTCGTTGCCAAAACCAAAAACTGCAGGACAATGTCGAATTTTTTGCAACAAAAGATGGAGAGTGATATCAACCAGCCGAATAGCAATTCATTCGATTAATCAAATCGTTGTGGCAACTCCATCTGGCAGGGCGAAAAATAAATTTGCCACCCGGGTGCGTCGGCTTTTTTGCCTGGTCATGTTCGGCCGAGCGTGAATTCTCATCCCTGCGCGCCCCTGCTTTTAATTGACACCTACATTTATCAGCCCTGTTATTCTAGAGGCGAGAGAGAGAAAAAGACTCATTAGAGTGTGAAAATAATTGGACTGGAGAGTGGGTGCGTTTCCTGCCCGTCCATAAATAATGAAAAAAAAGAGAAATATTTTCCCGTTGTCTGATTTCCTCTTGAATATTAAAGAAGTAAATTGAAATGAAACAAATGCATATAGTGTAATTAGAAATTTAATTTGTCGACTATGATTTTTTTTAAATAAATCATTTTTCAAACGAAACTGGAGCTTTCAGAATTCTCTCGGATTCATACTTAGGAAAATTCAGATGACAATTTTCGCTTGCAGACTACAGAGGAGCGTCTTTGAGCTCCTTTGAGCCCGCAAACGCCTCTGGCCTTTCAAATAATAATGATCCGTTGTGTAGCAGAAAAAAAAGAAATGTTTCTTTTGATCCCAACACCAAAGCACGCACCGAACACATATAAATTTTATTGGTAATCTGATCTGTGCTCAATCGCGATTATTACAACTTGTGGGAAAAGCGTACTCTTTTTCATCCCACATTTTAAATCTTGGAAATGAAGATATCGGGCTTTTTTCTCGTTGCAAAAATTTTTTTTATTCAAAAACAAATGGCTCTACCAGTTTCAGTCACGGTCTGCAACCCTATTTCATGAGCAAGAAAAAATACAAAAAATCAGCAAAATTCTCTTGTATTAGTCAGCGAGCAGCGCTTTTGCTCATGAAATAGGTTAGTACTTACATTAAAATTTGTTAGTTTTAAGATTCAAATTTTATGTTAAAATGTGGTGTTTTTTAATTTTGCTGATTTTTTGTATTTTTCTTGCTCATGAAATAGGGTCGCAGACCGTGACCGAAACTGGTAGAGCTATTTGTTTTTGAATAAAAATAATTTTCTGCTACGAGGAAAAAGCCCAATATCTTCATTTCCATGATCATCTCCTCGAGTGTCAACTTCTTCAAGCAAATTTTAAATCTCCTCCTTTTTTTATGTAACTTTTACGTGCTTTTCTTTCATAGAGAAAGAAATATGAGAAAGGTAATTACTGGTGACCGTCTCCGTAAAAAACTTCGAGATTTCCCCCAGGACTAAAGGAATCAATTGGATGGACCGAGAATTGACGTTTTGCCGCGAGGGGATGAATCAGTATGGCTTGTCGGGTCCATTCCCTCCTCGGGGTCGTTTGTCACCCTCTTCAGCCAGCCAGACGCTCCCCTGCAAACGGAATACAATTATCATCGTTGTTTACCACTCAATCACGCACAGGCCTTGAACCTGCACGCCTTATAAATTTTCATAAAAGGAAACTGCCCGCAAAGGCGTGCCGGGATCTCTAATAGTTTTATATGCGCCCGGCTATTGGCCATAAAAGATTCAAATTGGAGGGCACGCATGTTATTAGGTGGCTTTGTTATTACCCGGCACGGAAAGGGAAAGACAGTGTGCTCTGCTGGAATTTCCGCAGGAGGTGAAATTCCCATTTTGCCCACAAAACCACAAATTGATTTCCATTTGTTTACCTCCACAATTTTGATAATTATCTCAACGTTGTATCTCATCAATGGGAAATGCTTTCAATTTGAGATAATTTATCTTTTATTAGTTGATAAAAACTTAGGAAATAAGGAGGGTTTTTTTATTGCATCACTTTCATATTTTATTATTCCAGCATTAAAAACATAGAAAATAAGTTGTTTTAAATTTTGCAACTCTTTCAAATAAGGAAACTAAAATTTTTAATCAATTTACTTTTTGTGCTGCTTGCATTATTTGCGATTTTTTGAAGAAAATAATTTAACGATTTAAAACTTTTCTGTCCTTAAAAGTTTTCTAAAACAAATTACTCTAAAAATATTTTAACTTTTGGCAACTGCGTTTCATCCTTGTTTATCCTTGTTCTCTCATTTTATAAGAGGATGGTCGACATCTGGTTCAGATTTTATCTTGCTAAAATCACACTTTTTCTCTCAGTAGGATGCATAACGAGCAGTCATAAAATTTGACATGCTAATTTTACCAAGAAACACTACAAAAATCAATATAAATTTGTTTTTCTAACCGAATATGGTTGACGTGGAGTAAATTGAAGCGGCAATTAGCTCTTAAATTGCATTAATTTTCTGCTCATTTCTAGCAAAGCATTATACACAGTTTCAAATAAATCTCTGTAGGCATCAAAGTTGCAGCGTTCGCACGTGCCTCGAAAGCCAATCAGAGGCGCATTAATGAGTCGCGCGCAGCAAAGTCGGGCCATGTTTGGACGCGACGCCGAGCCGGTTGGCCTGCAAAGGCTGCTGCAGGGTGGCTGCGGGTGCGTTCAAAATAAGCAATGGACCACTTCCTGTCTGTCGCACGGCGCGCTCACATGTGCCGTGCAGGCTTTTTGCTTCATTTGCTTGCGGTGGAAAATAAAACGAAAGTCCCCCAAGTTTTGTTTGGACTCGAGGGTTGGGTCACGCACTGCATTGTAAATAATGCTGCACTGAAATTCAGGAAAAGGTCCAGCTCGGTAGGGAGGCCTGTTTTGAATGTAAATTCTATAACATGCTCAGCCAAAAGTTGGCCAAGCTGAAAATAGTTAAACGTTTGAATAAATTATTTCTAAATTTATTAAAGTTGCCACCAGGTGCAGTTAGTTATAAATTTTTTTAAATAAATTTACCCTTTTTTTAAAAAAGAGAAGTTAATTTATTGAAGTTCAATTTTTTGTATTGCTTATATTTTTATTTACTTTTTACTTTATATATCACTTTTTTATTTTGTCTTTATTAAGTTTTGAAAATTTCCACTCATGAGAATTCTCTGGAAAAATAAGAAATTGGTCTCACATTTACAATATTTGAGTGTTCCGTCCCCAGTTGGTGTTTTCTCCAGGCTGTATAATAATTTTATTACATAGCCGAGCGTCTGCTTTTATTGGCTTTTTATGGCTTGTTCACCTCATGAAAGGTTCTTCGGCTGGCGGTGCTCCTCATTTGTATACGCATGCAGATCAATCGATGCACTCCGGTATGAGACGCACCGACATTGTTTTAATTAATGCTCTGGTCTCGCTGGTGCTGTAAGCCCTGTCAGGATGACACCACCTATTCGCAGTACAGACACGCGATATCATTTGAATATAAAAGAAGCGTCAGCGGGCGCTCCTTTTGCACCGAGGTTTGTCTACAGGCAATTATGTGCATGTGCATAATTGCTGGCCTTTGTGAATTTTCACACTCCATTTGGCATGCGGGCGAGTTCAAAAGTTCAGCCGTGAATATTAATGAGCTGCCGAGAGCAGGATAGTTGTTTGAGCGCACCAAAATTGAGCCAAAACGAACAAAGAGTTGCCAAACAAAATCAATTTGGAAAATGCGTAAAAATTTGCATTTTTTTTTAATTACCTTTAAATCTAATTGAATATGAAATCAAATAAAAATAATGAAGTGAAAATTTGATTGACCCAATGTATATAAATTTTTTTCTGTAACTTATGTTCTTTTTGCTTGTGGTCTGCAGTATAGTAGATCTGTATTTTATTTTAAAGCCCAGCAGAAAAAATTAAATTTTATTGGAAAGCTAAGCAAAATCCACGAATTCAAGTAATTACCAAAATTAATAAGAAAATCGTAGCCATATATAATAATCACATCGTCAATATTTGAGGTCCTTATTTCCTCATCTCAATCCACATCAACATAAAAAAACTAAAATATCAAAATTCAGAGGTTTTTTCTCTACGTCAAATGAAATTAATTTCAGCTTATAAAAGTTGACCTTTGTTGGGAACAGAATCTTTCATTTCCATTGCTCCGCCAAGGGGTATTTTAAGCCGAATTATAATTTTGGATCTTCCTGTTTGACATTCTGTGTACACAAATTGCGCCGATATTAATATTGCACAGACGGGAGTGGAAAAATAAGCGATGTGCGTCTGGCACTTTTCAAATAAAATGCCTCCGCCCACGCAGGCAATAAAAGAATGAGGTTTATGCATTAAGTGGAGCTAGTGTTTCGCCGGCTCTTTTATGTGTGTGTCTGCAATGACGTAAGACGGGGGCCAGCGTCGTTGAGACTTGCTGGCTGGACAAAGGGCCTAATAGGTCTCCCACAGTGTAATTGCAGACCTGAAGAAAAGGCGTCCGTCTCACTCGCCTGCCGCAACTTGAGACTTCAGAGACACGCTGATTCAGCCAATCGGCAGCCGTGGCACTTGAAATTGATTGCTCAAGGGCGCCTTTTTGCAATTTGTCGCAATTAGTGAGCGGCCGATCACTTTTTGCGATTATCCTATTTAATAAGGAGACTAATTCACAGCTTCTCTTGTATCAATTTTTTACAGTCAAATAATTAAATCTTGACAATTGACCTATCACTCTGGGCCAATTGAAAATATACCCATGAACCTACTTTGGCGTAATTGGATGTTTTTGAGATTTGAAACTCGTAAGTGTGTCTGCTTCAATACCATATATATACAAGTGAGTACATAAAATTGCTCACTTCTGACGCAATCGCCACTTTGGCTGGCACGCACAACGAGAGTTGACTGTGTGTGAGTGAATGTTTGCGGGACCATATTTTAAAAACCGCATCAGCAAACAAACGACGCGCATTTGGCGGCTCACTCGGTGCTATATAATCACGTTATTAGGCGCACGTGAAAAGTGGTTCCATTGACGTGAGAACCGGCCTACATTGAATTAATCTGCACTCAGTCAGTCAGAGCCATGAAGAATTTACAGTGAATGGAATAAAAATACTTATGGCTAACACAATTCAGACGTTCGTTTGCATAATTTTGTTTAAAATTTATTAGCTTTTAAAAAAGACGAATCTTAAATAAAATGAGTTGAAATCATGCAGCCAATCAATTGATCAACGAAGCGCCGGCTGGGACATCAATAATCAAAATAACCGGCCTGTCTGGGCCGCGTCCAATCTTAATTGCATATCAGCCATTATAAATCACTATGAGCAATGGTCCTTCTGTCTTAAAGTGGATATCAACAGCAAAATAATACAGACGAAATGAAATTCAAAGGCTCAATTAGGTTGTAAAAAATTAACTAGCTTTTTTAGTAATTAATTTATTGTTTCAATTAAAATGAATTTGAAAACTAGTGGAATTTTATTTTAAAAATCCTGATTGTAGATGGGCAATTTAAAAAAAAAACATTAAAATCGCGACAAAAGTGCCAGTGTATTTGCAACTAGAAATGAAATGAAATATTGATTTCCTGATATTATCTGTTTTAATGTATTAAAATAAGGACTTAAGTATTCTTGTGGTTCAAAATTCATTTGCGCGGGAAAAATTAGCGCTTATTTTAATAATTCATCATGTAATCTTGGTTAAAAATTTTAAAATCAAAAATTATTTTATTGCCTTCATCATTTTTATTCTAAGGCAATGGCTAATGAAAAAGTTCCCTAATATTAATGCATTTCTTTGTCTTTTGAGAGTTAAAATCCACTTCAATTATGGTGTTTTTTCTTTCTTATTGTTTACAGGTGCTGTCATGACGGCCATCTCGCCAGGCTGCGCAGCCCCCGCGCTCTCTTCGATGCCGCCCCCGCTCAGCCCCCGAGGTCTGCAGGTCAGGGAGGCCGGACGCGCCCTGAAGGTGCAGCACGCCGAGGCGCCCCACCTGGTCAGCCTGGGCGGCGGTCGGCTCAGCACGTCGGTCACCCTCCATCCGCTGCCTCAAGGTGGGTCTCTTTGCATGCGCGTTCGCCGTAAGTGGATTACACCGACGGGGATAATTCCGCATTACGGGGGTGGTCAAACTTCTGCTCCTCCAGCGTGGAGGAGGATTAGGCTGCTTGTAATGGCAACAGAGCCCCTCGGGCGATGATACTCCAAGATGAAAGTTGATAAAACGTAGTTTAGCGAGGAGTTTGAACAGGAGTCCACAGATGCCCGAAAATGGAATGCTGGAAATTATTATGCCCAGAAAATAGAATAATGAATAGACAGAAAAATTATGGAAATTTCAGATATTGCAGAGATAATGTATGTTTTTCAGTTATTTCAGTATTTTTACACAATTTTGGATTTCATTAAGGAATATTTGAACTTGGTTTTGTTTTAATGAATGTTAATTCAATTCAAAAACTAATGGCATTGAGAGCTTTTTCCACAAAACGCCATTGACATTAAAAAATTAAAAATGACATTGACACAAAATTTTATTGTATTTATACAGAAAGATAGAATTTAAAATAAGTTTCTTCTTTGCATTAGAATTTTCAAAGTTTATATTTTTAACATATTTTTAAATAAATTTCAATAACCTATAACTTGTGTATTACTTTTAACTAAATTTAAATTTAAAACTTTGCAGTTTCTTAAAGTTTTATCATCAAAGGAAAATCGAGTGAAACTTTATTTTGAGGCATAATGTGGCGACCCGTTTAAACCTCTTAAAGGCTCGACACCGTAATTACCCATTAAAAGTTGAAGTTTGAGGCATAAAAAATTAAAGGAAGAAGGAAAAATTTTCAGCCACTTCCTCTCACAATATGTTTGAATATAAAAGAGCAGTTTTATATTTCTCCGCAAATTTTGGGTCCCCTGGGAGGCAGACTTGCCCGCACAGAGACAAACGTCAAGAAAGTGTCAGAATTTGGGCAACAGCTAGCTTTGGTGTGGCCGGCTGGCATAACCACCACCACCCTAGCTCGGCAACCCGCCCGCCCTTCCATGTTATACACACACACACACACACTGTCAGGGGCGGAAATCGATTTATGGCGGAGAGATGCTGCGGGCCTCCATGCAGCTCTCTCTCTCATTCCCTTAAAATTATTAATACGGGCAACAAACGCCCATGTGTGTGTAAGTGTAAGCAAAAAATAATAAATCCTTCAAACCCACGCTTTTGATCGCTCTTGGTGTACCTGTCAAACGGTCATTCACGCACACAGATGGAATACCATATTTGGCCGCTTGACTTTTCTCTGAGGTCCGAGGGAACACTAAAAAGCTTATTTTTCCAACTGTACCTCAAAACTGTGAATAGTAATTTTGAAAGGCGTGAAACTACCAATTTTTAAATAATTATTAATTATCCCACATTTGGTCCCATTTCAAAATTATAAGACCAAAAATTTGAGAAATTTTCAAACTGCATGATCACAAAATAATTTGGTACTTATGAGCAAAAAGTAAATTGAAGTATGAATTTACAACTTGTTTCATGCTTATTGAGTTTTTTAGCCCACTAAATGAAAGGCTTAGAAATTTCTAGCATTTTTTGACTAATATAAAAGTAACTAATTTTATATTTTAATAAATAATGCCTATTTAAGAAATTTATTTTCAAGTTAATCTTGTTTCAAATCAAAATATTGTTCTCCAAATTATCGCAAATTCAGGCAATTAAGTATGCACCAGGTTCGCACTAAAAATCCCTTAATTTCAAACTGTTTAGGGGACTTTTTCAAATTATTTAATAATTGCCTATTTTACTAAATAAAACGGTTCTTTATTTTAATCTCTGACAAAAAAATTCCCCTTAATCACCTTTAATGAAAATAATTAGAAACTCTTTTCGACTGTATAGGTTTTTCTAGTGAAAATTCTTATAAAATTTCTGCAAAAGTTCTATATTATGTAAAGTATAACTTCAAGAATAATTTATTTTAGCTTGTTTGAACAATATCAAATGCTTTTTTTTTTGTCTAATTTTCAATATTGCTGATGATGAATTAAATATAAAAAATTTAGACTCGGGAAACGGCTCACTTTCCTGAGAAGAAAACGATTACATCGATTTATATTCCCTGTGTTTCTTTCTTGGAAAATATAAAGCATTCCGTTTCTTCTCGTCTTTGAACTTGAATATAACAAATGCACGTCACGAGCTCCCTTTCAAATTAGGCCCGGAGACAAAACGAGACGGCGGTGTCAAGAGAGGTTTCTCGGCAATAAAAATTTGAGACAACAGGATGCTGCGTGTCACTTTAATTTCCCAATATGAACTCTGTCGCACCGAGAGGGCGTGCGTCAATTTATAAGCCTTCGACAGTTTTAAGTGCCGCTCTTGAATACATTAAAAATAAAAAAGCGCCCAGCGAGAGCGCAGAGTCAACAACTTTTCCGCTTTTTATGTATTCCAACCCTTTAGCCGAACTTTGCGCAGCGAAAGCCTTTTAGGCGCGCGTGAAATCGCTCCAATTTGCAGCTTTTTGCATTTTGTACGCGCGAGTGTCGAGAGAGAGAGAAAGAGAAAAATGCTCGGTTTTTTTTCAAGTGCCCTTCGGCTTTGGTGCGCGAACACCACCAGAGAGCTGCTTATTTTTGGAATGGTCTTAACGCTTTTTGGTTGAGGGAGCTCCAAATTATATACTTGGCTTGACAAATGCTGCCGCTGGAGTAGAACGTAGGTAGAAAGGAAAAGAGGGAGATGAGTCATTTCAAATTTAATTCAAGAACCATGCAGAGGAAGGAAGAAATAAATCACAAAGAGACTTTAAAATATAAAACATAATTAATAAAATTATTATAATATGGTGCGTCTTAATAAAATTGAGCCGTCTAAATTCTAATGTATGTATCATGTGATTTTAATTAAAATTTATTGAATAGTTTAAAAAGTGAAGAGTTAACTTTCATTGTCTTGATTATGTTATTCATACCGTCAAATCTACCCAGTTAACCAGTTAAAAATCGTTTGAATTTTTTATGGTAATTAATTCCATTTTTTTTTTTTCATTGATAATTTTCATTGTAGTATCGGTAGTATCAAAGAATTATGAAGTGAACATTTTGAAATCATTTTCAAAGCTTAATTGCAGAGCATTGAATTTAAAAAAAAAATCAAAAGTTTAATAGATATTAAATTTATAAGCGATGTGATTTTTGATCAAATAAAACAATTTCTTACAATTTTACCAAGAAATATTTAAAAATGCATGACAACTTCCTCAGTTCTGTGAGATAATTTGATAAATGGATTAAAGTGAGTTATTGGGTCACAAGTATGCAGCAATCGGCAGGTCAATTTTACCAAGAATGATGAGATCAGGTCGCCATTACTGTGCAGCCCCTGTCGTCGTAAATTACACACAAAGAGTCTGGGAGAAGAATCAAGGGTGCGGCGTGCGCCGCAAGTTAAGTGCACGATTTCGCTCCCTTTGACTGGGGGTTGCGGTGGCTTTGTGTCGACGCTGCAATATGTGATCCGGAATAATGAGGCGCATCACTGAGATGCAAAAAATTTCTTTCCGCACATAGACATGCGCCGATGCAGGTCAGACCCATTACTATTGAGCTCGGATTGTTGTTTTCAAAAAGGAGGAAGAAAGATTGCGATTATATGTGTTGTGTGACCCTCAGCAAAACGTGCCGATGGGGTTGTTGAGATGTGTGTTGCGAGAAACGTCACAGTTTTTAACACGTACCAAGGACAAAAAACGTAATGGAAGTCAACGTCGATTTTTTTTTCTAAAATAAAACAACAGATGATTAAGTTTTTCCGTGAATTTGTTTCAAAAATTTTAATAATGAATCAAGAAAATTGTGAAAAGTTCCAATTTATTTAATAATTAAGTTCTTACACTTTTAACTGAAATTGTTTTGTAAGTTTAACCACAATTTTGAATTGGTTTATATTTATAGCTCAAATGTTTCTTTGAGGAATTTGAAAACAAAATTTCTTTTAGGTGGGAACCTTTTTATTTTTTTTTCTCCCATCTCTCCGGAGGATATTTATAGAGCGACGACGCACATCGGCATTTCTTCTTTCTCCACCCGTTCCCCGTATAGAGCTGCAGTTATTGTTATTACTTATTTACAGTTTCGGTGTGCCGGCATGTTTATACCTCCGTGTTTGCACCTTTTTTCTGTTTGTTTTCGGACAAGACGCGTGCGAGTCGGGCTAATTCTGATCATGACGTCACCTTCGGCACCCATCAGGCTGGACCATTAAATTTCACACACTGTCTCGGTTTGCTGATTGCAGGTCGCGTTCTCATCGGCTGCGGCGACGACGTGGACATCAGGGTGGAGGGCACTGGTGTTGAGAGACACCACTGCCTGCTGGAGAACAACTCGGGGGTGGTCACCCTCACCCCTTTGGCACAAAACACTTCGATTGATGGAGTTCCTGTCACAGCCTCCACCAGATTGACTCAAGGTGAGCTGACCTTTGATTTGGATTTATTAAGCAGATGATTAAATCGGACAGATAAATTGGTTTTCAATGTTTTAAACAACTTTCAATTCTAAATTGATACACGAAATGGTTTCCAATAATAATTTTCCCTTTTATTGCAATTATTTATTTTAAGTAATGCATGTGGTGATAAAAATATGCAAAATTAAATTATATTTCGACAAAAGATTTGCAAACAATTTTATTTTTGAATAAGTTCTTTATGTTCACACAGCAGTAAAACAGTGAAAATATTCACCATTTTCCATCACGGATGCATTTAAATTCAGAACAGAAGAAGGTAACTTAAAATAAGAGGGGGGGAAACTTTTTATTTTTAAACGATTTTTTCTGAGTTTGCAATTTAAAGCACTTAAAAATATTCAAACTTAAATTTAGCGAAAAATTATTTCATGATCTGTATTTAGAGGAACTTGTAACTTTAATTATTTATTTTACTTTTAAAGTAACAATTGCTGTTAGTCAAGTAAAAATGCATCTAAAATCCACTTTTGGATTGAAGAATTTTTCAATATGTTATAATTTGTTCCGAAACTGGCATTGAAAGATGGATGAATCTCGTCTAAGTCGTCACAAATTTATTCAATTAAAAAGCACTTTGGTTGGTAATTAGTTCGAGACAAATTCTCTTTCGAGTTGGTGAGTAGGACCATTTTCGCCAAGGGAAATTAATCTTACTTACGCCACCAGCAGCAAACAGTCGCGTCTCAAAGTTATCAACTTTCTTCCGCTCGGGTGCACGGAATAAATAACTCAAAGCATCTCTCTTTGCATTTCGTGTTTATTCACCATTAAAACATTTTTGCACTTGACAACGTGCAAAAGACTCTCAAATGACAGACTTGATTTACTTCTGCTCCAAAAATTATCAGAAAAAAATGAGCCCTCGCCATAATAAAAAAAACCTATATCAATTAACAATTTATTTTGTTCCATATACAATGCATTTTACCACATTTTATTATTATGAGATTGGCAACCTTAATGATTTAATTTTAATTTGACCAATTTTGGGATCAAAACTTTTTGTTAAATGGTAAACCGTTTTTTATCAATTGCTGTTAAAACCAAAGCCTCTGCAATTCTAGAAAATAAACGCAAACAAATCTTATCTCATGATGATCTTTTGCTGAGGTTACTTTTTAATTGTGGACGTTGTTTTTAAATTGGCCGAGTGCAGGCTGGATCGCGTAATATTGATCAAACAACAACACAGCATTGACCTTTGCGAGCCAGTCAGTCGGTGCCGGAATCACATGTGTAAGGCAACGAATATTCATTAGTTGACACGAGCGGGGCTTCGCCGTCTTTCTTTGGCCTTCGCCTGCAAGACAAAGAGCGATTGGTTCGATGCAAATTCGCTCGCGTAACTGCTGCGCGACCACATTTAGGGACGTTGACTCGGCATGGAAACGAAAAGCGGAAATCCAGCGAGTACTTTGACACTTTTGTAAGAGCACCTGAAATTTAAATAAACGTCTGGCCCATCTGCATTTCAAATTTTTAAATTCTGCTTCTTTCGACTTTTCAATTTCTACTAAAGAGCGGTTTTGCTGGCGTCAGCAAGTCCTCGAAATCAATTCGCACCTGTCAAAGAAAGAGCGTGTGATGTGCAAAAGGACCGAATTTTGAGCGGCTGCCAAGTCTCTTGGGGGTCTTTCATAATGACAAATGAATACGCCTAGCAGCAGCAGAAAACACAATGAGCACTTACGGCCATTATGAGATATGGAAACAAACCCAGCAGCTGTTCCTTAGCGGTGGTTTAACATTCAATTTCGCCGCACCGGATCAAAAACATACACATATTTGACAATTGTTTTTTTTCCTTTCTCTCATTGATTAAATCTAGACATTATTATTTCGTTGTTCAGCGAGCGCCCCAGTTCCAAATGCGAACTCGTTGCAGAAAAAAAAGAATGAAAATTGGACAAGCAAAATGTCGCGAGAGGAGGCTGTAAAAACATGTTGTCTGACGGTCGTAAATAAAAAGGGCGACACTTATTTGGCCGCGGGGTTTTATCGCGACGGAGATGAAAGTTTTCCAGTTCTTCCATCAAATATTATACAAAGCTTTAATAACTTCTGTTACAAAAGTTCTTTCAGACTCAAAATGTTAAGACTAATTGTAAGTAAACAAAATGATTGATTAAATTTAAAGTCAATTAAAAATAAAATTATAACTAAATTAATAAAAATTTATGTTTTATGTTTATAAATGTCTTAAAGTTTGCGTCCTATATAATTCCAAATGTGAACAGACTTTGTTATGTATTAGAGAAAAAATTCTCTTAAATGTAATCTGTAATCCAAAGAGGCGGAAAAATGGTTAGATTAATTTAATAAATCCCAATCCACAAAATCAAACAATATTGGGATTTCTTTTTGGCCCAAAAACCAATGTAAATCTATAATTTTGTAACATAAATCAAGCAAAAATTGACTATTATGTTGAATATTAAAATTTAAAGTAATATTTTGAGAATGTTTTTAACGTCATTAATAATTTATCAGTTTTACTAAATTTTAAACTTCAGATAATTTTCTAGCTGATCACGCTTCTATAGATACTATTTTATTTATAAGTCCTGACGTGTTTCCTCTTTTGCTCTGTTTATCGAAGGAAAACTTCTTCCTGCTTGCAGCCGAATGGGTCGATTTTGAAGACAAACTTTGCATTTTGTTCTCAGGGAGCATGCTGGGGATCGGCCGCTCCAACTTTTTCAAGTTCAACCACCCTGCGGAGGCCAACTACATGAAAAGCGTGATGCCGGCCAACACACGCATCTCAATGCTGCAACCCCTAGTCAGCCCGATGGCCGGTGAGTTTTTGCCCTTTTGAGAGAGCGAGAGTGGCGAATTCCTTCCATAACACAGAGCGAGAACAAAAAATCAATACGCCGCCGCCGACTCTGTGACTCGGCGCTCCCACAACTCTCTCGAGTTCGACCGTCTTGGCCGCCACGCCAGGTGCTGCAATCGATAAACACGTGAACGCGCGCCAAAGATTTATTAGCCCCGCCATTATTACGTATCTATTTTGCATGCATAATTCGCCAGCCAAATCCTTGTTCTGGGAATAGCCGTCAATTTTGAAAAATTTCCCCCCATAAATTTCTTCCTCCGAGGGATTATACATTTTTCACGGGTCGGGTTTCTTCCTTCCAACTTTGGGGTGCAAAAACGCTTCGGTTTTGCTGCAGCATGAATTTATTCGACAAAAACACAACAGGTATAGTGGTGGTTGCGTGCTAGTGTCATGTTGTACCGTGTTGTACTTACTTACCACATGTACAATGGTTTTGTTTACATAAAATGTGCCACTTTGAATTACGTCATTTAACATTTTCATTCGATTAATTTATTTTGTTCTCCTCACAACTAGGAAAGCAAAGCATAATCAAATTTCAAGCAAACTACTGTAAATAAAAATATTTTCTTGAGTCAAAAAGTAAGAAAATTTTGCTTTATTAAGCTTCAAAGTGCTAAAAAAATGAATTTATTCCACTAAGCAATAATGATTTTAAAATAATATTATCGTGATTAGGAAACTTTTTAATTGATAAGATATAATTTCAATAATATGCAATAAAGATTAAAAATAATAAATTAAAGATACTAATAAACACTAAATAAAATAATGTAGAAAAATCCCTAAGAAATATGTTTTTTCTTTCAAAAATTCTTCTCTCCTTTCTTTTTCAATTTTCTATAATAATAAAATATACCTTGCAATTTACTCAAGAAATTTTTTTTTCTAAACATTTTTTACACTTCTTCTGCGTGTTCCATTACACAATTCTAATCATTATGCAAATTTCTCGTCCCACGCATGCACGGACACACATTATTCCCCGCGTTTCGAGCAAGAAAAGTTTCTTTGTTTTGCGTGATGCTTGTCGAGTTTGTGTGTCGCGCGCGATAAGGAAGGTTATACGTGTTGTTGAAAATAGAGGTGGTGCGTGGCTTATCTTGATTGCGAGGCTCCTTGGCGCGCCACGATCAATTTTCGCTCGGCCAAGTTTAAGTTGCCTTTGCTATTGACCCCCGAGTGTCCACACCCCGCCGTCCACCCCCGGCACATTGCCACACACACATGGTCGCAGAATAGCTTAATCGAATGAATGTGTGAGCCAAGCCAGGACGGAAAGTGGCCATCAAATGAAACTGTGGTGCGCAATTTGATGCCAAATCGATATATCACGCGGGATGGATAGAATCGTTGGTCTGAAACACTCGACTGTAAATTTGTGCCATTTGCCCGCGCCAAAACATAGATTATTTCAATTTAATTAGTCAATTGAGTCATTTCATTTAATATTCTTGTATCATTCAATTTTCATGGGAAAAGTAAAGAAAAAAAGTTTATTTTAATCTTTTTTTGTTATCCATTGAAAAAGTTGGTAAAAATAAGATTATTTTCAATTATTTGAAATAGTTCCGTTCCAATTCAAAGAACTTTCACTTAATCATATTTTTTAATTCTCACTTCATTTTATAATTTATTAAATGATTGATTAAAAATTTTCCTTATATTCTTTTTCAATTTCAAATTAAATAAGGTAAATCATTTTTAATGCATTTGTAGCTCTGGAGACACCGAACTACAATCTGCAGACGCCGTCCAGTCTGAGCAAACCTCCGGCCAGAGGCGGAATGCCGTGGACCGAGGACTGGATCAACAACTCGATCTCCCCAAAGGTGAATTCATCCCCCGTCCAATTTTCCGGCCTGTGCACAATGTGGGGCGAACTAATAAATCTGTTTGTTCGCAAAGGTGTTCCACGCCGACACCGTGACAGTCAACTCGCCGGCAAGCGCTGTTTTGGGCCAGTCCCCTCTTGGCATGAACGCACCTGGCTCGTCCTTTGTTCAGATGTCCTCATCGCCATCCCCGCTGTTGGGAAACAGCTCATCTGCTCATCGACGCACCCTCTCTGCAGGCAAGTTTTTTAATTTTAGTTTTGCTTACTCAAATTTTTGAATCCAACTTAATAGTTTTTTGGTTCAAGCTCATTTTTCATTTGGAATTTATCAATATTAATATTTTTAAATTAAAAATATATATACTTCATTAAAAATTATTAACATTTAATTTACCAATACACAGCCAATACATAGATTTTGTACTTGAAATAAACACTCAAAATTAGTTACAATATTTGATATTATTAATAGCGCTTTATAGATGATAATTCTCAACAATCAGCACTGTACAGTATTGAAAATCCCAGCTTACTGATGCAATTATCAATAAATCTAACAAATTTCACTTAAAAATTGACGCTTCAAAAAATATCTTATAAAAATAGAGCTAGTTTAAAATTGTGCCCAAATTTGATATTTTTTATTCAATATTCAATATATGAATTTATGTGTAATGAAGATTCCAACACATTCAATGAATTTATTTTTAATAATCTGAAAATCAAAATTATTTTTTCCCTTATGTCACAATTTCATGTTTTTGAATGAGCGAGTATTTGCAATTACAAGAGTTAAACGTTTGATATTTCAATTATTTTAATACGAGTAATAGATGTCTTTAACTAAATGTGTCAAAAGATTTTTTTTTCAGACAAAATTTTCATAATTTTATTCTATTTTAAGGGAGTGGTCGCTTAAGTCAGACGGAAAGAAACAGCCCTTTGCTGAGTAGGGCATCTCCGGTGGCGTGCAGTCCTTCTCTGAGTGGCCACGGTGGCTCTTCATGCAGTCTGCAAGAGCTAATGGCGCGTGGCGAGGAGCTGGAATGGAGAAGGCAGCAGGTAATTCAAAGATTGAAATTCGCTCCCTTGTACGGAGTGTGCAAGAAACGCTGCTTTTTCTCTCCAACCTGTGTATAGAGATAAAAAGCAAAAGCAGCGGTGGCGTGGGAGTTGAAAATGTAACCACGAGATGTCTTCTACTCACACAGGCACAAGAGGAAAGGCTGAAAGAGCAGGAGGCTGAGAGACAAGAGAGGGCCCGCCTCGAGGAGATCCTTACCATGTGTGCAGAGTACGAGAGACAACAGCAGCAACAGCAGCACCACCCCGAAGCAGGTGCCAAACAACAGCCCTCACCGCCGCCCCCAAGCAGCACCCCTCCAGTGCACCAAAATAGGTGAGAGGATTTCATTTTTATTTTTGTTATATGATTTAACTTTGAACCAAAAAATTAGAGATATTCGCAGGAAAGGTTTTATTTTTTATTTTTGAATGGACTTTTTGAAGCACAATCTTTTGAATTTTGAAGCATGTTTTTATTACCAGAGTTGAGACTGAATTGCAGTGTGGCCCGATCTTTTATCTTATCTCGCAGCGCCGCCGACTCTTGGAGCAGCAGTTTGTAGTTAAATTAGCAGACCTCTCGATGACCTTAATACACACTCGGCGCTGACCGCAGAGAGTGTTGATTCACCTGATCACCCTATAGCTGCTCTTTCTCCTCCTAATTCAGTCTCAGCTGATTTTATTTATCGCTGCCATGCTGCTGCTTCTTCTCTGGTCTATTTTCTGCCGCCGTGTTTTTATTTTATATGTAAAAGCCGCGCAGAATAATTTTCGCAGACCATGGCAGACATACTAGTGTGCTTATTTTCTACTTTTGCTGCTTAAGTAAATGGTTAGTCAGAGTTTTATCCTCTAATCCAAATTAGCTCCACACAAAGCAGAAATTATACACTCAGGGTCGTTTTATTTTCTTTTTCATTTGAGACGAGTGTTTATCTGAATCTCTAACCATGACCTTTTAATTTGTTAAAGAAGCTTCAACAACGCTCTTCTCCTAAATCAATTCTCACTGCAATATCCGTAAGTGAACAAAAAGAGAATCTCTCTAGACAATCACAACAATCAGTAGATCATATACATACATGCGCTAGATAAGCCGGGCCAGCCCAATTTTATTTATACACACGTTATTTTTCATTCATACATGAAAATAAATTGAAACAAGATCCGATTTGGTTACAATGGAAAAAATAATAATGAGCTCACAAAGTTACAAATTCATTGCAAGGTCTCTTGTTTTGTATTTTGATTTTCCAATTGCCATTGAATACATTTTACCCGATCTTGTATTTTGCTCTGCATTGTTCAAAACCTGTCGCCAATAGTGCATGTGCTCATGCACATATCTGCATACATTAAGCGATTGCACACCCACCACTTCATTAGTCAGAGTCATTCCAGTTCACTCGACGGCTCCCAGTTACTTTTTATCAGCTGCATTTTAATCAGCGCATGGCATGAGTGATGAGCATTGTTTGCTCCCTGGTAACCTGATATACACAACCCAGCCTCTCTGCTTTTGCACTGATGCTGGCAGGAAGTACAAAATCGAGAGTACCTTCTTAAAGCATGTATTGTTTTGTTTGCTATTTTGAAACGTTATAATGCTGGTCTAAACCTGAATTTTCCTTAAAAATTGCTTCAAATGCTAAAATCTAAAATAATTATTTTATAAAAGTTGTATTAAAGAACAGAAAAAAGAATGCTATAATTATTTTAAATTAAATTTATTATTTAAAATTAAAGGAATAAATTTTGAAATTATCTATTATCTTTATTGTTTGCATCATTTAGAATTTGGACAAGTGATTTTGTCCGATGGTATTGTCACATGCGCTCTTTGCTTCAGCTCACTTGACTTTTGTAGATAATAGAACACCCAGACGAAATGTTTACTTAGGTAGTGTGTCAACACGGACACTCTCCACCGTCTCATTCCACCGCTTCTTCTCATTACTTTTCTTTTTTTCTCTCTCTGCACAGAATCAAAACCAATGGATCGCTGCCCAGAGACAAGAGGCTTCCTAGTCCGAGAATGAGCGACTCCCCTGCCAAGGGCGCCGTTTCCCCAGGCAAAAACCTGACCGCCTCCGAAGACGAGTTGTCCCAAATTTTCACCTTTGACGCGCCCCGTCCTGGAACGTCCCCCCAGCAGCGCAGCCCCTACGAAAACGTGTACCCTCAGAGCCCGCGCACCAGAATCAGAACGACCACCAAAGAGGTGGATAATGCGCCACCGAAGCCCCCACTGCCGCTGCCCAGGGAAGGCTCAAACGTCCCCCTGCTCAAAGCCCTCGAGGCCCAGCACAGAGCCACCTCTTCAGACAGGTTCATCAGGCCCTTGGGCACTTGCGATGGGGCGCTGGAACCCCATTTGAAGCAGATGGGTGGCAGTTTGCCCAACAGCCCTGCACCACATGTCATGCATGGCGTTCGAAGGGTAATTTAAAGCAAATAAAATAGATTTTGTTATTTAATTTATAATAATTAGAGGAGTATGGAGGAGGCTGAGCAGATGAAAAGGGAGCGAACTAGAATTTTGAGCTCAATGTCTAACATAAAAAGGACCGTAGCCGAAATCCAACTGCACGAGGAAGAACTTGTTAGAGAGGTAATGTTTTTATATTATTTAAAAAATAAAAGGAATTACTTAAGTGTTATTTGTTTTTATTTCAACTTCAGCTGGAGATGGAGAGAGCTCTGATTGATGGCGAGTGGCAAATGCAGTGTGAAAATCTTGCTCAAGAAGAGGACCATTTACTAGAACTAAGATTAAGGATGGAGCAGCTGGATAGGGACATAACTACGGCTCGGCTTTGTGAGGCTAGGCACTTGGCCGATTGCAGAGCAAGGATGGAGCAGGGCGAGCTGGAAGTTAGGAGGTATTGGATGCATTAAATCTCCCCTTCAGCAACATTTTCTAAACCAAAATTTACATTTTACAGACTGGAACAGGAGTTGATCATGTGCAGAAGCAGCAGAGAGGATCAGATGGAAATTTCTGACCAGCTTCGCCATCAGCAAGAAATTCTCGAGGCAGAGAGAAAGGTAAATGGAGGTTTTATGTTATGAAAATTATGTATATTGATTTAGTTGCAAATGATAATTATTGATTTACTAACAGGTTACCTTTCAAGATGAATTCTAAATGTGTATCGTGGATTATATAAAAAAAAAGGAAAAAATTTAATTATTACTTTAAACGCTTCGACATTTTAGCTCCATTATTAAATTTGTGTGACTAATGGTCAATTTATATTTTAGACTTTTGAGGATCAGGAGTTCCAGCACATGGAGCAGGAAGCTGTTTGGGAGGCTGGGAGAGAAGAACTCGCCAGAGAAATGGCTGAAATTATTGCAAACTTGGATGAGCGCAAGGCAGCCTTGATGGAGCTCGAGAGCCAGCGAGAAGAAGCAGCCGAGGCAGCCATGAACCACACAGAGCTGGTCGAAAGGCAGCTGGACACTCCTCTGAAGCAGCTGGAAGAAGGCAGGTTTAGGCTGAGAGAGATCGAAGCCCAACTGAAGGAGTTGACCAAAGAGGGACTTGTGCCTGCCCGCGATTCTAGTCCTGAAGGCTCCTCTGATGCAGACGAGAGCTCAGCCCAGATGAGTCCGCAGAAGAGTAGTGCAGCGCTCAGTCCACAAGAACTTGGAGAGAGAATCAGCCAAGTGACGTCTCAGGCACCGATAGACATGAAAAATGGCTCTCTGGGAAGGAAAACTATCGAGTCTCTGAAGGAAATCGAGAAGAACCGGCAGCTTTTGTTAGCTAAGCAAGGTATGGCTTGTTATTGTGTATTATTTTCATTAAGGTTTTTACATTTATGGAAAAGAAATCTCAAAATGAAAAACTAAACTCTCTATGTTTTCTGTCAGAGTTCTTCTCGAGTGGGATTTATTAAAAGTGTAAGCAAACTCCAAAGCATGGAATTCACTTAGAGCAGTTTTCTTGTCAACCATCATTTTTTGTGGTTTTCTTTTGTTTAAAAACTGTTAGTATATCTAGTGGGGATATATATTATTAAAGTAGACAAATACAGAACTTTTTTTAAATCTAATTTTCTTTATTGTTTTATACATAGGAACTTGCAACATGTTTCCGTACTTAATCACTATAATAGAGCTAGATGATCTTTGTTTTTGCTTGATTAACAATTATAACTTAAAATGAAACTGCTTTTAGGTCGTGAAGTGATAGAGGAGGAGAGAAAAAGAGTTCAGGCCCTCAAGCGCCGAGTTCAAGATGAGGTCCGTGCCCAGTGGGAGGAACGCAGACAGCGGGAGGCTAATTGCAACAGCCTTAACAGCGTTGGCAGTGAAGAATCAACTAGCAGTGACATGCCAACTGAAAGGTGAGAGAAATACACATTAATTCCTGAATTTTATCAAAATTCCATTTATCAATAATTAAAACCTCATTTAATAAAGGTTATAAATTATCCATTCCCAATAGAAGTTTAAATTATTTCAAATCTTAAATATTTTTCAATTCTATTAGCAGTTGCATTGAAATTATTGAATTTGACATGATTTCAGTGCAAGCAGCGATGAAGCTGCTGAAAAACAAGTCAAGCCAGCTGCCGACTCTCCGATTTCTTCCCACGAAGGAAAAGACCAGAAGAATCCTTCAGATTCCGCCCAGGTAGGAATCATCTTTTTTTGTAATTTCTCACCTTTTGCGTCCTTCTGGCTTTGAAGTCATTTTTTGCAATTAGTGCAAGCTCTCCACTTAATAATTATTTGTGTCAACCCAACCAAAATCACAGTGATTTGTTTCTCAACAACGTTCCAAACCATTTCACCCAAGAGAGCCAAGAGTGATTCATGGGTATTTCTGGCACTTGTGCGTACTTCTCTTAAGTGTCCAAAATTTGTCGTCTGGAAAAATGAGCAGGAAGAAGCGCTACTGGCCTTCATATCGAATTTCTGGCTATTTTTGGTTGTCGACTTCCTAGAACGCAGTACTAATTATTATAAATTCTCAGCTATTATTGTTCTTTTTAATTTGTCCTTTGTGGTTCTTTGAATAGTGAGTACCTCAAAGAGCGCCGATTTCTTTTATCTATGAAAATTAAAAGGCGAGTTTTGAAATTTCATCAATTAAGACTCGATCTCTGAAGTTGGCCAGAGTCACGTTTCGCGGAACGCTGCCGCCCACACGGAACCAGGAATAATTTTTGAATTCAAATCGGCCTGGCTGAGTAATTTGTCGCGCACGCTTTTAATGGTGCCCAGAATAAAATGGCATAAAATATGAAGTCGCAGCTGGTTCATTGAAGCACCAAAGGCGTCACACGTACGAGATTATCAATCAAAATACCTCTGCTTGTGACGCAGAGACTGTGGGCCGATTGTTCCTCTTCCTAATGAATGGGTGGTGAGCGAGGAAGATGAAATTCTTTCATTTGGACTCTTCCAGGCGTCCGAATAAATAATGACGCCATGCCTGCGAGGAGGGAGGGCGGGGGGCGAATATCATGCAGCCCCGCACTGAGACTCTCTTTAGTTAATTATGTCCCTCGTGTGGATGACATTCGTGCGCTCCAATAAAGCAAAGCGCCACCGCAGGCACTGCCACTACTGTCAAGAGGTGAGACCAATAATTTAATTTTCTCAGGAATCACAACAGTTTAATTCATATACAGCCCACTTATTTTTAAATCATTTTTGTTTTCAAAGAGATGTACTTGTGCCTTAATTCATTTTTTAATTCGTGCCCTTCCCCCTTGACCTTTGGCGAGGTCGCTTGCCGCGCTGTTGTCTGATTGATTTAACATGACAATGAGCATGAAATTTTCATCTGTCCTTGCCAACCTCCTCTGTAAAGCTTTCAGAAAGGGCTGGCCCGACATTATTATTTCAGTTAGTGAAAAGTCTCCAAGTTTTAAGTGCAACTTCGGCCTACTTGCAGAGGGTTTAAGTAATTCTTTCCACTCCACTTTAATTCCAATAAAGAGACGCGCAAGCACCCAATATTTCAAGCGCCAAGAGCTAATTTCACAGAGAGTGCTCATTTTTCCGCGCCAGAAAGAACCCAGCCGGCGAGAATTGGCCAACAAGCTTGCTGCAATAATTTATGCCGGCAATTCTCGCACCTCATGAATTTAATAATCAGCACTTTCGTGCAGATGTTCTAATTGCCAGCGAATTGTTTCAAAGCACAATGCCAGCAAAATACATAACGTTTTCCCAATTGAATTTCATGATAATTTATTTGTTTTAATTTAAAATGTTATCAGCACAAAGCTCAAGTCACTTGTGTTCCAATGTAGTATACAAAAATTTAGTGAAATTTAAAATACCTGCAAAAATTGGCGCTGCTTAAGTTTCCCCCTCAATATTCGCTACTTTCACTTATTTAAATTGCATTTAATTTACTTTAATTGGTTTCAAAGTTTTAAAGAAAAGAAACACAATAATATCTTAACCTGATTATGACATGGAACATTTTTTTGGACCCAAGGATTTTAAAATTATATAAATCCATAATTTATACGTCTATAGAGATGATATTTTAACAACAATATTATTAATTATTTTAAAATAAATCTGAAATAAATTAAACCGGATTAAACAATAGTTAAAAATAAATATTTATTGTATTTAATTACAAACGCTGTAGACTTCTTTTTGAAGAAAAAAAATAGTAGGAATGAAGAAAATTTCTTTTATTTTCTTATCTCTCTGTTTCATAAACTTGAACGTTTTACATTCCCAATTAAAGCGCTTGACATTACTTAGGAAATGAGCACATAGAGGGCCCATCTCTCAGTATTCCCGTGAAATATGAGTGCAAAAAGTGCAGTCATAATTTGAGCAGCTGGGAACGTTGCGGGAACGAGGGGGACGCGGAGACAGCTGCAGGAACGATTTCATTATCGAGAGCCCCTGCATCAGCACCTCTTTTCCTGTGTGCTCGTTAGCTCGGCTAGTTAGTGCGGCGCGCGAGCCGAATAGGAACGACGACGCGGTCTGTGTTTTTCTCCGTCTTCCTGCTCTGGAATTAAAAATATCGCGCAGGAGTCAGTGATAGTTTGTTGCCACATAAAGAAGTGGTCGTGCGCTGCCTGCTGATTATTCACAGCGGCGTTGCGCAAACACATACGGCGACATTTATCTGCCGACGCTGCCCAATGAGCCGGCAAATTAAAGCTGCCTTTGTAGGTTTCACGCCGGTTCAAGTTTGTGATTCGGTCAAGTTCGCTAGTTTTTTTTCTGCAAAAGTTTTTTAAGAAACAATACTTTTTTTTAATTCTTTGACTAAAGATTTGATATCCTAGGTTTAAATATTATAATTTTTGCTGTTCATTGCTAGATTATTTGCCCAATTTTTACAATTGTTGAAAACCTGTGTTAAAATTAAATTGCAATCAACGCTTGTAAGGCACGGATAGCAGGGTGTCATTATAATCACTCACCTCCCACTCCCACGTCGTCTCTGTGCACAAGTAAAGCGTCATTTATTCACAAGAAGTAAAGAATTTTGCATTTTCCACCACTCTTTACTCTTTAGAGTCGCATTCGTTATTGTTTTTCTTGCGCAGCAAACAAAATCCCTATCGCATTTATGCATATTTATTCAGTGCGGAACAAAATATAATTGCCAGTCTGGTGCGCGGCCCGTCGAATTCAGACAGAAATATTATTGAGAGTGGCGCGAGGCGGAGCTTGATTTGTTGTGGCTCTTCTTTCTAAATATATTCGGCGGATCTGTGACTGCTCCTTGCTTTTGGCCTGAGGCCACAAATGCGGACGGCATTTTTCGAAAAAACTGCAGTCATGTTCGGGGACCCCCGAGTGCTCTTCCTCAAGCAGCAGGTAAAAACAAAACAGAGCGGTAGTTTTTTCTTTCAAAATTTTCTAAACACGCATCGAAAAGTTTCAACTCGTTTTTTTTTTGGTTTTCGACTCTTTGGTGCGATAAACAGAGCTGTCGCCACTTTCGAGCGAGGAAAATTTATGTGGTTTAAAATGCTAGGAGACATTTAATCAGATCAGACTTTGCGCTTTTGTCCTTTTAAAAGCCATAGAGTCTGCCATACCAACTCTTTTTGTATCAAAAGGTCAAATGTTCATCTTTATAATATTCATTTAAATGAAAATATCAAACAATTTTCCTTAATATTAATGAGGACAAATTCTACAAATTCGAACTCGTTGTCACGTACAAAGTAACAAGGGTGAAGTTTCAGGACGACGCGGCCAATTAGAAGAGGATTTGTAATTTACAGGCGGAATTAAGCCAGGCGCGGTTAATTAATGGGCCCTGGAATTTGCAGCACAGGGCTGAGCATTTATCATTCTCTCAAGTCCCACGCGACGCTCATTGAAGTTTATTCCTGGCGGCGCACATAAAAACAAATATAGTCCGTTTGCGTCACAATTTACAGCAGGCATGAGTGGAGTAAACACACTCTAGCCTTGCAAACACCTGTGCTCCCCGAGAGAACTCGTCTGGCTTCAATTTCTTGCTCATTAACACTCAAAATTAAACGGCACTTGACGAGGCTTTTCATTAATTCGCCGCTGATTTGCCCGCAGGTGAAGCAGCAAGAGGCTGAGAGAGATCTGTCTGACACCAGACCACTGTCTGACTCGTCCAGCTATGAAGACCAACTGTCAGTCAGGCTTCGGGACACCAAACTCTCGCCAAGGACACAGGTAAATAAATAGCTCCAGCCAAGGGACCAAAATTATATGCTCAATTTACACATTTTGTCAACAATGTATTTATTATTAAATGTATAACTTTTGAATTATTTATTTATTTAGTGTTTTTAAATCTAATATAATTTTATAAAAAAAAAAATTGAATTTTAGGATCATTAAATTTAAATTTACCAACTAAGTAAGACAAGAAAAATGATAATAATTTATTTTAATTAAAATGATGTTTGGTGATGGAAGCTGAATAATTCAAACATACTGAAATCAAAGTTTCATTAAATAATACAAAATTAAAATAAATCTTATTAACATAAATTGACTGCTAATTTTTATTCTTATTTTGTAAATTCGATGAGTCAGATTTATTTGAATTTTTTTAATTAATTTATTGACTTATCCCTCTCACTTTAGCAACGGCCCCTCACACGCTACCTCCCGATTCGGAGCGAGGCCCTGGACCTGAGGGTGCACATTGAGAGTGCAGGTCATCAGGTAGAGCTGTGCAACCACGTTGTCTTGGACAATGTCTCTTGCCGCGGCTACCTCCACAAAATGGGATCCAAATTCAGAACCTGGAACCGACGGTGGTTCGTTTTTGACAGATCCCGTCGCTGCTTCACCTACTACTCTGACCGAAATGAGAAAAAAGCCAGAGGCGGAGCATATTTCCAGGTAATTAACTCAATACTTTTATTGACTGGTGATTAAAAATCACTTTCCTCTTGCAATAAATAGCAAAAACCATGGAAAAACTTATTTTTATGGACCTAGCCCTTCATAATCAATGGAATTAGAACAAAAATGCAAAGTATTTCTTATTAGAATGAAAAGATTTGCAAGAATCAAAATTCAGAACATAATCTCTGCAGTCTTGCTGATTTTTATAATCTTTTTAACAGGCGATAGAAGAAGTCTATGTGGACCACCTGAATTCGGTGAAGAGCCCTCACCCTGGTCTCACCTTTTGCGTCAAGTGCTCGGAGCGCACCTACCACCTGATGGCGCCCAGCGCTGAGGCCATGCGGATTTGGATTGACGTCATCTTTACCGGCGCCGAGGGCTACCAAGAATTTGGACCGAGCTAATTATCTCTCCTACTCGACTGAATATCACAAAGCAAGTGACTGATTCGTGTTAGAAAAGACTGCCATTCAGCTCATGTGAGTGTTTAAATTTAGCCAATCTCAGGGTAAAAGTGTGGTGAAAACAAAATACATGCTCATCCCTGCAGTGCGCTTTACGGTGTTTTGAATATTGAGGGTGCAGCTCAGTAACAACTGCTGACATACCTTGAAACTCTATAGGTACAAAAATAATCTCGAAAATTAAAATGTGGCATATCTCGAAGTTTGTAAAATTGTAAATTGATGCGTTGCTCAATTTAAGAGCATTTCAACAAGGCTGCCTGAAATTTGGCAGGGTTTATTTTTTATTGAAATTTGTCGCCGGTGCTGAAATTTAACTGATTTTAAATTCTGACTTTATTTGAAAGATTTTATTTCAACATTGTTTTGAGTTTGTATTGCCTCTATTTTTATTTTACTGAATTTTTTTATTTTCAGCTCTTGTTTAAAAATTATCCTATGCCAAACTCTGCGAATTGTTCATATCAGCGCTCATGTTATATAATATTCACTTGGCACACAATCATTACTGCCGCATGTGGCAAGTAGACTAATATTGTAAAAAAATTATCCAATTGTAAGTACACATCTGTGTCAGAAAATTTACTCAGTGGCAGTATAAAAACTGGCAAATTTTGAAAGCAAAAGTCTTATACCAAAGCATATTTCAAAGGAAAATGAATAACCTTAAGATATACATTGAAAGAAAAAAATTGTTGAACTTGTCCATTAGCATGATCTTGTCTGACAAGGTGATTCACAAATTTGATGGTCTTTAGATTGAAGGAATGCAAGTAGTTTTTGTATGCAGAATTTTCAAAGTCAACGAGTGCAATTGCATAATGCTACACATAAATGTAATCAGAAAAGAGATAACCACCGTTGAAACAATAGATCCATTAAAGTACATAATTACTCAGTACTATATAATCAGCCATGTATGAGATGTGCCTTTGTACATAATATGTATCAATAACTTAATGGAACAATAATAGACACAACCAAAATTATCAATAAATATGAATTTTTTCCGTCTCAAACCTTTTCGTGCAAAGTCTTTGCAGTTGTCTTTCTCAGTGCTCTTTGAAAACCACTCAAATTTTTTTATGATCAATGACTATTTTGAATTTATTTGTGGCTCCTCTTCATAATTTTTTTCTTCCTTGCTCTCAGCGACTTTAATTTCTGAGAAACGTCAGGACTCGACTCAGATTTGTCCGAAGAGAAATAAATACTTGCTCTCTCTTTCCTTTTTGGACCTTTTTGATTTTGGCGGCCCAGATTCGGATTTGACTTCTTTTTTAGACTTCTTCGGAGCTTTTTCATTTGCCTTCGAAGTCTTCTCATTTGTCTTCTTGGCCTCGATACTTTGCTTTTTCTTGTCTCCAAGCTTCACTTCTGGCTTTGGCAAAACTGTGAGTAGATCCTGAGGCTTTGGTTTCAATGGAAGTGGCTGAAGAGAGATGATGAGCCTGGTCTTGAGGCCGAGCGAACGCATCAAAGTCACAAACATGAGGACAAGAATCCTTTTGTTTGGAGCTTTCATTACCTGGAAAGCAAGTTCCAACAGCTGGACCAAAGTCTTATCAGGGTCATCTTTCACATCTGCCACGGAAACCTAAAAAAATCAAAATATTTATCAACTTCTCATCGATGACAAAATTGAAAAAAAAACCTTTTTGTGAAACCAAGAGGCAATCTTCTCGAGATAATTCAGATCACTCTTCTTGGGTGGGTAGCAGTGCTGCGAAGGCAAGATGGACAAAGCCACGGCCATCAACGAGGGCGAGTTGAGCTGCTTGTTTACGACCATTTCGTGGCTCAAATGGCACAGGCGTGACGCTTTGTGCAGCTCCACCTGCTTCTCCCTGCGAATTTGGTTGATCCTCCTCTTGATGATGGCCTCCAAGTCCATGGTCTTGGTCTTCTTCCTCTTCAGCCCATTTGTCGTCTCAATTTTCACCTCCACTCCCTCCTTAGGAATGGTTTGTTCATGCCCGTTTTCGACTTCTTCCAAGTCCGACTCGTCCGAATCAACTTTCAGCTTTTTAATCGTTTTTGCAGATTTTTTACTTTTAGTTTCCGACTTGCTGGTCGAAGGGACCGGCTCTTGAGTTTCTCCCATGAGAAACGTCCTGAGTTGGAAATTTTGACTTCTTTAACTTTTTGTCCCCGTCTTCTTTGACCTTTTTCTCCATGGCCTTCATCTCCTCTTGCTTGGCAAGTAAAGGGAAGAGCTCTTGGAGGTTTTGAGTTGGAACATCGTCCAGGTCAGACTTGGAGTCTGTCAACGTTGAGACCTTGGCCAAAAGCTTTGATTCAGTGGCCTTTTAGGTAAGGGAGGTGCCACCACATCTTTTAAGTCCTCCTCCGAATCAGAACTCAGGACGCTTCTGGAAGACTTCTTTGCCAGCGGCTCAGTTTTCGGCTTCATGTTTTTGCTTTTCCTTTGGTTGATCTTCAGTTTGGCTCCTTTATTTTCCTCCGAGCTGTCAGCCGACTTTGAGGACAGGAAGCTGTTGACAGGCTGGACCACCAACCCATTGCTTCGCTCGTCCTGTAATTCCTCCTGTGGGAATGACGAATTCGTCATCGGAGTCCAAAAGGGACAATTCCTCGTCCTCCGAGTCTGCAGTAGCCTGTTTCCTGATGAGTTCCTGCGCCTTGGCCGTACTTCTGCGCGCCTACTGTCGACGAGCAATTCTCGTACTTTTCCTTTTAGACATTTTTCAGTGTTGACCTGCGTGAAAAATACGAATTAATTAGAAAAGGAATAGCATGAGAAAATTTTCGAACTTCAGAATAAATTAATAACAGAATAAATTTTATATCGAGAAATGTTAAAAACGTTTTTTAAGAGCTGCGGCTGTGTGGAAGCTCAAGAAATTTCAACCCTCGCGAACAGGGCGAAGATAAATAAATCAATAAATCGTTAGCTCTCACCTTTCCCGATGCAATTTAGTTTTCCTTTGCATGCGATATATGATACATAAAGCAAACGCCGCCAGAATCGCAAAATTCTGCTCGCTTATTACATACCAAACGGAGCAACGGAGGCAAAACCATCATAACTGTTTGTTTACGTTTTTTCATCTATAGCCAACATAACAAATTTGACATTTTCAGGATTTTTCTAAAAATACATTTCACATGTTACCCCAATAATACGCTGGAGAATCATACTTTAAATTGCTTAGATTGTTATTATATTTCTTATATTATAATAATTTCTTAGAGCCCTGTTCTACATGTTAATTATGGGGGCGTAAGAATTTGAAATGTTCCTAAATTCTTTATTTAGCTTGGCAGCATTGCCTTGCCTCCATCTGTTTTCTTCGTTTTCTTGTTGATCTAATGATCTGTTTGTTGAACTGTTTCTTTTTGGCCTCCAATACCTCCATCAGCCTCTATGGACATTAGAAGTTCTAATGTCCATATCAGCCTCCATCCTCCATCCATGAGTCTTGTTGACTTCTTTGTCTTCCTTTTTATTTGGATTGTTCGATTGTTGCCATTCAAATTGATTAAGGACTCCTTATTGACATTAGTCAAATCAAGTCTTTACTACAATGGTGATTAAAATTTCCAATTGTCTTTCAACAATCGCAAAAATCTGTTTATATTGTTGTAAGGACTTGATTTGACTATGTCAATAAGAATTAAGTCCTTAACGGTGAACATTCAAGCGCATTTAAGAATTCTTCTTTCAAACACCGTGCTCAAATCAAATTCTTTTACTTTAAATTCAAACATTTTAAGTGCTCTCTTCTTCTCAAGTCCTTTTCGTCTCCTCCTCGCAATGCAGTGCTACAGCGAAGCCATGTTTTTAGTGCCAGAGGAATATTTTTCAAAAAAATTCATGAAGAGCTTCGACAGCAGCAACGCGTTCAGGAGCGAGCTGTTAGACCCGAGCACCACCATCAACCACCTTGCGTTGCTGGCCGTCGTCAACAGCAAGACTGAGCAAGAGGAGGGCAATGAAGACCCCGTTGACGAGCAGTTGGGATTTAATTTTGACTGCGTATGTAAAATTTATAAGCTAGAATTATTTCAAAATTAAATACAATCATTTTAAACATGTCCACTCTAATTGTTAAAAATTCGTTTTCAGCCAAATTTTTTATTCTAAATTTTTCATTTACAGCAAAATTGAGCTGAGCAGGTCAAGGAGGAATGTAAAAAGGCCGCTGCGGAGTACCAGCAAGCAAGGCTCGAGTGTGACGATCAAGCAAGAAAACTCCATGAACTGCCGAAGTTCAATGCTACCATAAAAGTGGCAAATGAAGAACTGAAGGATGAACTGGTTGAAAAACTGGAGCGCGCCAAGACATCTAGTTGCTTGTGTCACGTTGCCAAATTAGAAGAACCAATCCAATGTAAGAAAAGGACAATTGGAACTGAAGCTCCAACACGACCAGCGAAAGTTCCGAAAGTGGAGACAACCTGCTGCTTGGGCCCTGATCCTAACCCAGAATGCAAGACTGAAGAAGCTAAGAAGAAGCGCAATTTCTTTTTTTTAAGCAAATACAATTCAAATAAATTAGAGCCCAAAATTTGAAATCATAAATATTTATTGAGTATAAATTGAAACATAAATTTATCTTGACGAGCAAAGCAACTTTGGTCTTAAACAGAGCTAGAGTCGCAAGCGACAGAGTCGGTACTTGGCTCTGTAGAGCAGTATCGTGAAGTTGAAGCTGCCACTGACTGTAATAGTATTTTTGCCGGAATAATTTTGTTCTTTTGGTATTTTTTTAGTTCAGGCATTCATAATAACATAACAGAAAGTGATTGTTGGGAAATATCAATTAAAGTTTTACAATCTTTGAATATACATTTTGTTCAAACTGCCTTGTCCAACTTGTCCGGTGAGTCTCTCCCACTTGAGGGCCATTTTGGCTAACTTGCAGCCTCAAATATTGTTTTCGGATGAACAGCACCTCTGACGGGACTGGCCTGGACAGCGGTGACGACTCAAGGAGCCAAGTCGGAGCCACAACACCTTATTGGGGACACCAGCCGAGCTCAGCCTGAAAAACCGATAAAGGTAAATGTAAGAGTCCCATTTTAAACTTTATAAATTTATTTACACTCTTGAACAAATATTACACTAGCCATTCTGCACAACAATCACACTTTCTGCATATTGAACAATTAATTATACTCCCAAAATTCGGCAGTTTTCAGATCTCTCTTGGTCAGCCAGTCGCAGTTGTCCGAGGGCTGGCACACATCTCTTCCAAGGACTATATAGGCTCTGCAGCGTCTAAACCTCATCCAGCAGGCGTCCTCAACCGACGTCCACCGTCCAGCGACTCGGCACTCTCAGACTCTCAGCTAGCTGCTTCTGCAATCATAGGGACAAGTCTGCTCCGTCCATCCAGACCTTCTTGTGAATTTCCCAGTCATTTAGGAACATTGAAATAAATTTCCCGGACCAAAATTAGGTGTGTAATTTATAGGGAATAAACATAAACCATAACCTTTTTGTCAGCATTACATCACTTGTTTATTTTTGCTATTCACACTAAAATATAAACATTTTCAGTCAGTAGATCAATTCTGAGATCAATTAATATCCCTTGCCTGCAATATTCATATGGTTTACTGTGAGTAATTATGAAATTTTTCATAAAACCAGAGCTGCAAGTGCGTGGCGGTGGCCGTTTGCTGCTCGTCGGCGGCCGTGTGGTGCTGTGGCAAGCCCTACTGGCTGTCGATGGAGGGCTCAGGGTGACCGAGTTGCCGGCCTGCGCCAGGTGGCCCTGCAGCGGGCGCAGATCCAGTTGCCACGGGCTGTGTACGCAAGCCAGCCGTTAGATGCTTTCGTAAGAGCCTTATTAGGTATGCATGTTTTATGTGAAATTTATTATTTTAAAAATAGTTCAATATATTTAGCAGCTGAATAGACCTAAACTCTGCTATATCAATTAAAGAAAATTTTGGAACCTCACGAATTAATTTCTTTCTAACAAGTTATTATTGCGGGCAGACAAACTGTCATTAGATTTTGAAAACAAACAATAAAATTTGTGAGAAATGATAAAAGTTGCCATAAAAAAGTATATAGCTCATACTCATACTTATTTGTTCTATCAAAAATAAAAAATTAACGATCTCTGACATTTTCATTTCTTTATCAATTATAAATATTATATCTCCTCCGATAACTTAAATTACTTTTCAAAATACAAAAATTACATTTTAAATTAACAAACAAATCCTAATTATGTTGGTTTTTAAATTCAAAATGACTTGAATAAAATTTATATCATCAGTTAGTCAGATTTTTTATCTTTTGTAAACACGTTAAATTCATTAAAAATGGAAAAACTTCCTAATTGTCTCATTACCAACGCTGACTGAGCTTGTTGATAATTAATTCTATTCCGTAATTTAACTCATCCTCGGCACGCTCTACAGAAGTTGAGTGAAAGTCGCCTTTTCACTCTCACTCTCTCAAGGTAAATCGTACTACATGAGTTGAGCTAAATGTGTGTTTTTGGGTTGAGATCTACTTTTACTCTCACAATTGAGCTACCAGTGCCGTGAACTTGATATTCAGCAAGTCACGGTCAAGGTTAGATAAAGTGAAATCAGTGTAGGATAAATGTATTATATAAAACAAAAACTGTGAATTATATTTTATAAAATCAAATATTTACTCACAAACATTAGTGATCTAATATATTGATGAAAATATGACTAGAGGGTCGCCTTGTTCTGGACAGAAGGAAAATATTTTTAACACCAACTCTTATGACAATGCACTTTAAACAAATAAACAATAATTGTGAGCACATTCTTAATTATTATATAGCGCGGCTGACCCATTTTGAGAATGCAGGCAAATCACAAAATTTTATCTCAGCTTTTCGAAATTAAGTTTTACAACACTTCAGATAATGAAGTCTTGAAGTTTACACAGTAAATAATAAATTACAGGTATAAATTAAGTCCAGGTGACTAGACCAGCTAGGAACCTTGGTTAAATCAGGATTAAATTTTGGGGAAAATGAAAACTTCAATTTCTTCTTTTGGCATCTGTCCGCGCCACGTGGCTTTGGATCCAGTCTAAGTACATTTCGACCCTGGTGTACAAACCGGGCAGTTTGGGCCGCGCGCACCCTATCCCTGTTGAAACTACGCCGACCACTGTTATTCTCTCCCCATCTCCAATCATCAAGGGACCGCCACTGTCAGCCTGGAATTGAAGGAAATGTTCCGTAATTTTTGTTAAACAGTAATGCTGCAAAATTTGTTAGTGATCACTATTATATTGATATGAAGAAAATAATATTGAGCGTCATTAGGACAGGCTTGATGCGACGCAGCATTTTTTATTAGTTATTTTAACAGCTAATTTTTCACCTTTACCTGCGCCAGCTGTTTTCACAGCTTTTACTCAAACACTTCATGACAAAAATAAAAATAAATAAATATATAAAAATAATAAGCATATAATTTATGTAAAATTAATACTAAAATAGTTAAAAGTTAAAAAACCAAAAAGATTTATTACATAATAAAATATTTTAAAATTTTATTTATTGTAAATTGTAAAAACTTAGAATAGAGTTACTATAAGATAGTTTTGAAAGGTTTTCCATGTTTATTTTCTTTTATGCTTCTATTGCCAGTGCGTTCATTTTAATTAAGCTTCAAATTGTCGATCCAGTTTCAAAATGAACTTCATAATAAATTTGGCGATAAGAATGTAATGGCAAGACTATATAAAAAAAGTGGATGTTTATTTAAGAGGTGGTTTTAGCTTTTTCTCAACAAATTTAGTTGTTTTGCTGTTGCATTAGTTTGTATAGGTTATTTATACTTGTAAGTTGAGCAGTTTTTGCTAATATTTTATTAAAGATTATACTCAAAAACTTTTAGAATCAACATATTTATTTAAAAATTTAGTCAGCCTGGTGTGACATTTTGATTATAAATAGTGTCCTGAAGTCAATTCGGTCTGTTATTTTTAATTCTAAAATTAGTTTTCTTGCTGTAATTGATTGGTCTTAATCTGAGGCAATTAAACAACGAAAAGTAGTAGAACGGCTAAAATTGACAAGTCCGTAACGATAATTCCAATTTTTTAAATTTCAATATTTGGCTTCATAAAAATAACGAAAAAAACGATAAAGTCGGACCGGAGTTAAATTTTAAAATGAAATATTAAAATAATATAATTTTATCGCTATATAAATTAAATATTGAACTTAATTATGATTAAAGCACATACCCAGCAACTGTCCCTTCCGCCGTTTTCGTATCCGGCACACATTTGCGAGGGCAAAATCTTGACCTTTTTGCCCTGCGACTGGTACCACTCAAGGCACTTCTTGTTCTCCAAAATCTCCAGCTCGACCTGCATTGTCAGAAAAGAAAATCAATTTCATTAATTTAAGGCAAATTCACGGCTCGACCTTTTGGAGCACGTCCGCCCTACCACCCTGAGCAGAGTTTTCGTTCAACCAACCCCAACCGGCGGCCACGGCCTTGGCCCCTCGCAGGTCGGCGGCCAGTCTGCTGGAGGCAGCGCCGGGCAGACACGCCGGCCACGCCGATCGCTGCGCCCACTGCACGTCCTCGGTCACGCGCAGAAGGGCGATGTCGTGCACGTACCGCTGGCACTGATACTCAGGGTGCAGCTCGCAAGTGTCCACAGCGTACTCAGTCGACTGAGGAGTCTCAGGTTGCGTCAGGTCGTGTTCGCCGACGGCCACTCGGATGTGGTTCAAAGGCAGTTTTACCGTTCCACTGCGATTAATGATTACATATTTTATTTATCTTGATAATTGATATCATTGTTATTTCCTAACAGTACAAGTATTGTGAGCAATTTAAGAAACAACATTTAATTAAAAAAAAATAAACAAATCAAATCAAGACAAACAAATTTTGTTTAATGTAAATAATGAAAAAAAATTAATACAGAATTTAAATAAAACCGAGTGTTTTATAAATATTGATTTTAATTAAATAAAAAAAATTGTTCATGATTTTTAAAAACACTCATGTTTTGAAATATATTTACATAAATAATATATGCTGAAAATAAATAAAAAATATATCCTAATTTGATAAAAAAAGAAAAACAGATTCTTTTGGAATATATAAAGGAAAAAGTTGTCACCTGCAGAGGCAATGGGCGGCCGTCAAGACCCATCTCTTGTTGATGAGGGTTCCGCCGCAAAAGTGTCCTCCTCGCCGCTTGATTGACACCAGCCAGGGGAATTCGCCGGGCCGCGCTTTTTCTCCGCCAACGATCCTCGACGTCGCACCTCGCAGTCCGCAGGGCACGTCGGCCACTAGTGATTTATTGCGGTCAGACACACACCGTGAACGACAAATAGTTTGAGATAAGTTTCGATTAGAAAACGTAACACAAACTTCTTTGCTTAAAAAATATAAATTATACTATTCATTTGAGCGAAGGCCACCGAGGCGCCGCTGAAAAAGGCGAAGGCGAAAATCCACGGTCCTGTATCGATGCACACCATTTTTGTTGATGAAAAAAAAATACACTGGGTATGGTGCTCACTGAGCAAACTGGCGTCGGCTAATGATAAGTCACCAGCGGCGCTCTACCTATTTAACCGACGACCTCTCAAGGTTGACTCGACCCCTCCACACCTTTACACGCCCCCGAGATATGCTCCTCAAATTCCTTATTTAACATACCACATAACAAACTTAATTCGTTGTATTCAGTCATTTGTAAGTTGGGTACAAATCTTTTTTGTTGCAGTTGTCTGAGCTTGAGAATAAAAATCATTTTTTTTTTTAAGACGAATAAATCCCTTGTCCATTTCTAAATTAAAATACAATTTTGAAATAAAACCTAAATACGACAGCAATCTTTTTAATCACATAGCTTCATTTCCAGCAGGACCTATTGAACTAAACCTCAACAAGAATAAACTAATTGATTGCTAACGAAAATTTGTTAATAAAGGATGTATGCTTAAATTAAATAATAACACTATTGACTTTTTCTCTTTTTTAAGGAGGTGCTTCAAATTTCTTAAATTTCCGAACCCAAAGTTTTTTTATTAGTTAAAGGTGCGCATATTTCACGTATGTTATTATAGATAGGTGAAAGGTCGGCAAGTGAGAGTGAGGAGCGCAAAAAAACATGTAATAGTGCAATTAAAACACCGCCAAGCATTCAGCAGAGTAGCCCAGTGACCTACATAATCCACTTTCATTTGAAGCTGCTGCTGTTATGCGGTACAAATAAAGTGCTCTTTTTGCGTCTATTAGCGCCTGCCTCACACGCGCCGTCGTTGATCGCTTATTTGTTTCTATGATTCACGCAAAACCCGTGCAGACCTGCCTGCGAGACTAATTAAGGTGAACTGTCAATCAGCGTGCACACGTGTATTACACGCGTTGACAAATTCATCCGAATTTTCAAAGTTACAAGTTTATTTACTAATATAGGAAGTATTAATTTTACTGCTTTTCATGGAAATTTATGGCCATAGAGAATGGGGGCGTGCGAGTGCAATTAACCAATTTGCTGGTTCAACCTTCCATCGAGCCATTGCTCCTGCATCTGAATAATAAAACACCAAGAGACAATGAAACCTGTGTGTGATGAGGAAACCTTGATGTCTCGTTGCATCAGGTGACTCACCTTTAGCGACTAGGTTGAGTTACATAACCAGAGTTAACCCTAGACAAATAAATACTTCAATAGAAAAATAAATGTGTTGTTTAATATTAAGAAGAAGAAAAATTAAAGGGAAAACTCAGATTGGAAATCCCTTGAGGAACAAAATCGATTAATAATAAAACTGATCGAGAGCCTTGATTGTTTCTTAATTCTTCTTTTTATCCGAGTGCCAAGTCGATTAATTAATAAGCAAGGCACAGAAACTCTCCAACAGCTGTCTGACGAAAGTGAATTTTGTCAAGGTTACTTTCATCTCTCTCGTCTTTCTATGCAAACGGCGCCTCACCAATTCGTCTGCTTCGATTCATTCATTCACCTGCTTACGCAAGAGCAGGAAAAGGAAAAGTGAAATTGACCTTGGCAATGCCCAGTTTGATGAGCAGCCTCAACCTTGCGTTGAAATGCGCGTGGCCTTTCCGAGATATCCAGCACAGAGGCGCGCCTCGCGCAGTGATTATATTCTATTTCCGAAAGCGATTCGTCAGCCCCTATCATTGTTTTAGGAGCAGGAAGACTGATAAAAATGGCTCGTGTTGTTTGGGAATTGACATCTTTTTGTGACGACTCATCAATTATTGCCAAACTTCTATTCAAAGAGAGAAGGTTTAAAACTTTTCTATGATGATAACAGCAGAAAATTAGTTCAAGTTCTCTTTGTTTTAAATTAACTATAACTTTAAACTTTAAAAAAAAATATATTTCATTAAATTTTTTTATAATTATTTAATTTTGATAAATATTTTAAAAGGCATTTAAAATCAATATTGATAATAAAGTTTTTTAACATAAAATATATTTTTATCATACAAATTTTAGAAAATTAGAGAATTTTTTTTGTTCCTATTATTAACTAAAAAAAATTTATAATAACCAATCAACTTTTTTTTTCATTCATTCAGTTGTATTGAAAAAGTAAATTCAATTAATCTGCTTAATTCTGAGTCATTTTATTAAATTTGACATAGGTAATTGAATGGCGATAAATTTTATAGCATATAAAAATTTCAATTTATCAGATTCAAAATTAGAATTTATTTGATGTACACATAACAGTTGGATCAAGAAAGAACAATAATCATTTCAACCGATATTTTACTATTTAGTTTCGTTGCAAAGTGTCTTTATTGATTTATCTTTAGGCAATTGCTACCCAAACAGATCATTTAAGAATTATCAATTTAAATCATACAAGAGACGAAAATGATTTAAAGTAATCAATTATTATTTAATTTACATAATTATAAGATTTAACGATGAGAAAAAAAATGAGTCTTGAAGGAAAGTTATAACTGGACCTTTTGACTAGTTCTTAGCGGTTTTATGGTTTTCTTGCATCGACTCGGCACAAAAACTTAAGTAACATTTTTAATATATACTGAAAGTGTTTCAACCAAGCCTTGTGTATTAATTTAGCCAACGCTTATTCTTATCGCGAGACAAATAAAATAAATAATAATTATGTCACGCGTGCTGAAATGAATGGAGCAAGGCAGGTTGCGTCACGCGCAGTCAAAGTCAAGGGCGCCGTCAATTATTAACTATCTCGGAGTGCAGCAGGGTATGCTGGTTCCTGCGGCGAATGCCACACAAAAGGAAACGAATAAGGAAAAAATTGGTGTGCATTCCAATTTTTTACTCCTTGTGCATGCGCGCAGGAAACTTTTAGAACACGCCGCCGACATTGGCACTACTCTTTATTGATTAGGCGGCGGACTGTGTTGAACTTGGGCGGTGCGGGCATAAGGATAATGCAGCCTCGCATCCTAATGCGCCGCATTATTCATATTGTGTTTAATTCGCCTATAGCCATTGTTGATTGATTGCTAGCCTTGCGACCACACAGGGTTATCGATCCCCTGCGAATCTTGTGAAATCAAATCAATTGTTATTGCCTAACAGATTGACAAGATTAATAAGCTGAAAATTTTATTAGTAAGTAAATAAACGTGGCATGTAGTATAATTTATAATCCTTAAAATTAAGATCCGGCCAATTAATTACGTTTAATGCAAGTTTTACATGGCGTTATTTTAATTTATGCATTAAACGCTTGCAATTAAAACAAAAGTGACAATATATTATTTAAATAATAACTACCAACAATAATTACAGTTTAAACTTTTAGTTTTTTATTAAACCGATTATTTTATAACATTATTTATAAGAGTGTCAGCAAACACTCTGAATGGAGAATAAATAAATAAATGTGAACTTTCTTTGAAATTAATTTAATTTTACAAACATATAAAATGCTGATTCTGTGTAAATAAGCTGGCGCCAAAATTTTTCTTCTTGGGAATTAATAAATGACGTTTTGAGTAGCCAATAAAACAAATTTACACCTGGATGCATTTTCGCATTTTATTCTCAGATACTTTTACTTTTAATTTTCCACTTGGCATCCACATAATCGTAACATTTGACGCAATTAATAAAATAAATAAGATTTTGAAACAATTAATTACAATACAAATAATAAATATTTGTAAACACTTGTGGCAATTTTCAAAAGAGGATGGAAATTTTAACACTAAACCTTTGTAGAACAACTTTACTCTTAAGTAGGGGTGGTTTGCACACAACACTAAACATTCAACGTGTAGACAAAAATACTCCAGCGTATTTTGAAATGGTCGTGTTTGATGGCATTTTCTTGCTTCACTCCTCGATTTCCGTTCTGGAAAGGAAGTAGACCTGCATTGGCTCGGTGCGACCTTTCATGGGCACCAGACCTCGCGGTTCGAAGTGCAGGCCAGGGTCGGCGTTGTCCGGTTGCATCAGCACCCTGAGAACAATAAAATTTTAAAATACAAATTTTTAAAATTTTTTCATTCTTTATTATTTGTTTTGATCGAGGGTGGGTCGCGCAGGAAGGAGTCCATGTGACTGTGCCGCGCATATGTTTTGGAAACCATAGAGCAAAGGGGCTACTATGTGACGTATTTTTGTGGCCGAAGCCCCGCAACGACCTAATCCGAGGGCCTCAACGCGCCAGTCTCCATTCAGAATGGTCGAGAGCATCATCGAGGTCTTTTTCGACACCGTCTTTGTTGACCTTGCAAGGGATGGTTTGGCCAAGAGGTGGTTTTTCATTTCTTTGCCAAAAGTAGTTTTTACTATTTAGAATTTGGGCTTTATTTTTATTTGTATTGCAGAAAGTAGACGCTTTTTATTTGATTTAAGAGCGTCTCCGTAACGCTAAAAGTAGGCTCAGTAAATTGCATTATTTTATGTATTACATTAATTAATTGACCTTTTTTGAAGTGATTTTATTCAAATTGGAGTAATTGCTGTGATAAGTAAACATGAAATGAAGCAATCCAATTTAAAAATAAAATAAATAAGGCAAAAGCCTGCGCAGGCTTACGGATCACCCTAATTTTTATTTAAAAGAAAGTTTTCGCCAGTTTGACATTTTACAGAAGTTTAATCTCGTAATCGTAACTATTGATTTATCAAAAACGATTAATGATTATTAATTTTTCCTTCATTCTATCTTGTTGTGACCAATTTGGTCTTTTCGTGTGTTTATGAATGCTGCAATTTAGTATACAACTAGAAAATGCGCAGTTATAAATTGAGAGAAAAATATTGTTACCGAAACTATAAAGAAACTTGCAAATTGCAGTCAACCAACAATTTCCAATTTTCATAGTCATCCAAAAACATCACGAATAACTTAGTGATGCAGTTTTTGTGCCCGACACACCACTTTAAATTCAACTAACAATGAAACGAAACAGATCAAAGGTTTGTTGAAAGTTGAAACTTTTGAAAATCAATTCAACAAGTTCAAGATGGGTTTTTTTTAATTATTTGATAGTTTACATTTAATTGTAACTTATTTTTAAATTTTTTTTCATTTTTATAAAATAATTTTAAAAGCATTTTTATTAATATGAATAATATTTTTTTTAGAATTTGTATAAATAATTTTATTATTTAATAAAAATTAAATAATGAACATAATTTAACTATTTATTATTTTTGTTATAAAATTATAAATTTATTTATAAATATATAAAAACAATCAATATACTTTATTCATTAGCATTGAAAAAAATTTTGACCTCTAATTTATTTGAATCATTTGATTTAATTTGACATAAATAATGACATAGGTAATTGAAAAGGTGATAAATTAAGTATCATTGGAAAGTTTCACTTTATCAGATTCAAAATCAACTAAAAAAGAAACAGACCAAAGGTTGAAACCTATTTAAAAGCAGAAGTAAACTGGTTGAAAAAGGATTAATTGTACAAAATTTTCGCCAGTTTAAATTCAATTTTGGCTTATTTTTAACCTCAATCGAGCGTGAAAAATAGTGTAGTGCGATAGATTGATTGCGTTTGATTTTTTTTTTAAATTATGATTGATTTATCTCGTAGGCAGTTTTTCTGTGATAGATCCCAGTAAAAATTATTCGCGATTATCGAATGACTTTTTTGTTGCAATTCAATTAGGTACAAACGGCGGTGCATAGCCGACTACCTGAGCACAGTGATTAGCGCAAGCGAGGGAGGCAAATGCGAGGACAACTGCGCTCTGGCGGTGACCTCGGCGGTCAGGGTGCACGCGATCGCCAAGGCGGAGAACGGGCAGGTGTGTCCCCTCGGAAAGCACCACAACGTGCTGTACGTGGCGGCCAAGCTTTGCTTCGACTGGCGCCTCTCGGACAGCCACATCATCGTGTGCATGCTCAAGCAAATTTTCGACTGCGAGAAAACGTTCGAGCGAATCGTGATCGCGGCCATCCTGGGGCCGCTGGTCACTCGACTTCTCTCAGGCTGGCAGGCCGACTACCAAGACGAGCAAGAAAGTCTCAAGTAAGAAAAAGATCTTTTGGAGGGAAAAAATAATCTGAAATTGCCAATTTTAATTTTTCAATTTTCTATTTCTGATCCGAAATCCGAAGTCATCAAGTGGCGGGAAAACGAAAAAAATTTTTTTTTTCAAATTTTGAGAATAGCATGGAATATCAATATGAAAATACATAATTTGTCCTCGCAAGTTGTGTTTGAATCGCTTTTTCATTCATAACATCTATCAAATCTCTTGTGAGTACCAAATTCATTTTTAATTTTGCAATTTATTATTTAAACTTTAAAAAAAATATATAATTTTAATTTGTAAATAAAAAAGCTATTTATGAATTTAAATTGTTTCTTAATTTAAATATAAACATTATTTATTTAATTTAAATTTTATATTTAACTGATTGACTATACTATAATTTTAAAATATCAAATATTTCTTTTTATTTTTGAACTATTTTTAATGATTTAAAATTTATTTTAATAAAGCATTTTAATAAATAATATTTCATAGCACACTTGATCAACCTTGATAGCAAATCTTCTAATTAAAAGACACTCAGTGTGCCTAGAAATAATTTCAAAATTTAATTCTTGATCCAGAATGAAATTTTTACAATCTAATATTTATATGAATAATAAAAATAAAAATATTCCAGCGCTTTGGACTACTACTTGCAACACTCAAACGTGGAAAAACAATTTTACCACATTTCCGGCTGCAACCTGCGGATGGTTGACGTGCCCATGCCCGCCTATCATGACGCCCTCCCTGCCCATCTGGCGTGCGTAATGGACCGTCCAACGGCGCTTTTACTTTTGCTGCGACACGGGGCCCGTTTGGGGCCTGGGGAGCACGGGGTCTGGACCGAAGGGGCCTCTCCAGTCGCTCTGGTACAGCAACTTTGGCGACTGCACGAAATTATCCAAAACGGAGGATCGGTTCCCAGCGCGGCCATCGACTGCCTTCAATTGCTCATGAGGTTTGAAATTATTTCTTAATTTCAGTTAAAAAAATTTAAAAATGTATTAAATATTCAAAGATTGTTCATTAGTAGTGCAAAAATTGCACCGTTGAAAGTTTTGCGGTATTTTATATTGAAATTATTTTTGTATCAATTCAAATTGTTTGATTTTATTTCCACTTTTTCTAGAGCCCTTCCCCATGCTGCCCTTGGAGATCCAAGACTGCGCGACACGGCGGAGATTCTTTTACCCAAAACGCGATGGGCAGAACCGCCCGAATTGAAACACATCGCCCGGTGCGCCGTTCGAAGAGAATTGGGAAAAGGCTGGAGTTTGCCAAACGGGATTGAGGAACTCAACGTTCCAGCCACTCTCAAGCCTTACTTGGATCTCATGGAAGATTAGAAAGAAAATAATCCAAGAATTTAACAAAATCAGCAATAATAAAAGCGGGTTACAATTTGCCTAATAATCTTGGAAACAATAACAAATAAATTCTTTATAGTTTTCAATTCATAAAAAACAAAAAAGTTATATTATTTTACTCACTTGTAAGCGTCCTCGGAAACATTGATCCTGCCAGGTTCACCAGTGGTTTCTGTCCTGCTGGTCAGGTTGACAGTGTTGCCAAAGAGGCAGTATCTGGGCATGCGGTGACCAATGACCCCAGTCACCACCTCGCCAGAATGCAGACCAATAGTAATTCGCTGAAATTGAAAATAGGAACCAAATTAAAAAAATTAAAATAGTTTTTCATTATGAGGTCTTGATAGAAGAGTTTATATAATTTTCTTACCACTGGTTCTCCATCCACCTTCAGATCTTTGATTATGTCCATCATGTCCAGGGCCAGGCGGGCCATGCAACGGGCGTGTGAAGCGCAGGGCTCGGGGAGGCCGCTGACCGCCATGTATTTGTCACCCACTGTTTCGACCTGCATTTTTTTTTTAATCCAACTTGTCAATTTCAGTTAAATTAATGCCCCACCTTGTAAATGTTAGGGTTCTTGCAGGGGTCTGTGAGGAAGTCGAAGAGGGTGTAAATTCGGTTGAGCATGTCCACGATTTGCATGGCGCCTTGAGCGTCTGAATGGGCAGCGCAGTAAGTTCCAAAGCCCACAATTCCCGAAAATAAAAGGGTCACGCAGTCGTACCTGCGGGCAGGGACTGGTCGGTTGTGACGCAGCTCGCTGGCCACTGAGATTGGCAGCACGGAATACAACAACCTGAAAATTTTATGAATATATCTAGACATTTTTAGTTCAATTAACTACATTTAAGTTTGATTAAAAGATATAATAAAGATAAATTATGAACAAAATATTTTATTAAAACTAAGACAAAAAATACAATAATGGTAACAAATTACATGAGTTCATGTAATCATAAATTGATCAATAAAATATGTAATTTTTATAATTTAAAATTTTTATGATGCATCTAAATTTGGACATTTTAATAACTCAAGTAACAACTGATAAATACAATTTTATCTTTATTTTTATTTATCTTTATTTATCTTTTATATTTATTTTTTTTATATATTTATTTATCTTTATTTTTTTTATCTTTAAATATTACACAAATTACTTTAATCACTAGAAATCCCAAAAATTTGAATTTTTTTAGTCCATTTCCTTTCAATTTTGGCAAAATAAAGCTGTGCAATTACATACCCATCAGTTTTCTGCTTTTCGCCGTCCAGTTCGCGGTAGGTCGACTGGAGCTTGTCGGTGAGAATCTCCAGATTGCGCGTCAGTTTATATTCCGCCTCAAACTGTTCGCTCAACAAAACCAAATCCCTGGTGGCGTCATGAAGAGGAATGTCACTGATGTAAAGACCGCGCCTAAAATTCAATAAAACCATAATAATAATTCATCAACACAAATTTAAATAATTTACTTCGTCAGGTCGTCAAGGTTCATAACGCTAGGGTAGCAAAGGAAAACTACCAGCTCTGATTCTGGAATGTACAACATTTGGCCCTGAAAGTTTTGAATCAATAAAATTTTCACGAAAATTGCAATTTCTGCACTTTAAGTCGAAGGGAATTGAACTCGGGTTCGTCCGTTTCAGCCATGCCGCGCTCATAAGCGCCGGGTCTAGTTCTCAAAACGTAGACTGTGTTGATGTGAGACAGGATGTTTGCAAAAGTCAGATCCAAATGGGGGCGAACCTAAATATTTGATACAGCAATAAAAAAAATGCGGAAATTAAAGGGATTTTTAGTACCATTTCCAAGACTTCAGGAAGAGTGCACCTCTGAGCCAATTTTGGAATCACCCTGGCGACGCTGTAGCCCGTCTGTACGACCTTCAGGTCGCGGTCAAACATGATGTGAAATGGGAACACACTGCAGAACGTGGCGGGGCTCACTTTTGGCTCTGAAAGCACGTGAAATTCGGTAATAAATTTCTGTATAATTATTATAAATAATGTAAATATATAGTTTGCATTACAAATTTATTAATTGAATAAATAATGAAAATAAACTTGGCCTCGCAAAACATCTCTTTTAAAAAAAAAACTTGAAAGATTGATATTTAAAATTTAATATAATTTTCAAAACTTTTTGTGAGAAGTATTAATTATTATTCCCTTTATATCTTCATTTTTCCAGAAAAAAAACCATATTTTTAACATATCCAGTTTTTCTAGTCAGGGCAAGTCAGGAATTCTAATTAATTGATTATTTAATAATGTGATACGTATTAAAAACATTATTTTATAACTGAAACTGATGACAGAATAGCAAATAATTTACCCAGAGAGAGTGACTGACTCATCTCGGCCAATTCGGGTCTGGTTTGCCTGCCCGCCCCAACAGCCTTTTCTGAAATGAGGAACTTGACGTGGTCGCTCCCTTCAGTTTTGTTCTGCAAAATGGTCACTTCGACCTCCGTGTCGTGCAGCTTCTTGGCCACCTCCTTCACGATTCCGATCACGATGTGCTCCAAGCCGGGACGGTCCGAATAGTAGTGCAGAACCAACTGTCCGTCCTCTTCTGTGCACCTGAAGGACGGCGCCCTCATGCCAGGGTACAGGGTGCCCAGGTGGTCGTGCAGGGCGTCAAGGTTCTTCAATTTCGTCAAGATTTTTTTTTAATTAGATAAAATAATTGATATGTAAAATTAGAAGAAAGAGATAAATAATTAAATGCATTTTTTCACCACAGTATCGAAACAAGAGAGTTGGATTGAAGCTTTTTGTAAAACAGAGGTAATTTTACACAAATTATTTTATGAAGAAACTAAGAAAGCTAGGATCAAGTTCCGCTTACAGAATTCGATAAATTAAATCGATTGTAATCTATTTGTTTATAAATATTATATATTTAATCTATTTTTGTGCAATTTGAAGCAAAATTAATATATTTTAAAATAAAACAAATAAATAACAATTTTTTTTAATGTTTTGAATTTTAAGCCTTAGTTATCATAGATTTAACGTTAAAAGCTTTTGAAATTCGTGAAATTCAAAGATTTATTGAAAGATTATTCAATCTAATCTGAATGTTATCGCCGTTAGCCTCACGAATTTGTTTTGTTTTGTTTTGTTTTTGTTTTTGTTTTTGTTTTTTTTTTTTTTAACATTTTAAGTCAACCATGGTTTCTTATTTTCAAATCAAGTAAACAGATTTTTACGCCTAAAAATTATTATTAACTTTATTAATAGATCTAAATCCATCCCTAATCTGCACTTTTTCTCACAAATTGAAATATTGAAACAAATAGAAAGCACCAATAAGCAGCCCTATTGAATTTTTACTTAAGATTAGTTTTAAAAGGGGTCACAATTTCGCCGAAGTCATTTGGTGAAGATTGCAAAAATGTACTGAAAAATTACCTGGAGAAAGTCTCTCGGAGTAGCTCCCAGCACCTGGAGGATTTTGTCATATCCAGAGTCCTGACAGAACTCGAAAAACATTTTGCCGAACAACTCGAGAATCGCATCTGCAGGAATTTCTGTAATTTCCTCCCAAATTAATACAAATCATCATCAAACAATTTATTTTTATCTTACGTAAGAGTTGGACGGCGGCTCCGATCAAGTTATAGGTGACGTCATCGTCATAGATTTGTCTGACCAGAAACTGACCCTCGATCGTCACGTCTGCGTCTTTCCTGAGAACGATCGAAAATTAAGACCGATTAAAAGTGACTTTCCATTAGAGCGATTACTTGATTCGTTCCCAGGTCTCCTCGCCGAACGTCTTGATGACGAGCAGCTCGAGCGCGTAGTTGACAAAGCCGTACTGCAATATACATTACAAAATAATAATAATAAATATAGCCTAAACTGTAGACAGGCTTTCATCCACTTTTGGTGTGTTTGCAGAGCACACGAAATTCGAGCTAAAAGCCATTTGTGCCTTTCGGCGCTTCCTTTTTATTAACCCGAGTGGCAGAAGCAATTATTTTTTCCTCGACTTGTTCCCAAGCAAATATTTGCCCTCGGCGGAGCACATGCTGCCGCACGCAGAAGAAACGAAAGCCTTTCTTTCTTTTTTTGTTCTCCCTCGCTGGATAAATAATCAACAACAATCGCGGTTAAAGAGGAAGAATGGAAATTCGGCAGGAATTTTTCCCCTCGCGGAACCCGCCGTGTTTATTTCGTCGGGACAGGGCAGAGACTTACCATGGTGAGAGGCTCCTCTCCGAGCACCAACTGAGCACCACCGGGCCGCGCGCATCGATCTGCAGGCCGCAACGCGCTGGCGCCACTCGACCCTTGTTGCTAGCGACACACCAGGGGTGCTTCTTTCCCAAAAGCACGTTTGGCACACAAAAGGACGCAATTCGATCGGCTCTGCCAAACCCCACAAAAAAAAATAGAACTTGCCTTTTAATTAATCCTATAACAAGCCAAGGAACTCAAAGAATGCACATTCAGCACTTTTTTCCTCAATGGAAATTAATTAGTTTTTTATTTTGTGTAATAAGGCTCTCATTAAAATATTGATAAGATCGTTTGAAATTGAATGGTGTCCGAGACGAAGTCAAAAGCTAATTACCAGATAGGCAACCTGCTTCTCAGAAGTGTCGTTCAGGTTGCGTTTAGAAGAATTCAGGATAAATGCTTGATTAAAACTATAACTTATAAATAACAATGTCCAAACAATTGAAACTAACGGCTTGTTAGAACACAGGAACCCTTTCAAATAAAACATTGATTAAATAATTTTTAGTGGTAAAAATTAACAAAATAGTTTTTCCTCAATAGTTTTCTTACTTTAAAAATATAAAATATATTGTATTCCAAATTTTAGTCAATAAAAATTATTTCCGACTGCTTTCATTCGTCAGGTGCTTTTAAATAACCACAAGTTTGAAGCTATTTTTTGGAAGAAATTGAAACATAAACCGTCTATGAATAAAATTTATTTTTAAAATATTAACCCTATGAACAAACAAATATTGTCTAATCTAAAAGTTTAACTCTTCTTGCTTGATACATATAAGGAATTTTCACTGAATTTTCAATTCCAAGGTTGAAAATATGGAAATTTTCAACCCTGTTTTACATCTAGTGTGTTTAATAAATATTCTTATCTAAAATTTAAATAAAAATTTCTTTATTTCGCATAAGCAATCTCACTTTTTCCCTGTGAGTCGCGAACGTTGTTTGCTTGGAGCTGAATGAAGTATGTGGGTCGATATACCACACGGGAAGTCAAGAAAGGATGCGATAAAAGTTCGGCCATCGGGACAGCCCATCAAAATCTCGGTTTTGCTCTCTTGTGAATGACACATGTTACCTTCCGGCGGGAAGGGAAATTTAATTATTTTTGCCTTACCTATTTGAGAGCTAATGTCAATTTTACGATTTACTTTTGCAATAATTATAAATTTTTATAATGTTTAGGTAAGCAAAATGTTTTTAAAAGCCAATAATAAAATTGAATTTTTACTCTTATCAAATTTTAGAATTTTTATTAATTATTTGGTTAATGTTTATTTTATAAAATATTTATTTTGAAATGAGCTTTTAAGTTAAAAAGCTTTGAAATTATCTCCTATAGGTTTTTAATTTTAAACTATTAATTCAAAAATGAATCAATTTTTTCAGACTTACATCAAGAAGTAGTTATAATATAGAAATGTTTATTTTTCCGTATTTTTCAGTTTGGAGAGAGCTTGTGTTGAACTGAAAGTTCAAGGACTCATATTAAGTATTATAGCCTCCAAATTATAATAATAATGCCCTAAATCCTAATTTCTTGATTAAAGCAAGTAAATCACTATTTTCTGGGCGAGTTACGCATCTGATTGGAACGTAATTTCGTCGTCACAAAGAGGCAGTTCTCGGGAGCAAATTAAACAATAAATTATAATCAAAATCTTGGTTTTGCTCTTGCGAATGACATTATTTATGCCGTCTTCCGGCGAGAATGGAAGAGCCGTCATTTTTGCAATTTCCCTCTTTGTAAACTTTTACCCAAATCGTTATAAACTCAAATAACAATGAACAATTCAAACGTAGACATAAGATGGATTCATGTATAAAGTTTCAAAAGTGCTCGTCCCTGATAACAAGTTTCGTCCAATATTTTGCAGAGTTTAATCTCAAAGATTGAAAAGTTTTTCAAACATTGAGCCCATTGAGGAGTAAAATTATATAAAAGTAGAGGGAAAAGTTTTATATCGGTGACAAAGTTTTCCTACGGCTGCAAGATTATAGTTTATTCCGATTATTGGAATTTGAACCAAAGGTAAAACTTATTTGAGAATATTTTGCACGCACTCTGCGCAATAACAACCGTTACAAATGAGCTTCGTGATGGATTAGCCGAACTTTTATTTCGCTCATTTGCCAACTTTTGGAGGCTGCGTCTGAAAGCTTCTGCGCTTAATCGCGGTGGAATTGGCAAAAAGTTTACTCGAACCGTACCCGAGAATTTTTGCCTGCTGCGGATGGATTAATCAAGCCGACTTACTGAGGCAAAACTTTTACACTCCCGTCTTCAAAGAAAACATTTCAGGAACAGATTTGGAAAGGAAATGAACATTTTGTCCCCAATTTGTTCTTTTTATTCAATTGCAAAATGAAAAAAAAATTAAAAAAAATGCCAAATTTCTGTTTATTTTTCTTATTGAACATGAATGGCTGACAAAGTAATGTAAAAGGGTTTAGCAACATCGCTGTTTTTTTGTAAAATTTGAAACTTTGAGTGGAAATTTTTTTGGGTAATAATTTAGTCTGAAAACAATTTCTATAAATTTGAAACATTTATGCCAAGTTTCATCTAAATGAAAATTATAGAAACAGATGCGCTTTTCTTTGTTACTGTTGGCAAAACATTTCCTCTTTTGAGTGGAGCCGCCTATGTTACTTAAAACTTCCCTAGGAAACCTTTTAGACCTTTTAAGCTTTATCCAATAAGGGACATGTCTGAAAAGCGTCCAAATTGAGTGAGCAGCGTTGGTGTTCATTTAGACTTGCAGTGGAAAAAGCGCCTCTCCCAAGATAATTGGGCGGACACTAGATATCTGCTGTTTTGCCTTCACTTAACCCTTAAGACGAGAAGAAAGGGACGATTGCTTGGCACACTACTTCTGCTGCCTTTTCCACTTCAACCTCGCCGCGTGCGCGTCTCTCCAGATTCCTTTCGGCTTTTTCCACTTAAGACCCGAGGCAGCGCGCGAAAAAATAACCCGAATAACATAAAACCCTGTCGACAGCCGTACAAAAGCAGCGCACATGAAAATCAAAGCACGCCGAGCAAATCTGTGCCGGACACGTTTTTCGGTATTACTCATATGGTGGCCAATTGCTGCCAAAGAATTGCAAAATTTGTACTCTGAATAAATTTTTCCCCCAAAATGTTTTTGGGGTTTCAATTCGAGCAATAAAGAAATCACAATCAGCTGCTTTGAAAAAAAAATATAGCTTTTTATTGGACATTAATTTCATATTATCAAAATTTCGTCGCTTTGAGATGAAGAAAAAAAAGCAATAAAATAATAATAAAAGCAAAACTATTTGATGGGATTGTTCTCTCGCAAAATAAATAAATAAATAAGCTAAACATTTTTGCCTTTCTCTAACCATCCGGGTCTACCTAATGTGGTTTGCGTGCTCATTTCTTTGATCTACAATTCAGCAGTATTTTACACATGTCACTTTGTCACGCGAGCAGAGCAAAGTAATTCGCGGCCTCATAAATAATGTTAAGTCGATTCCACGTATCGACGGACAATATTGGCTGGCAAACAGACCTACAATTAAATTAGCCTCGTCGTACGTGTGTGTTCTGCTCCGCACTAAGCTGTTGAGCGAAAGACCGGCAGAGCACGGCGAGTTGCAGAGAGTCAATATTTGATTTCATGTTCCATCATCGTAGTGGGTTATTATTATCCGAGCCCCATAAAATAACAAACAGCACTCTTTATTAATTACATACGCGACACCAAGCGCGCACACACCATTAATAATTCGTGCCCCCTTTTTTCACCAATTTAATTACAGACCGTTGGAAATTGCGCGGCAAAAACATTGATTACAATTTAAGGTCCATACCAAAAATGAATTTTAAATTCTGAATGTAGACTAAAAAGCCTCTATTTTTTTTTCTTTTTTTTATACTTGGAAATGTCCCAGTTAAAATAATATGTATATGAGATGAGAGCTATGATTATGAGCAAAATAGTCTGAGTCATTTGAGAAAGGCTTTATTTTATTAGTTTCTTTATAAATGAGAGACATTTCTGATCTCATTTTCGTTCTAAAATTTATAACTTTTAAAACAAACTTAATTAATTTCTCGTATCTTTAAAACTTTCAATATGCTTCGAGACAAACTGCTAAAATATTTAAAATAAGAACTTCTGCAAAATCAATAGATTCAATTCAAATTTAATATTAATGCTAATAACATCATTCTCACTTGTTTTGATTGGCATTTCTTGTATTTAATTTGGACTAGTTTAAGATTTAGAATCCAATAAAACCCCCTTTTTTGCAATTATTTTAAGACACATTATTTACATTCCCAGTTCTGGGATGAAAAAAAAATGAAAATGCAGGTCTTTATTCAATAATCTGTTCTTCTGCAGCACAAAATTTAATCGGGAATTTTTATAAAAAAAAGAGTCTAAATTTTTATATCCTCTCTTTGATGAATAATAAAACTCGTTTTCATATCTGGTGGAAGGAATCACTTTTTCCATAAATCATTTTCTCTCTCTCTTTTCATATCGCGCACGACCTTTTTTCAATCAGACCCAGCAGAGATTAAAAAAAGCAGTGGCAGTATGGAGAGCCGGAATTGTTTGTATTCCGCTCTCTTTTGCAACTTCATTTCACGTGACACCGATTTTTTTGCATGCAGGAAATTAAATTTTCCGACAAATTCCTGCTCATCAAAACGAGGGGAGAATAAACGCGTGCGTCGTTACCTTTTTTATTATTGACTCCGTCCAATTGATTCCTGCCACAGAGAAATTTCGCGCCATCATACTTGCAAATATACGACCCGATGCGAATGAGAGCAATTTACAAGATCGCGCGTGCTCTTGACAAATTACGAGGGAAGTTGCTCTTTTGAGAAGAGAAAGAGCGTGCCTTTGACGTGCCGTTGTCTTGATTGCGCGCTGACGAAACTTTGCCCAAAGTTGACTTTCTTTTTCCTCCTTGTCGAAACTTTTCTGCTAATTAATTAAGAGAA